TGCAAGACTTGCTCAAGGGCTAAATGAATGGCTGCAATAATGACACAATGCCCTACTTTATATTTTAACTCAAATAATGCGTGCCTGCTAAGAGTTGCTTCACTTGGAGCTTGCCTCAGCTGTTGTTCGCATCCCTTTTTGCATGTGTGATGAGTACAGCACACATGTAGGCTTCGTGTGCGGGGACACTCGTAATTATACGCTGCCCTCCGCTGCACGCTCGGCTGCGGAGGGCTGTCACCTCGATCCTGTGCTGGTGTCACACAGGTGACCCAGTTTGGGTGGCCGTGCCCTGTAATGAGTGGCTGACACGACCAGTGCCTGAATAGCAACTCTGTCTTCTGCACGGTTAGCAGTGCCTCGCAGCGGGTAAAGCTGTTTATTAGCCCTGCACGGAGCGCTTAGGCTGCTGCAGGGCTGTGCGACCGGGTGAACTGAGCCGGTCTTACAGAACCTGTAATATTCTGAAAGGCAAGGGAAGAATGATTAAAACAAATGAAATTAAAACAAAACATGTTGTGCTAAGTGACTTCGGTGTAAGGCTGCGAGAACGGTGTCTTTTGATTGTTTTTGTCCGTTTGTTTCCATAAACTGGCTGGATTTGGGTGCTTCTGGGTGACCGCGCGCTGGCGAGAAGCACAGCCGTGCCCGTAAATACATCCTGGGACACACCAGTTTTCTGTCTTTTGGGTTATAATCTCTGGGCTTCAGTTAGTGGGGGTGAGAACTTGAATTCAGGGGACAACTAGTGAGTTCCTGTGGATCACTAGAGGATGGATGATCCTTGTCCTCACTGCTAGCTCCTCTGGCCATCTACTCTTAAAAAACCGTGGCAAAACAGGCCCCTCTGGGTGCGCCCACCAAATGCAGAATGCACCAGATTATTCTGAGCTGGGAGCCAAATAGTTACAATTCTCCTTTCATTGAATAATAAATGTAAAAGGTGTATTAACATTTGAATCGGTTTGCGAGATAAAGGGTTGATTTATGGATTAAGTCCCTCCTGTTTTGTCGTTTCTGTGAGCTTACAAAGTTGATGCTGACCACTGGGGTCACAATTAGATAGAAGATCCTGTTTGTTCTCACTTTTAGGCCCCTGTTGGAATAGAGGGAGTATTTCCATGTGCAGTGCTGTTGAAGTGTGCATATGCAAAATACCTCGCGGATTGTAAAATGTCTTTCTGTGTGAAGTATAAAACTGCTAGCAGACACATGCCCTGGGAAACTCTGCAGGTTCTGCCCATTTTCTAGCTTTGGTAGAAGAGCTGGGCAATACAATATTTGCAGGCAAATTAAATTATCCTAACTGAACAGTGACCAAATCCTGTGCGTGCTCTGGCACTGCATAGCTCCAGCTGCCCAGGGCAGCAAAGCCATCGCTTCCACTATCTGTAGATGTTGCTCCGAAGACCAATAAGAGATTTATAGTAAAACAGCTAGAAAATGCAGCACATTCTATTATAAACTTTGTCCAGCTCTGGTGTTTTGGCAGGACATGTTTTCCTTTTCCTTATAGCAGATTATAGCAACCTATACTAATTTAATTCAAGTTTTGCAGTCAAGTATCAGCATCCATGGTGTTTGTTCTCGATTTAGCCCTTTTGTTTTAGCTAGGAAAGGCTGTTTCAAAAGAGAGTAGTGTACTGCTGGTCTGCCTTCATCTGGACAGGTAGAAGAGTAAGAGAAGTTTCCTTTCCCCTCTTCCATTTCTTCTGTGTGAGGGATGTGGCTTCACATAGCAGCAAACGTGATGCTTTGTGGAAGACTCTGTTTTACACAGATTGCAAAATTTACATACAAGAAAGATACGTTTTTCTGTATCCTGTCAAGAATAACTTACTCTGCTGAGTAACACCTGGTAGTAAAGGATGTTGAGAGGTGCTAGGAAAGGCAAACTTACGTAATTTCTTTTTTTTCCCTATAAGTAATTTCAGAAGCCTGAAAGTCTAGAATAGCCTCTAACATTTTTTCAGACTAATTTTACTTCTGTATGGATTTGCCAGAAAGTCAACATGTCCATTTATATATTTAACTAGTTATACATGCTGCCATGACTTAGCGATGTATCCCAAATCCAGCCTGTTTTCACCCAGCCTTTGTCATCTGAGCACTAAGTTTTGAACTAAGGCTTGAGAAAATAGCTGTGGTGATGCACCCTGGCCCTTGCCAGCCTTCCAGTGGAGGGGCAATTCCAGAGCCAAGGTCCTCCCACTGAGCACATCCTGCCTCACCCTGTCACGTTTAAATCCAAGGACTTTTTCAGTAAGACAAAAACCAACTGTTCCTTTAAGTGTAGTACTGGTCAAAGGACAGCTTCTACAGAAAAAGCAGTTTAAGGCTTTGATTTGCACTGGAATCAAGATAAGCTTTTTTGACTGTGCAATGTAATAAGCAGAAGTCAGGAAGTTACCTGTGTTTTTCACAGAGCTGTTTGTGAGCGTGCTTGGTGTACGAGCTCAGCTGACAGCAGGCAGAGACTGTTGCCTGCATTCTCACAGTAAAACTTGAATTCAGACAAAGCCTTGTTGCCAATGCAGATGAGACGCAGAAAACTGGCTGGCTGCTTCTGGAATCTCTATTTTAATACTTCCTGCCCCTTGCCTGTCCTCTTCAAGTCTGGTTCCTTTTCGGAAGTCTCTTACTGCTGTTTGATTTGCTCCTTTAATTTCTCTCACTCTTTTTTTTTTTGTGAGGGGGGTGGAGAGTGCTGGTTCAGATGTAAAATTCTGGCCTGGACAATAATGGGAGAGAGGATAGATCTGCCCGTTTGCTATTGTCCTTGTAACTGGGGGAAGAAATCCTAGACTCATTTTCCCATGAATAATTCCTCTGCATTTCTGCTTCATTAGAGCTTTCTCCAGAATTTCCTTAATTTCCCAGCTGATCAGCTAAGCTGTCTAATGAGACGATCCGGTCCCAGAATGCGCGCGAGCTCCTTTCACAGCCTCGCAGCGTCTGCCCGGACCCGCTGTGGCACTCCGCCGCTCTCTGCCAGGCGTCACATAGCACTGGTGACCCAGCCTGAACGTGGTCCTGGACTTGAGGAGATGCTCTTCTGCCCTAGTCTCTGAGGGAACAGACTTCACAGGATTTGCGTTCGCTGGGGAAATGGCAAAACTTCCATTTTAATTATCTGCAAAATGGGCTGAGTAGTTGCCTGTCTAGTGGACCGTTTAGGACTTGCTAACTTGTGATGTCTTCTGGTGGGAAGTGATAAAAGCGTCTGTGGGGGGAAAACAACACTTCTCTGCTGTGTGACATTTTGGGAGAGAATGCTGGAGAGTTCGTGTCCCACTTCAGCATCATGCTTCAGTATCTTGAGATAATTAAAAAGCAAACTGTGATTTAGAAGCACAGATTTTAAGTTTGACTGACTCTAAAAGCATTGTTTTTTGTGTTCTCTTGCAATGGTGGCATTATTCTGTTGTCAGTTTGTTATCACTGACTGGAGGGTATTAAAAAGCTACTTAGAGGCAGCACGCTAGCTTTTCCTGTTAAGCTATGATGGTTTCTTTGGTAGGTGACAGGGTTGGATTGATGCTCAGATACAGAATATTTGCTGTTTGGAGAAGCTGTTGTCTGGTAGTGAGGCCTACCGTACAGCTTCATAAGCCACTGAGATCTTACTTTCCTTTTTTAACTCTTAATCTGATCCTCTGCCACTTAAGTGACCTAGCTGATGCTGGTTTTATTTGCTTTGCAAAATAAATACAGCTGAATTGATTCAGACCACTTAATCAACTGATTAGAATCAGCTTTTTCAGACTGTAATTTCAGCAGCAGTTTTTGCCAGGTATGTAGCTCAGGAAGAGCAGCTCCTAGTTGTTTCAGAGGTTAAAGAGAAAGTTTATTAATGAAATTAAAGCTCATTCTCGTTGTTCACTGCTTTGTTTTTGGAAATGTTGAAAGCATGCTTCTAAATGGAGCCAGGCATCACTGCTCAGCAGTCTTAGTTCACAGATCACTCTAATCATTCCTCCCACAGGTGTAAGTGTGTGGAGGTTGTTTGTTTTTTTTTCACCGTGGCAGGACAATACCAAGTCTTTTAAATATACGTAGATACTTCTCAAGAAACACATGAGGCTTTGCTCTGTGTTTTTCTTAGGACTCATTTGAAAATAGAAGTTTCATTCGTACAGCTAGTGAGATTATTTTAGCTGGTCCAAAAGTCCATTTCAGATTTGTCAATTGTTGGCCACTGTGATAATGCACAGGAGACAACAAACAGCTCTGGCTTCTTTGCCTTGAAAGAACACAGTGTTTTCCCAGAACCATCTCTCTCGTGATGCAGCACTAAAGATCAAGTCTCCCTTTAAACCACGTTTCACCATTTAAAGAAAATACTGTTTGCCCCTAAGCTGTTAAGGGCTGCTGTCAAACAATTTTCAGCGAAAATGATACGGGCACTGTAATACTTTGTCGCTGGGCTCCTGTTCACCAGCAGTCTGCATCTTTCTCTGTTAGGGAAACCATTCCTGCCATGCCTGCATCGTCAGCCTCCATTTGTTGGATGTTGGGGCTGCTTAATCACTCCTGTCAGCCCTTCCCTCCAACCCCTTTGCCATATGCTGCTTTGATGCGTAGTTACACTTCACGGTTTTAAAGTGCCTGTGCTTTGGTGTACCTTCACAGAGCTGGAAGCCCGTAGTAATGCTGTAGGTGATCTCTTCTATAGTCAGTGCCAGCAGAAACGTGCGCCCTAATGATCATTTGCTTTAATAGATAAGTTTAAAAAGCTCAGTTTATATTAAATCTACCCATCCACAGAGTGTTCTTGGACCATTTTTTAAACTATATTGGATATAATATTCTATCTAACCGTGATCCAATCCAGGAGTTTGAAAGCTTGAGCACAAAGTTTATCTTTTGAGAATTTATTGGGCCAGATGTCTCTCTCGAAATGGCCTCGTTAACCAGCAACTTCTTCCCTAGAGTAAAGTAGGTTTTGTTTCCTTAATGAAAATATATGGCTAAATTGTTTAAATTGTTTTTGTTTACAGATGTTCTCAAACAATGATGAAGCTGTGATCAACAAAAAACTTCCAAAAGAGCTGCTGCTTCGGTAAGCCTCCTTTCAGTTTGTAAGCTTGGAGACTGGTGTGTGTATTGTTATTTGCAGCCAGTAGCTGATTTTGCTGGTATGCTCATAAACCATGAGCTTGCTTTGGGTCACTTATAAAGCCATAGACAAACAGAAGCAGATCAAAGGCCCGCATCAGCGGCCATTTATGATAAATATTATTAGGTTTTTGGTTTTCAAACTGTTAAATTAATTCCCTGGTTGCCTGTTTTGTAGATGGAAGAACTGTAGGGCTAAACAAGTCCTTACGCAAATACATGGTGAGTATGGGCTAATGCACAGAACAGGATTCTGCCTCTCTGTAAAGTGTTCCATTTAAAAAACTTCAGTTCCTCTGCTCCAGTTATGCTCGAGCAGACTTTGTCCTGTTCCTCGTCAATGAGAGACAGATGTTGAGCACCTGGCAGGATGAGCCTGTTGGCAAAGATCAAACAGACCCGACTTTGCGGATCTCAGTCGACAACTCTGCCCTCTCCCTGTGCTCCCTTCCATGTGCACGCACGTCTGTGCCTTTTGAAGTTTGCCTCCCCCCGTGCACGAGCAGCGTGATGATGTGTGTGCGATGGTACCTCAGTCGTCGCGGTTTGGCATCTTGAAGTAAAGTCATGTTCATCGGTGCTTTAAGCTGAGATGCCAGACTGTAAATGGTGAAGGCAATTGCAGGTGGCAGCTTGAATTATTAACACGAACAAAATTCTTACGCTGCAAGAAACTGTGTAGTACTGTCAACACTCAGTGGCAATAAAAAAGTCTGGGGAGAGGAGCTCTGACACAGGAAACTGCTTCTAGCTCACTTGTGAGATAAATGAATAGAAAAGTCTGCTATCTTTTCTTTTGACTGCACTGCCTCCTCTGTTCTCTGTAATGGTATCTCCAATCTGATTCAGTTTCCTTTATTCCAGTATTATTCATCCAAAAGCGAGAGGTATGGCTTCTGGAGCCCTCCTTGGTAATAGTGTGGGTTTGGTTTTTAAGCCTGGTATACTGGAGAAGGATTGTTCATGCCGTGCAGAGATTGCTGTGTAAAAATCAGCCTGCAGTACCTGGAAGAGACAAGCGACCTGTGGGAGGAGCAGGATGGAGTAACAGACACCATAGGATGCCCTAGCCCCGATGAGTTTGCACAGTTTCTTGCAGGTGACAGCAGTTGTCTTCACTCAGCACTTGCCCTGAACCATTGGTATGGATGTGTTGCAGCAAAAGGGGATTTTGAAGAGTCAGAAAAATGTTTCTCTGGGTTTTCTGAGAGGGGGATTCTTTTTCTGATGGGAGCAAGTAGGTACTGGTACTGCAAATGCAACAAAAACAGGATTTGCCCTTGTGGTAAGGTGACATGACACAGGTAGGCTGGGAACAGGTTGTGAGGAGCACTGACATGTGAGGCACAGGGAAAGCAGGGAGTCTGATAGGGGGGAAAAAATTGGGGAATGGCATTTAATTGAGGTTTTGCGTGGACTTCAGGAGAGGAGGTGTGTGGTCACTGCGCTCCCGAGGAGCGGGACCTTGATTAGAGCATGGCTGAGCTTTCTGGTAGATCAAAGCAGAACGATCCTGACTGGGACCAATAAGCACATCTTGGTCTGTAGGAGGTAGCTGGTGTTGAGGAACGTGGCCAGACAATTGGAGAAGGATTTGTGGTAAGTACAAGGGAAGGTCCTGCACCAAGCAGGGAGTTGCGTCAGTGCGAGCCACAGTGTGGCCGAGTTCTCAGCAGCACGCGCGCTTCTGCCCTGCAGAAACGTTTTTGTCTTCTGTCTCTTGATATCACTAATCATCCTAACCTGCTGTAGAACAGAGCAAGTGTTCAGGATTGTGTGGAATCTAGGAGAAATCAGGAAACTTCAGTTTATAAATGTTAAAGTTCATAAGTAATGATTTTGAGAGTTGGAATTCACTGTTAGCATACTGTGAAAATTAATTAGTGTGGATTGACAGTGCAGCCTTTGAAAGAGAAACTTGGATGCGTTTATCTGCAGGAATCTCCTGTAAATGAGTGTCACTGTCTACAAGACAAAGACTTATGTGTTTAAGCAGTGCTACTGTGTAATGTCTTGTTCTCTGGTTTGTTCATTCTGCGGATGGCATTGATGTCTCATGTATGTGGTTGCAAAGTGGAAAGCTGTACTTGAGCAAAATAAAGAGTAGGAGGATATAAAAGGGGTGAACGGCAGCCTTTGTCACACCCCAAGATACAGAAATGTGCAACTCCAGTAATGCTTTTGTCTGGGAGGATGGGGTGGAGGTGTAAAGTGCTCTGGAGGCTGTCCTCGGAAATCTCTCCTTTAAACGTGTCCGTGATTCAGTTGTCATGTCACGTTGTGCCCCACCACGCTGCTGGTAACGGTGGTGCTTCTCCTGCGTTTCCCCGAGAGCAGGACTTGAACAAAGCTGTCCTGCAGCACGTGGGTAGAGAGATGTCGTGGTTTAGGCCTGATTGGCAGCCAACCACAATGCAGCACCTCTCTCTTCCTTCCCCTCCGGCAATGAGAAGGGACAGAGAGCCAGGCTTGGGGTTCAAGATAGGACTGGGATGGGGGAAAATCCCCCTTTTATGATCACGAGCAAAAGGCAGACTTGTTAGGGGAAGAAAAAAAGAACATACATTTATTACAGACACTAACAACACATAACAGAGTAGGACAGTGAGAAGCATTGCCACATCTTGAGAACACCTTCCCCCCACCCCTCCCTTCTCCCCGGGCTCAGCTCTGCTCCCGATATCTCTACCTCCTCCCCCAGTGGCGCAGGGGCAGGGAATGGGGGGTGCAGGCAGTGCTGCCACTTCCTTCATGTTCGGTGAGGGGAGTGTCCAAAACTTGTTACCCCCTGCTCCATCGTGGTCCCCCTCTCACAGCAGACAGTCCTCCACAAACTTTCTCCGACTTGAATTCCTCCCACGGGCCGCAGCGTTCCCCACACTGCTCCGTCATGGGTCACTAACTTCCTCCGACTGGATTCCCTCCCACGGCTGCAGCCCTTCCCGAGCTGCTCCGGCGTGGGACACCCCCGCATGCTGCAATCCTCCCAGCGCTGAATTACAGCAGTGGGGCTGCCTTTTCCCATGAGACCCCGGCCTTCTTCAGGCACAGCACCTTGATTATGCCAAGCAGAAGCCACAGGCCATAAATCAGTTTCTGCTCCACCGTAGATCTCCATGGGTGGCAGGGGGGGGCCGCCCTGCTGTCTCCCCACAGGATACAGGGGGGTCTCTGCTCCGGCACACCTCCCCCCTCCTTCCTTCCTCCGTTCCTCCACTGACCTTGGTGTTCATGCAGCTGCAGCAACTCCTCACCAGTCCCACTGCCCGTCACCACGTCCCTTCTTAAATATGTTATCGCAGAGGTGCAGCTGATGGGCTCAATTTCCCAAACAGAAGTGGAGCTGACGTGGAGCTGGGGGAGCTTCGAGAAGCTTCTCACAGGGGGCCGCCCCGCTAGCCCCCTCCCCTGCCACCAAAAAACCCCACCACTCCCTCAACCCAGGACAAGAGATCAGCTGATGGGTCACAAATCCTTGTCCTGATACTGCCGTACCCGCTTCAGCTTTGTCCCCTGCCAGCTGCGTTTCTGGGAGCTTACACCTTTATACGTGAATATACCTTTACACATTCCTTTGCTCCCAGCTCATCCTTGGGCAGCACCTGGCTCGGTGACTTCGTGGTCCGTGGTGGCTCTGGCCGGGGCCGTTTCCCCAGAGGGGCATCGTGTCCCTGTTTCCCTGCGCCGGCATTAGTGACACCCCGTTGAAAAGGTGCATTCATTCTTTGAGGGCTGCCTGCCAGTCGCTTGCTGCCTGCGAGCCAAACCCCGACCACAAGCCTGGATTTTCTGGGGCAGTGGTGGTCTCTGCTGGTTTCCTGAAGAAGGTTTCCTCTCAGCGTGACGCGGGGCTGCCGAACAGCTTACGCTGGGCAGGGTGGAAGGGACCGGGCTGCGGGAGCTCGTCTTTTCCGTATTGGTTCATGGGCAGGTCAAGCAGTTTTCAGTTCTCTCCTGGCGTAAGCAGCTTTTACTCCATGCCGTCTCCTGCTGCCTGCTTAGCCCATTTTCAGCACATCCAGTCACTGGCACTGGCTTTGCCATCTGACCTTCAAGCCCCATGTTGATTTTTTTTTTTTTTTTTTCCTCGGGAGCTTGAGTTCTGCTCGGGACAAAGAAGCAACAGAGCGTGTGGGGGGACCGGTGAGTTGGCAGCAAGGTTGTCGTTTCTTTCCTCCTGGCCAGCTCGTTGGCGTCAAACAAGTATGGAGCAAAATTTAACTTGAAGGGTGGGCCACTGACATAAATTGGTGTTGATAATTTTAAAAGGCTAAAGGTCTAAGCTTGCTCACCTCAAAGCCCGCAGCATCCAGGGATTTCATTAGTCTTGACCCTAATCTAATTAGGATGTCAGTGGGAAAGTGAGTAGTCCTCGAAAACCCTGAGTGGATTAAGAGGTTGAAACCTGAAAAATGCTCTAACCTCAGTGTGTTTTAGCTAAATTGCCCAGTACTGAACTGTTCAGGCAAAGTCCTGAATGTAGGGAGTTATTTTGCAGTAAAACAACTTAACCTGCTGCAATACCAGACTTATTTAATTCCTGTTTGGAATACTCAGTCTGCCTTCACCTGTGACCACTGTTTGGTGATGAAGTTATTGCTGTGGATTATTTTCTTACTGTCAACTCTGAAGAGTAAAAAGATTGATGTAAGAGTACAGCAGTCAGCCGTGAGCAAGACAGAAGTCCTGTGTGTTGGATGTAAAAATAAACATCCCAGCTTTTCGATCTGTTAAGGCAGAATTGGGAAAACCATTATTCGTGTAGTACTGGTCAGTCTGCTGCTACTTACTCTTCTCTGCTTTTTCTCACCAGATGAACCGAATCTGACCAGTGCAGCAGATATTTTCTAAGGGTTTGGTGCTTTGGAACAATTCCAGGCCGATGACCCCTCTCTCGTGTTCCTCTATTACTGAGAGAGAGTCTGGAGCTGACGAGCTGAGCTGCATCGAAATTACCTGTCAGCCCAGTATGTCATTGTTGTCACGTCCGGTTTTAATTGAGCCATAGGGTATTAGCAAGGATGCATATTATTTCAAGTGAACATCTGGATTACCTTTGCTTTATTTTATATTGTGCAGGCTGCTGGAGAGACCCAGCGTTTATGACCTGTACTGTACTCCTGTTGGAAGATGACCACTGCTCAATTGTTGCTTAGCAATATGGGCAGCTTGTTTGTGGGTTTTGGGGTTTGTTTTGTTGGTTTGCTTTTTTTTTTTTTTAATGTTCCCAGCAATGCCTTGGAGAAGGAAAAAGCTTGTCTTCGAGGCTGCATTAGAAAACTTAGCTGGCATCATTGTGCCTGCAAGACTTTAACTGTGCTCCTGCTGTTCTCTCCAGTTCACGTGAAGGGTTGTAGTTGGAGCCAATTCTGAAATGACCAAAATGTACAACAAAGCAGTGACTGCTGCCGAAACAGTCTGATTCCACTGAGTCATTGGCTAATATTCTTGAACAAATGCAAGAGCAGTTCAGAAAACACTAAAAAAATGCTCTTAAGCTTTTCAGAGCCAAAGTCTCCGAGTTAGCCAAGGGAACTCCTGACGAAGCTCAGCAATGTTGACCTCGGAGGTGAGAGGGGCGAGTGTTTTGCTGTGTTGACATCCCTTTTACTGTGTGGGTAGACCAGGAAGGGAGGAGCAGGAAGTAGAAAAGAATTTGGCAAAGGCCTAATAGCCCTGATAGAGGGATGAGGTGGTTATTAATAGCCTGGGATTTCCACGGAGAAAGCAATTTTCATTAAAATATAGAAAGCTCGTCTAGTTATTGACCTAGCCGCTGTTCCCATGAAGTTTGATGGTTTTTTGCTCCTACAATGGGAATCTAGGGTGAAAGTAGGAATTTTCCCTAGCTTCTATATTTCCCTAGGCTTTCCTTGTATTGTTGTACACTGACGTTGTGCTGAATAAATCCTCAGTGCTCACATGCATGCACGAATAAATGGCATTTAATTTGAGGGGAAGACTTGCCTGTAAGCAGTGAGTGTGGAACCGCTTCTGAAATCTCTGAGTTCCCAAAACAGTGTTACGGTACAGTGCATGTCAGCTCTTTTCCAGCCCTTTACTGCGTACATCTCAGCATGTCACTGTACATTTTGTCTCATGGTCAGATGCACAAGGAGCAGATAAGAAGTATCTTGAATCTGGGAGTATCTTTGGGCACTTTAGAAACACAGGAGAGCCTGTGGCTCTTTATTCTGCCATACCCTGACTTAACTGAACATTTGACTGTTAAGCTGCCTGATACCTGTAAGCATCTGTGTTTTGATAAATAATCTGCATTCATCCTCTACCACCAATGTCCCCTTCTCTTCCACCAACACCGATGTTTCTAAAGTGCTTTTTATATACCTGCTGGTCGAGAAACCTTGATCGTGTAATTGTTGTATCATCGCAGCCTTGCTTGTGTCCTCCCCTGAAATTTGAAAATCTGGGATTTGCTATTTGTATGTAGCAACATGGAAGTGCGTGGGTGTCAGTGAAGGCATGTGGCACGTACAAAACTTAGTGTCAGTAGCAGAGGCCTGGATAACCCCTGATTGTTTATCTCTAGGACAACATGCAGTTTATCTGTGTGCACACGGTGTTTGTTTATTGTTCTCGGCACCTCTTCCCCCAGCTTTATCAGTACCTGTGCTATTTATTCAAATGTATTCTTTGTACATATCTGGGGAGGTGAGTACATCATATAGCTTGCTTGGTTTCATATGAGAGTTTCAGTAACGCATTGGTACAGGGTGTTTTGAGTTTCAAAGTCACACAAAAAGAACACGCTGCCAGCAACATCATCTCATTTCTGAGTCGCTCCCAACACCGGCAGGTCTGCTGAGAACAGAGGAAGGCTTTGGTACACCTCCCCGGCCCCTCGGTCTTGTGGGGAGATGACTCAAGTGTTGCAGGTATCCAAGCGATTGCTAATCTGGGTATATACTGTTCTCTTGAGAAAGTCTGGAGGTTTTTGCCCCAGCAGACTTGTATTTGTTCTCAGAATTTCTCCTGGACAGCCATGTCTGAGTATTTTATAAAGTAGTGTATAGGATTGGAACAAATTTGCTTGCCCCATACCTTTAATGCTTGGACCTGAGAACGTTTGCCTTCTCTTTCTGGCAGTCTCCAGGTTTAAAGTACTAAAGCATATGTGCAAGTGTTTTCTTGTAGTCAAACACTCGATTTATCTTTGTAAAAACACTTCATCCTATGGTTTTATAATTGCTATCAAAGAGAATGAGACCCTACCGTCTTTCTACTGTCCACTTGACCTCTGTTTTGTGGCATATGATTGTTTGAATAACCACAAATGGTAAAATGACAATGTTGATATATTGGTGCAGATTTGGGAGCTTTAAATGGGCTTGGTACTTCCTGCATTCACAGATGGGGGTGTATATGCCCCAGAAAAGTACGGACGTCTTAGTGTAGCATTGCAAAGTATTACTAATTCCTTTATCCCAATAAATAGGACAGCAACATCAGGGTGTTGGCCTGAACACTGGGGTGTGCCCTGGCAGAGGAATGACATACCACAGAGGAGTGACCGCATCAGCTTAATCCTAAACACGTCTCTCCTAGACCTTGTACCGACACAAATCATCTGGCTGCGCAAGTTGCTTTGCAGTGTCGCAGAGCAAAATACTCCTCCCACCTCCACCTTACCAGCACTTCACGTTTAGCACAGCTGTGTGAAAAATAAGAAATAATCCACACACTGAAATCGGGCTGTGACGTCGTTTTGATCTATTAACTGTTAATTATTCCACTGCCCACTTTTGGAGAGCTGTTGCTGCAGGTGTTTTTGCTGAGCAGAGGTGCTGAGCACAGCGATGCTCCTGGGTCAAACAGGAGCCAAGACAGCCCAAGATGACTGTTTGTCCTGCCATATCCTGACTTAACGTTTGACTATGAAGCTGCACAATACCTGTAAGCGCCTGTTTTGATAAATAATCATTCTGTTTGCTGTCAGTACGTGTTACAAGGTGTGAGATTAATATTTCACAGTGGCTCAGTATCGGTGTTTTGCTTTCATTTGCTAACTGCTAGGTCTGCGCTTCTTTTCACAGTTCAGCTTTCAGCTGCATTACAAAGAAGTTTTGCTGTCTCCAGTCCTTTTTTTTTTTATTTCCTTTGTTTTCCATGTTCTCTTTGTTTTAAATGTAGATAACCAATACGGTATCTTTTATTTCTGTTACAGAATTTTCTCTTTCCTGGATGTGGTCACTCTGTGTCGTTGCGCTCAAGTTTCCAGGGTAAGAACCTTCCTCCTTGCTGGTGGGTTTTAACAGTTGGTTGAATTTGGGTGACAATCCTCTGGCTCCAGCCATCCCTAGCATGTCAGACCGGGAGGATTTGTACCAGGGAGCTTTTGTGCAACTCAGCTATTGTTGTTTAGTGTCCCGTATTAACACCACAATACCAGAAACTTCTGATGGCACCAGCGAAGGGGGGCTCAAAGCTTGAATACCATTTGGGTGGTGTCCCGGGCCCTGAGCAGGTTACGAAGGGGAGGTGGCTGACTTTTTGCCCAAGGACTCTTCAGTCAGCCTGGGTTTTAGAGGAGGCCTGCGCTGATGAAAACATCAAACTTGGATGGGTCTAAAATGGCATCTTGTGTTTTTTGGTGGAGATACGGAAATTTTGACTCACAGAGATGCTGCACGGTCAAGGAAAGTTTACTTTCCTACTTGGACGTAGTTGAAGTAAGCATGGAAGAAAAAAAAATGAGTGTCTGTGTTGTTTAGGGTTGGGTTTTTCCTTAAGGAGCTCATAGTTTTGTGGGCTTCAGCTAATGAAATCCAGCTTGGATTATTTGCTTGAGAAAACGCCTCCAAGTGCAGGTCCAGTTCTGAAGAGCTACCAGATTTATTTAGATACTTTATCCTGCCATTATCTAATAAGACACGTGGCGGAAGCGTTACTGCAGCAGGAGTGGAAGGCTGGTTACAGGGGGGGGTGGTTGCAGAGGTGTTCACCGTACCGGCAGAGCCGGTGCTGAGTGTCACCTGTACAAAACTGATCAATCTTGGCTTCCGACTTGCACCATAACTTGTTCCATTATTCAGAGTACATCAGAATAAAAAGGAGTATGCTTAAACATTTTTAATTGCGTTAAGAAATATCCTGTGTGAGATCTAGCCATTACAGTTACCTTCCCATGTTCTGTCGGTAACACAGGTCTCCTAGGGAAGGATCTTCCAGCCGAAATTCACCGCTCCAGCAGAACAGTACTGACCAAAATGGGCTGTCAGAGATACTTGCCAATGTCCAGGTGTACTCCCATTTTTGGCTCTTGCTCCTACTTACAGTCCACAGGGCATTAGAGAACATATTAGTCATTATGGGACACAGCAGGTATTGTGAAGGACTAAAGTACCTGTGCAGAGCTCCAGAAAGGCTCTGTGTATTGTTCCCTACATTACACGTTAAAGTATGCCGTGTTGAAACTTGCATCCCCTGGTGCGTTTCTTTTCCACTGGAGCTATTACTTTTCTCATGGCGATAACTAGACCTTAAAACAAGTGTCAGCAGTGAGATTTAAAATGCAGGAAATCAATTAGTGCTTACAGTTCATTTGGCAGTTCCACGTCTCTATGTGGCTTGCACAAAAACTAGTGTATTGTGATTGAGGAGTAGTTTAGCGCATGTGATAGATGTATAAAAATATGCCTATATACATATACATGCACTCTTTCGTAATGGTGGACTCATTATGAGATCTGGTTGCTTACTTCGGTTATGTAATTAAAACTTTGAGTACAGTACTGTATTGACAACCTTTTTGATTCATTAAGGGCAGAATTACTAACTTTCAGTTCCTGGTTTTCAGTTGTAGCATGAACCACGTGAGATTTATTTATTTCTTTAATTTTTAATTGTTTAAAACCAAACCCAAAACAAACAAACAAACCAAAGGGAACCAAACACTTAAGCCAGAGGTAGTGACGGCTCCGGCAGCGGCGCTGTCTCTGGGCAGCGTTTGGCACTTCCCCACCCGTGGGACGCAGCACCCCGTGCTCCCAGCTCTGGACCTGCCTCGGACGCCTCTTTCTGCTGGAGGCCAGAGCGCCGGGGGGGGGGGGGGGACACACGAGGTGACACCCTCCCCTGCCGCTTAGGGGACCTCACCGCGGGGTCCTCCATCCCCACGTAGAGACCTGCTGTAGGGTCTCCCCCCGGGGGCTCGCCCCCGCCTCCTCCAGCTTCGCCTGGGTCCAGCGAGCATCCTCGAAAGGCCGTGGTTTAGCTGGCGATGCCGCAGAGGGAGCGATTAGATTCCAGCCAGGACCGTGAAGATGCCCACGCTCCGGCGCCGCCTCCTGTCCTGGGCTCAGCCCCGACCCCTCCGGGCGCCGCGGGCTGGGCTGCGGGGGTGAGGGGACTCTCGCCCGAGCAGGCGATTTCGGGTAACTGCACCGTTTTCCTTGTTGGCTGTAATCACTCGTTGCTTTTGCACCCGAGGCAGACTGTTGTTTCTAAAAGGAACAAACTGTAACTAGGTCCCCGCTGGCGGATTTTTTCGTATTAACAACACATTTACATTTTTTCCCCTGATAAAGGCATGGAATGTTCTGGCCCTGGATGGCAGTAACTGGCAGCGAATTGACCTGTTTGATTTCCAGAGGGATATTGAGGTATAATTAAGTGACATACAAACCCATTTTTCTTGTTAAAATGTAATTACAGCCTAGAATGGATTAATACTCCCAGCGTAACCCTTTTTACCTTCCCTGGAGATAGAAATCATTAATTTCAGTTCTTCTTAGCTTCAGGGAGCCTTTTAAAGTCTTGGCAATCCATTCAGCTTTTGAAAATGGACAGAATTATATATCTATATCAAGACTTAAAGGTAGTACTAGAAGGAAGGTATTTTTAGGTGTGTTCTGAAAACAGAAATAAAAATAGGTAAGTTCTTGTGGAAAACTACTGCTTCCGTACAGCAGAATTGAGGCTACTTTTCCTTTCTCTCAAAGAAACGTTAGCATGGCACTGACTCAGACCATTAAGACTGAATATCTTTTGAAACATGGCCTGCAATATGTCTATCCTTCCCTGACTAATGTAAGAAATTGAAATGTAAGGGAAGGTGATTGAGTGGGACGAGGTCAAAATTGTTCCTAAAAGATGCAGCTTTGGAAATGCTTCGTTGTAGCTGTTCTAAATCTGTTACATGTGGACCACTTGGCGCTGATGGGAATGGATGCTGTTGTCGTGCTGTTCTTAAAATTAGAATTGCATTAATTAGGAAAAGGGACGAGAAAAAAACCCTTAAGTTTCTTATCAGAATGTTATATCCTCTTTAAAACATGTTGGAGGAGGGAGAGAGGGAGTGTATAATTTTAACTCATTACAGACAGAGGCATAAACCAGATGATGACTGAACCTTCACACCTTGTGGGAAATACATTATCTGTGGAGGAAAGAGTTAAAATAATCTCTTTCTGCCAGCTGGGTAGGTGAGCAGCTGAGACCCAGGGATAGAGGAGCAGGCCCCTGGTACTGTGACTTGTCCCTGCTTGCAGGGGTCCGAGTGCCTGAGGCTTCTTGAAGGAAGTAGACGGTGTGATCTTTGTTCTTGATAATGAATCCTTTACCTCTTGACGTGCCTTCGAAGCCCTGGACCCATGTAATTGTTTACTCTCACAGTGGCGGAGCAAAGCTAGCGGTGGTGCCTGGCCTCTGGAGGCGGCGGGCAGCGTGGACAGAGCTGCCCAGCCCTGCTGCTGCCGTTGGTCTGTGCAGGAGGGAGAGAGGCAGGAGTGCTGTGAATACAAACGAGGCTTTTCTCATTCTTGAGTGGTTTGTGCACGCTTTTAATGTCTCTTTGTTCTCCGTCACCACTCTGTACATCAAACGCATGTTCTCGCATCAGCACGGACTTCCCCTTTCAAAACAAAATGCTTGAATAGGTTGTACCTAACCCAAAAGTACCTGCTCGACTTCCTGATGTCCTGAATGTTGTTTGCTTTGAAGGAATGTAAATTCATCAGTTGATGTAAATTCTATATATAAACGTGTCTGAGTCCTCTAATTCAAGCGTATGAATTCATCAGCTTGCTAGAGGAATTGCAAAGTCAGGCGGGCTGTTTCAGATTCCCCAGCCCTTCCACTCGGACGTGCGGGTCGAGCTTCACCCTGGGGCAGGGGCTGCTCCCGCCCCCCAGCAAGCGGCCAGATGTCACCAAAAGCTCCTGCAGAGACCCAGTTAAGCTGGTGTCCCTTGTTGGATTGTGGTATTACACTGCACCAAGCCTGATGCTTCTTTTTCCAGTCCAAAAAAAAAAAAAAAAATTAGAATATCTTCATCATTGTAGAGGTCTTAAATGCCAACTAGTACTTGAAGGGCCGAGTGATGTTCCTAGTCTGTGGTGAACAATCACATCGACTAAAGTGGAAGGGAAGGTTTTTTTGAATTTCTGGACGCTGTTACAAATATTCTCTCAATGGTTTTTGCACTTCATGCACAGTGAGAAATAGCAGGGTAAAAGCTAGCTTGTAGTGGGGTCTTTGGAGGCTTTCGCTGATTACAGATTTGAAATTAATAAAGCATTTTTCTAGATCTCTTGAACACAAATGTTTGAATCCCTTTTTCTGTGAGAATAAAACTCGTGGGCTGGTTCTGCCTCATCTCTATTTTGAATAGAAATTTAAGTATATCCATATATAGTACATTGACTGTACTGATTTGTAAATCTTACTGCCCATGCTGTAGCAATGGCATTGCTGCTTTCACCTTTCTGGGGCAGTCTGTACTGGAAGTTCTTCAGTCGTCAGCCTGAGCGGCTTTAGGTAATTGGTCCTTGTCTCTCCATCTTCAGAAGCTGAATAATTCTCCCTCTCCCTGCCTTAGATTTTTATCGTGGCGTTTTTGTTTTCTTAGCACTGTTTTACCTAGAATAACAAACTGTTGTTAATCTGCAAAATTTTGAATTCAGCTTTTTGATTGATCAGGTGACTTCTGGATTTTAATGTAATTCTTTCTGTGTCCGACAGGGCCGAGTAGTTGAGAATATTTCTAAAAGATGTGGGGGTTTCTTGCGGAAGTTAAGCCTGCGTGGCTGTCTAGGAGTGGGAGACAATGCATTAAGGTAGTGGTGTGGCTTCTTTCTGCTCTTAAATGTGATGTAAAGAATGATTCCGTTTCTACAACCACAGAGGGTTGGAAAAATTTATGAACACTTTAGAGCCAAGATCTTTAGCCTGCGTGTCTTAACTTAAAATGTTGAGAGCAGTAACATATAAGCCTTTTCAATTTATCATTTTTTAACTTCACACAGTAGCCATTTTTCTCATTTCTCATTAAAATAAGGCCAGCTGCTGCTGGAGGCTAAGTAGTAATTGGCACTGAATTACAACCTTTTGCCTTTAGGCTGGGAAATCCCGAGGCAAGACGTGGGGCAACATAAATTTCTTATTTTATTTATTTACTTATTTATTTTGTTTGAGACAAATTTTGTAAAATTGTATCTGATGTATTACGGTTAAAACAAATGCCGTAAAATATCTGGAAGCCTATTGCCTGAAAAATACTGTGTTTTCCCTTTCCTTTAATAAAGGACATTTGCACAGAACTGCAGAAATATTGAAGTACTGAACCTAAATGGCTGTACCAAGATCACAGATGCGTGAGTAAAATTCTTTTCTCTGTTTGCTCTGCCATCCCCTCTTCTATGTGCACCATGTTATATTCTCCATCCCTTTTTTTTTTTTTTTTTTTTAAAGGAATCTGCTGTGCATACAGTAAACAATATAGTGTATATGACCGAATAAATCTATTGCATGAGTGTGTCTTGTATGCTCTCTTTCAGTACGTGTACCAGCCTCAGTAAGTTCTGCTCTAAACTCAGGCACCTTGATCTGGCTTCCTGCACTTCCATAACCAACCTGTCTCTGAAAGCACTGAGGTAGGAGTCAGCAACTTTGGCGTTTGCCGGTTGATTCCAGACGCTGCGACCCACCACTGCCCCGTGTGCCTCCTGCCTTGGAGGAGGCTGACGTAGGCTGAGGTGTAGCTGTCGTTAGAGTTCTGGCCTTCCCCAGCAGAGCTCAACATTCACACGTTGTGCCTCCTGGCTTGTCGAGGCAGAGGAGGACTCAGTAAAACCTGCCCTCGACATTGTTTGTATCCATCCTGATGGCTGTTAGCAGTAGAATAAGCATGATATTCTATTAAAGTCTCAGAGGGACTTGGGGGGCCACAAAAGTCTTGATCTGCCTTTTTAAAATGCTCATTTGCTAACAGTCAACTTCTTCATTGTAAGTGTACCATCGCGTACCTAGCAATTGTTTACGTAGCTAGATGGTGAACACCAGCATGTGACTATTTGTCTTTTTAAACTGCTTAGGAGACATATAACTGCTTAAATCCGCTAAATGGAATTGCCAAGTAATCTAGAAAAGGAAGGGACAGACAGACATTGGTGGGAAGATATTGGGACAGAGAAAAGGAGGCAAAAAAAAAACACTAAAGGTAACAATAGAGGCCAAGCTATTAAAAAAAAAAATAATAATTCAAGTGATATGCCAGTGGAAAAAAAAAAGAAAATATAGGAAAGCAGTATCATGGGGAAAAAATACTGGATGATGAATCTAGACACCAGAAGAAAGCACAGATTTTGAAAGAACACATGAATGATTAAATTGGTTTTGTAGCTACATTAAAACACTTTGAGCCTGGTTTTTCCTTCCCTCGAGGGTCTTCATCCTTGTCTCCGATTTCACATGGTCAGATTTGTGCTGCAGCTGTCTTGCATACACGATAGCATGTGTATATCTTCCTAATTACAAATCACACTTGAGTGTTGCTCCTACTGGCAGCTATTTGCAAACGCAAAGTTACACCTGGAAAGTTAGAAGCAGCATGGCAGAAATGGGCCCAGTTTTTGGTTTTCGTTGCGGGTGGTTTGCCTGTATTCAGATCCAGAAAGCCCGTGGTGCCTGTCCTTGTAGAGGAGCTGGGAGGTGTCCAAGATGAGATCACTTGGTCATCTTTTACTCTGTTAATGCCCTGCATTAGAGCTCCTGATACTGCCTCCGGAGGGCTCTCCACATCTGGAGGTGTGGGACAAAAGTGCTCCCCGTGGGTGTGTGGGGTGCGGGTCTACACCTGTGCTCGCGTGGGTTCCAGAAATGGGAATTGAAGCAGGATTCCTTTCCAAATCGAAACCAAGTTTCCACACGCTTTTCCTTTCACCTCCAAAGTGAGGGATGCCCACTGCTGGAACAGCTGAACATCTCCTGGTGCGACCAAGTGACTAAGGATGGCATCCAGGCTCTGGTGAGAGGCTGTGGTGGACTCAAAGCGCTGTTTCTGAAAGGCTGCACGCAGGTACGGCTCTGTGGAGAGTGCTCAGCTTGAGTAACAGCTGGCTTATTTCTGCTCTAGCTGGAAGTATGGGGATGAAGCACTGTGGATTTTTCTATTTCCAGAAATGTTACGTTACTGAAATTACTCACAATCTGTCTGTTGGAGATTAACTGCTTTTATTGAAATTCTTTAATAGCTTTGAGCTCAGCATGAATAGTGGGACAGTGAACTAATTGCATATCTAGCTGTAGAATCATTCTTCTTTTTGGTTTTTTTTCCCCATCAGGAGCATATTGAGCAAACTTTTTTAGAGGAGATAACTGTTATTCGTGGCTAGACCCATCCGTTTCTGAGGGCTCTGAAAATTTTAGAAAGCATGACAGTACTTTCATCTGCGCTGGTGATAGAATTTCCTCTGCGTGTCGTTTGGATCTTTAGGTAGTCCAAGAGAGTCACAGTGTGTGTGACTCCTTAAAAGGCATCTCTGCGGCCAGTCAGGAGCACAGTACTGTTCCCTCAAGAATTTCATTCAGCTTTTGGGCTGTAGCAGTGTATTTTGAAGAGTCTGCAGAGACTGTGGTGCTTGTACTGTGCAATATGTAAATGGTGCACTAACGGAGGATTTGCCCCCCTTGTTATACTTCGTTATTTGGAATTACTTCCTTTAATCTTTCTTTACTGTCTTACCTGGTGAATCATTGAAAAGTTTAATATGTCAGATACTTCCCTGTATTACAACTTTACTAAGGAATTATATCAATTATGAACTGGGGTGTGAGGAACTTCCACCTTGAGCATGACTCTCTTAATGAGCAAGAGTTCCTTGCAAAACTACTTCACAAAGAACGTGGGGACTAGTTCTGATTTTATTCCAGTAGGCCAGAGTCTTTTTAATACAGACAGGTAGGCTAGAAAGGAGCAAATGCGTATCTCAGAATCTTGTCTTTGAAAAAGGAGAATAAAACTGATCCCAGGGGAGTTGAAACATGTAACCCAGAGACTCCCGAGAGCTAAAGAGCCTCGATGTAGGCGTGGAAAATGATCTCTGATCTGTTAGGTCCTTGTACCTGAACACGGACGGTCCTGATTTGTTTTGGGTTTGTTGTGGTTTTTTTTTTGTTTGTTTTGTTTTGGCTTTCCCCTTGGGGATAGGGATTCCTTAAGTATGAGTCAATAAGTGCCATTTTTGTCTCTGCTGTGTATAGATAAACAGCTATATGTTTTTATTTTGCAAAAAGCATATTTCTCCTGTGCATGGACACAGAAGGTCCTGACAGGTTATTATGATAAGCAAAGCAATAACACACTGGTTATGTGCACAAAGCAGTAATACCCTTGTGTGCACGAAAAAGCCCAGCTGTAAGGGCTATAGTCAGTAGTTTTTCTAAATTTATACCACTGTTGGATTTTTAATACGTGAGATGGGTATACATGGCTGTAAAAATGACTTGATTAAAGATATAACAATCTCAGCCTATTTTGAGAATTCAGGTCATAGAAACAGCTTGAGTTTCTAGTAATTTATGGAGTCGTGAGTAATATTGATGGCAATACATCCTTGTTATCAATTACTTACCATCTGTTCTTATAGATTTAAGAATAGCAGGCTTTTTTATCATCAGAAAGCAACCTGGATATGTTTGTGCTCCTCACATTGAAATAAGACTTTTTTTTTTTTTAAGAGTTCCAGTATTGCAATATAAAACTAGTGCTACTTAAAGGCCTTCATAGTGAAGCATTTCCTTAATTCCCGTAAACAATTTCTGATTTACTTGCTTTGTTAATTATGCACGTTTGATCGGATCAGCTTTTCTTTAAATTAGTAACTTAGTGTTGTGTGTCTTTGAACTCTGTTCCTGAGATGATAAGAAAAAAAAAAAAAAGGCATGCACTTTACTGTTGTGTATTTTGAGAGTGCAGTGCATTGCCCTCCTCCCCCATAGGTATCCAAACCACAGATGCTTTATTGTTCTCAGAGCTTTATTTTTAAGATTGCTTCGAATATTAACAGATTGCTTCAGTCTCTAAATTTTTCTTTCCAGCTTGAGGATGAAGCTCTGAAATACATTGGTGCACATTGTCCCGAATTGGTGACTTTAAACCTTCAAACATGCTTAGTAAGTAAAGCTTCCTATGATTTCCCAGCTCAGCCATCATTGTGCATTTAGAGGCCATCTCTGAGCAGAACCGTGCAGAATGTGCTCCATCCCAGAAACGTCGTCATCTGTGCAGACAGGGCAATTGTAAATTTACGAGACTTTTAAAAATAGTTGATGAAAACCAGCTTTTTTTGGTAGCATTCAGTAATGCTGAATAAACCCCCAAAACAGTGTCATAGCATTCACTATGTCAGATTTGTTTGTCTCTTTGCCCTGCCCACGGGGCTTCTAAACTCATTTGCAGGACTAGCTGGAAAAATTCTTTCCAGCAGGCTGGAGTGTTTGTGTGGTGATCTAGCCAGGCGGTTCCTCTGCTCGCTTTATGAAATCAAACCAAGAAGTGCAATTTCCCTGCACAGAAGGGCTCTAAACCAGTTACTCTGCGGTGCCAAAAATGTATATTTCTGCCAAAAAAGAAATTGGAGCGGGCTCTTTTTACATACCGTCGCGCGGTTAGTCTGATGCAGTGAGTAACTGGACAGTCTCGTCCTTTCCCACCCAAGTGGGCAAGGCCTTGGGGGGCTGCAGGGCCGTCCTCACCCTGTCCTGTTGAAGGAGTAGCCTCACCAGGTACCGGCCTGGTGCCCATCCATCTGAGGCTGGGTGCTTGTGGGGGAGAGGCAAACAGGCAGAAGGGAGAAGGAAACTAATCAGGTTTTTGATCGCCTTAGCTGAAAATACCGAGTTCTACTCAGTTTCTGTGTCATCTCGCTCCAGAACTCGGGCTTGCCAGCCCACAGACTTGCTCTCTGCTGTTTTAAAAGAAGCCACGCCAATCCCTAGGTTGGTGCTTTTCTGTGGGAATCGAGGCTGGCTGTGAAAATGCAGAACCTGAGGGTGAAGCGGGGTTTAACCCGCTCCTCCAGCACGCTCGGCCTCTGCCGCCTCTTGCCCCTCTCTCCCTGGTCCCCCCTCGCCCTTGATCCCGTGCGGCTCCTGGGCACAGCCACGCCGAGTCCCAGCCCCCCGTGCTTACGTGGGGAAATCTCGGGGGCAGATTTGTGCCACGTGGGGCTGGAGGGACCCCCTGCGCCCGGGGACGCGGCGGCTCGATGGAGCTGCTGTGCCGCGGCGTGAATTTTAACGTGGTTTCAGCCCTGAGCCCGCCTCTCACAGTTCCCGTTTTGGTCCCGAACCACTGAAGTGTGTTTTCAGAAGGCTGTTTGTGAAAACAACCTGCTGCTTATTTTGTGGGTGACTCTGCTAGGTGCTTTCTTGTCTTGAGTTTCAGCCAAGGAGGTTTTTACAAGCAGGGGCTGCGGAGGAAGGCAGGAGACTGAGTCTAAGCCTGCTGCTGCCGTGCCTTCCCCCCTCGCTCGGAGACGTTTCCGTGCATGTGGAATCACTTTCCGACTGTTTACAAGTCACTTCGGTGCGGCTTATCCTGTTTCAGCTGCTCCAGCGAAATATTTGAATGTGGTTTGGGGTTGAAAGAGGCAGTAACTCGCCCTTAGTTAAGTGCCTGGTTGGAAGCCTGAGAAGGGAAGTTTGCAGTGCCTTGCGCCTCCACCTACGTCGTTACGGCTTGTGATGATGTTGTTGTTTTTCTCGTAGCAAATAACAGATGATGGTCTCATTACAATATGCAGAGGATGCCACAAGTTGCAATCCTTGTGTGCTTCAGGCTGCTCTAACATTACAGATGCCATCTTGAATGCCCTGGGACAGAACTGCCCGCGGCTCAGGTAAGCCTTCACCGCAGAGCGACCCGTTGCGTGTCGAGCGAAGGATCTCGGTGACGTGGTTCCTCTAGGATTTTTGAGCCATTTTAGACTCCGAAGGCCTTTCTGAAAGGGCGCTTCTGATCACTGAGCTTTTTTCCAGGCGTTTGCTGTGGGGTGACTGCAGTTTTGCCCAAACTCCTGGTCTCTAAACTTGCGCAAGTGAAACGGTGGTAAAAGAGCTCCGTGCCGTGGTGGTGTGCCCTGCCAATAGACTGGCTTAGCAGCAGTCTCCTTTTACACCATTGTGCATCTACTTTTGTTCTTCTGTGAAAAACAGTTGAGGTTAGGTTACTTTTGTATTGAGAACTGAAAACACATTTAAACAACATTGTTTTCTCTTGACATGTGATATTAACAGGGTTTTCACGATGATTTTGTAGCAGGTGGAATTTGTGCAAACTTTCACTCTGCTTGACAGAGTGGGCTTCCAGCGACAGCTCTGCAGGTGCTTTCCTTTTTTATTATTTTTTAAGACCTTTTTTTATTAGGACAAGTTTCTTCAGGAAGACTTCACTATAATTCAGGAAATGGCCAGGTGCAGAAAGAGGAGACAGTTTTATTATCTGACATCTGTAACAGCTGAGTGGCCTGTATTAAATGGCATAAAATACATGTCTTCCAGGGGAAAACAAAACAGAACTGTTTTCTGTGATATCCCATTTAAAGAATTATGGGTGCAAAGTGCAGCATACAGGTGTATGGGAACCAGTTTTGAAAGCGGAAGGTAAAACATAATTTAGGTTCCAAACGGTTTCTGTGTTTATGTTCAGCTTCAGCTGCAGCTTTCCAGTGTTAAGCTCCATATGGTAAAATGTGTAATGCACTTTGGCTTCCTTTTTTATAAAGGTAGATAAATCTGTTAACACTGTGAAGGGAACCTCTGTAGGGCTGCAGTAACCGTCTGCCAGAAAGTTTATCTGTTGCCACACAAACAAGGAGTTCACCTCTTAGAAAACGTGGGGCTCTTCTATCGCAGCATTGAACGTTTATCCTCTAATGCTCGTCTGCCAGGCTGTGGTGGATTACACCCCTTTCCACGAGGAGCTCTGTGTTTGGGGTGGAAGCCAGAGGAGCTCACTCGGGGAGGTTGTGGAGTGTCCAGCAGTGAAGGTTTTTAAGAGCACCTTAGTCCAGCATTTGTCAGATTAGACCTCCCTGCCTCGCGGCGGGGTACGGGCGGGATGACCCTTGGAATTCCCTTTTAGCCTGACTTCTTTTTTTCTTTCCCTGTGACCTACACTCAGGTATAGAGGGTGGATGCTCTGTGCAAATTATCCTCTCAGAGAGCACAGCCTAAACCGGGTCAGACTTTTCTGGGTTGCTGGAAGCTTTTAATGAAACACTCTGAAAAGCAAAATGACTCCACCATGGTTATTATAAATTCTTTCTGTGCAGAATATTAGAAGTTGCAAGGTGTTCTCAACTAACAGATGTGGGCTTTACCACTCTAGCTAGGGTAAGTGCTCATTTCCACTTTTTCATCAAGTATCTTTTCTTTTCATGGTAGATACGAACAAACAGTAGCTCTCTCTTGAATGTAGATTTTTGTAATGCCTTTGATCTTGAAGTTTGAGTGGAAGCTAAATTGCAAAAATTAGGTTGTGTGTAATCTTTGGCATTGTCCTGACCCACACATCTAGGACAGTGTGCATCCAAACTACATGAAATGTTAAATACTTGGGAGTTACAAACTCTACTGTTTGTTTTTCTAGATTAATCTGTGTTGTGTACAAGTGACCCTGAATATAACTTCCTTTACTTTCTATGAATAAAAAACCCTCTGTGCCTTTAAATGAGTGAAATTGCTAGACTTCCTTCACTGTACTTGGTGCTCTTTGTAAAGAAGCCGCAAACTTTCCTTCCAGCCATGATGTTTCATGGAGGAAAAAAACCTTCATTTTAAAAAAGAACTGTCTTTATTGCATTTGTGTTTATATTTGCTGTCTGAACTTTGCACTTAGTTTGTGCGTTTGGTCTTCTGTTTGCTCCTAGAACTGCCATGAGCTTGAAAAAATGGACCTGGAAGAGTGTGTCCAGGTAGGAGGTGCCACTTCTGCCTGTTTCTCTTTTAGCACAGTCACAGCAGTGTGGAAAAAATGGTGAAAAAGCAGTAGATTGTCTCCAGAAGAGAAATTGATGTAGAGTCCTGAGCGGGAAGATCAGATGTATTTGGATAAGAAAATGCTGCTTTTGTGGTTTGAGCCTTTGGTCATTTTTCACAGTAATGACCGCTGCTGTAAATAATGAAAAGTCTTTAATAGTCATAGAGGTGTCCTGAAGGCCACGTCGCAGACGTGTGAACTGTGACCCCCGGCACGAGATAAAGTCCCAGAGTAAGATCTCTGCACCCGAGGGGAGGTTTGTGCTGCGGTCGTTGCTGGAAATACTGGAAGCTGCCTCTGTTTTGAAAGCACCTAGCCAGATTGTTTGAACGGCAGTGATTTTTGTAGAGGACGTGGCAGCAACCTGAAACAAAACGGAGGGGCCCGTGCTCCCGCCTTCCTCGGAGGGGGTGGGCTGTAGCGTGGGGAGTCTCCCCGCCCTGCGCTGCTGCCGTCCCCCTCGCCTGGAGGGGGGGTCTCGTATGTGCCTACACGCTGTTCTGCAGGGTGGGGGGGGAGTGCCATAACCTGATAACCATTTCAAGGGAACACTTACAGGGAAAGGGTTGAATTGACTCAGGATGCCGTGAAAAATCTCCAGCCCCGAGGATAGGTTTGAAATCAGCTCGGAGAGTAGGATTTTGCTTCCTGCCATGAGAGCGGCGTGACCCCGCTCTTCTGTACTCCCTGATGTTTACAGGGCAGAAATTCGGGAGATCACAAGGGGAAATGACAGTAGTCCAGACAGGAAGTGATTGAAAGTTAACCCAAAAAAGGAAGAAGGAAAATCAGGCTGTGTCCTTGGACCGACTGCGTCGGTCAAAGACAGCCCAGCAAGTTCCCTTCTGAATGTTTTTAGATTAGGAAGCTGTTGTGTTCAGTCTCTCTCTTCCTGAATAGAGAGGAACAATTGGGCGGTCCACCGAGCTGTCGGAAGGGGATTTTGAACACCTCTTGTGGTTTCGGAGACAAACATTTAGGAGACATTGTGGTGCTGAAGAGGTCTGCTCACGTGCTTCTCTTAATTGTGAGCGTATTTCACGAGCTACTTAAGGAAGTTCAAAAAACCAGCAGTACCTCTGCCCTAGCAGTCCTTTAAGGATGTGAGTTGGTTTCTAAAAGGGAGGGGAAGAATCCGTACGTGGGAAATTTGGTCGTGAAGGAGGTAAATTTCTGCGGGGTTCAGGAGAGTGACTGTGGGGAGCACTGTCTTGGATTAGGCAGAGGTATGCAGCTTTTCTTTTGGGGGAGGTGAGGGAAGTCCCTGTGCAAAGCACCGGTGTGAAAACGCTTTTTCTTTTTTCCAGATAACAGACAGTACACTAATTCAGCTTTCCATACACTGTCCACGGCTTCAGGTTCTGGTGAGTATTATAAGTGAGACTTTCAGCATTTTCTTTCTGTAAACAAAGGGATTTTAAGCACAGCCTGTGGGGATTTGTCTCTGACTTCGTAGACATGTTGCGAAGGCTTGGAAGAATTCCGCTAGAAACTTGACCCTGCAGAACCTATTGTCCCTCCCCTACTGCTAGCATGAGTCGTATGCCAGGCACCCACAGCTGCCTGAAAATGAATTCTAGAACTCTGGCTTCTCCTGGTACCAGCCTCTGGCTGTCCTCAGCAAGCCCAGCAGAATCTGTCTACGCCCCGGGCTGTCTGTCCAGCTGCAGGAGAGGAGACCACAGCCCTTCCCACCTGTAGTATGGAGCTGGGCAGCTGGGACCCGGAAAGCAGCGTTCCCCTTGATCGAAATTCCTGGGAATTCAGTCCCGCTCTCCTCTCCGTCCCCGTGTGTCCTGCTCCACTGTCATCGTGAGGAAACCTGTCCCGGGAGGCGTGGGGGGATGCGCTCAGTGGGCTCTCCCGCACGCTCTGCCCCTCGGCACCGCACCGGGCTGCTGCCATCTCCCAGCTGAAGCCCCACGTCCCCCTTGACAACTTCTAAGATGCAGCCCCCCCCCAGCCCTCCCCAGCCCAGAAAACGCACCAAGTAGGTGACGTTGTATTTCTGCTGGTTCTCAGCCCCTGCTGCAGGGTCCTTCCCGCGCTGTCTAAGGCCGTGGATTTTACAAAAGTGGTTTCTTTGATAGCAGAGACACTTATTCCGTGTCTGTGCCGTCCCGTCTCCTGGCTCCTCTTCCAGCAGCTGCCTCCCCCGCTGCGCTTCGGCCGTGAGTTTTTCCCCCTTGCAGGCACGTTAGTCACGGGAGGCCCACGGAGCCCGGGGTCTGAAACTCAGCAGTGGCCCCAGTGCAAGGCGGGAGCACAGACCCAGCAAAAAAAAAAAAAAAAACAAAAAAAAACAGTATGGCAAACCAGTCCAAACCTCTGAAATGTGGGGGCATCTTCTCTCCTGTCCCGCAGTGCCCCCCACCCCGGCAGGGTGTTGGCTTCTGTTTGCCAACAGCAGGGGCTGCTAACTTGCTCTCTTTGGGTGCAGAGTTTGTCCCACTGCGAGCTGATCACGGACGATGGGATCCGTCACTTGGGAAACGGCGCCTGCGCACACGACCGCTTGGAGGTGATCGAGCTGGACAACTGCCCTCTGATCACGGACGCCTCCCTGGAGCACCTGAAAAGCTGCCACAGCTTGGAGAGGATAGAACTGTACGACTGCCAGCAAATCACGCGGGCAGGGATCAAGAGACTCAGGGTAAAAAAAAAAAAAAAACCACAATTCAAACCCCGCTAAGGCTGTGACTCCGAACGCTTCATCCAGTGGGGAGGAGGGAGGGCTGAGGTTTCAGATTCCTCATGATACAGTGCTCGTTCTTAAAAGTAGTGTGAGAACCATCGATGAATTTAATAGCTGTCGTGCACCCGGAGGATTGGATGGGGACGGACGCTAGCTGGTAGGGAGGAGAGAGAATTACTGTGTTCACTGAGCAGCAGCAGAAAGGAACAGAGGAGACCCAGCGTGCCGGCGCTCGTCCGTGACTCTGCTCCTCTGCAGAGCTCGTGCCACAGCGGAGGGGTGGGGTGGCACCTCCTCCCCACTACTCTACACACTCCGCGTGGATTGTGCTGCCCTTTCTAGTGACATTTCCCTGTGACTAGCTCGGGCTAATCCCGTAACAGGGTCAGGCTGGGTGGCCTGGAGGGGCCGGGGCCACTGCCGCCGGCTGCGGGTCGCCGGCGCGCTGGGTGCCCTCCCGAGCCTCTCTCTCCATCAGCAAAGGAGGAGCCATGCTCACGTTTGCAAAGAGAAACACAGATTTGTCGTTAGATGTTGCTCTGCTCCCCACAGCTACCCCGGGATTAACGGGGAGGAACGGGCATCGGGTTTTTTCAGTCCCTGTAACTCGTGTTTTCTGGTAACAGAGAACTTGCTAAGCCCCAGTCTGGGGAGGGGAAACCACGCTGGGGGAAAACGGAAAGCGTTCGACTCTAGCTTTTATGTGTTTGTAGCCTGAAGACAAGTAAGGCAGGCCTCTTGCAGCTTCTCTTTGACTCTTGCGCTGCCGCTGTCCTTACCACTTTACACTTTTTTTTTTTGTCTTTTCAGACCCACTTACCCAACATTAAAGTCCACGCCTACTTCGCGCCTGTGACTCCCCCTCCTTCGGTCGGAGGCAGCAGACAACGCTTCTGCAGATGTTGCATCATCCTATGACACTGGAAGTGGTCATCCTTGCAAACTGAGTATTTAATTACACTTGTAGAATTACGGTGGACACCAGTATCTTCAAGGAAAGCGATACCAGTGTCGTTTGCAAGGGCCAGCGAGCCGGGCTGCGGTGCCGGGCCCCTGGAGCCACCCACACACGTACATACACACCCCCACCTGCTCCAGCAAACTGATGAACTCTGCAGGCTGGGAGCTGGAGCTGTGTTGGCTTTTTTCTGTAGGTGGATTGGTATAATTCTGAACCATTCCTACTGGGCATGCTCAGATGAAATCATTGCGGTAAGGAGGGGAGGTTTTTGCGAACCCAGAGCGACTCTTGCTGCTGTTGAGGTTGGAACAGTAACTGAAACCCTTTGAAATGGGGAGAGGGGGGAGAGGGAAGGAACATGCTTTAACCCTGCATCCATTGTCCAGAAGGAAAAAAAAAAAAAAAAAACAAAAAAAAACACACAACAAAAAAACCCAACAAACCTGAAAATCCCAACAAGTTTTGTGTCCGTTTTTCAGTGAGGGAATGAAACAGCAGCCGTTGAGACACGATTTACTTGTGCTTCTCTACTTCCCGTTCCCTGCTGACCACCCTGAGCATGCTCACCTTGAAGGTTCATCTGTTTCTTCTGTGTTCTGTAGCGCCCAGCTCAGAGGCTTCCTAGGTTGTTGTGGTATAGCTTGAGATCTGTAACGTCAGGCTCAATTTTTTTTTACCCTCCCCACATCCTGCTTTTTTTTTTACAGATTTCTAATTCAGTAATTTTTTTTTTTTTTTTGAGATTTACCAACCGAAAGTTAGGAATCAATTTAAATTTTAAAAAGTACTTTTTACCATTAGAAGCCTGAGCCTGTCATGATTTTTAAATAGCAAGCGAGCTGCACTCCAGGCTAGGCTCCTGTGGGCCTCTTGGCCTGTTCCTGTCAGCGATTGGGCATCCGCATTTGTTCTGCATTTCAGGTTTTATCCCCGTGGCAAGAAAATAACTCTTGATACAGGGAAAAAGTTACAGTCTCTGCTCCAGCGACTGTAAGTTCCCTATTCCTCCTGTCCTGTCCCTTGGACCCTCCATCCTGCCCCCAAGGAAAAGCAAAGTAGAATCTGTTTGCTTGTTGCCCTGATCAAGAAATAAAGACTCACTAGTGGGAGCGGGAGGAGCAGCCGGCCTGGACGTGCGCCCTCGGTTCTTGCCCGGTGTTCGCACGCCGAGGCGCGAGCGCTGGGTGACCTCCCTGACTTTTGCATCTCCCGCAGGTAAGTCTCTTGCCCTGGAGGAGGAGCCGTCCGGACGAAGAGGGGGGGGGTTTGCTGTGCGCCAGGCCTTTCCTGCTCTCGGGGTGTTCCGAGCAGCCCGTTTTGAGGCGTTTCAGGGCAAGATTAGCCCGGGCACCTCCCGGTTCGGCGTCGCTGGCGGCTCCGGAGTGCCCGGTGTGAAGCACGGGAGCAGGAGGGCCCACGCCAGCGGGGTTTAACGGGGCAGGACCTGGTGGAACTCCCGAGGGGTCGGCGGCAGACGAGCGGTCGCGCTCCGCCGGCACCCCGGGACGGGGCTGGGGGGGGAGCCCCCTGTTTTCGGGTTGCTTCCCCCCTGGCTGAGAGGAGCGAGTCTGTAATCCTCGGAGCTGGCAGCAGCTGAGGGGGTGGTGCTTCACCCCCGTGCTGAAGGGTGGGGGCAGAGCGGGGTGCGGCGGGGGGGAGCGGCTGCTTTGGGGGGTTCGCGCTGAGGACAGCGCGTCGGGTCCCCCCCTCTCTGAGCTCTCGGGGCAGGCAGAGGGGTCGCCTGGTACCACCGAAGCTCCGTCCCCTTCACCTACAGCCTCAATTTCCCCAACCCATCTGTATATGCTTAGCAAAGCCCGGCAGCTGCGCAGTCTGCTGGGAGGGAGCCCGGCCCGCTGGGTTTAAAAGGATACTGTCAATTCCTTTCCTGTAGATCGCTTTTAATCCGTTATATTTATTCAAATCCCCTTTAGCGCTGTGGATTCTCTCTCTCCCTCCTCGTCGAGCGTGTTCCCATACTTCATTTGCAGAGCTCCCTTCTCGGATTTTCAGGGTGGCAGAAGATAATGGTGCTTCCCGTGGTGACGGACTGAGCGGGCGGGTGCGCCCGGGGCAGCACCCGGCAATCACAGGATTTGCCCAACTCTGGGAAGAAACACTTTGTTTAGTTTATACCGTGGCAGGGGAGAGCTGAAATGGATTTGCAAGCCAGGGCGTATGGTTGGCTGACTGATTTCTTTGTAACAGAGCAGAGTTTTTTCAAGGGAAAACTCCAGAATACAGAACCCAAAGCTTTTTTTTTTTTTTTTTTTTTTTTTTTCTCTCCTCCAAACAGGGTGACAGCATTAAGGTAGCTCAAACCTACTTGACAGTGTCCTTTTAAGTCAATTATCCGTCTTCAAATGGACTCTTCCTTATGTTTGTATTTATAAATACCAATAAACACCATTTTCCAAGCCGTGTCTTACTAGAGGAATACCTTTATAGAACAAAAAATCACCCCCCTCCTGCACGTGGTGGCCGGGGGCTGGGGGTGCTGGTTGGGGGCTGGGGGGGTGCTGGGTGCTGGGACGAGCCCTGGGCGGCTGCGGGGGGCACGGGGCGCCAGTGCTGGAAAGTCTTTTGTCGGGTGGTTTTGAGGGGGTGAGGGACGCAAAACCACGGCTCCGCTGAAAGGCTCAGCGACCGAAAAAGTGAAATTGGAAAGTTCCTGCTTGTGCCAAAAGCCCTTTCCCAACCCCGGCCCAGCAGGATCCGGCCCCTCGGGCTCTCGCCCCAAGCCCTTTCCTTGCCCTTGCCTGAAACGGGTGGGAGCAGAGGCCGGGTGCTGGCACCACCCCCCCAAAAAGGGGATTTTGTCCCCCGTTTCAGCACTTCACCCCCTGCCCTGGCCTCGACGTGAACGGCCCCGGACAACCTGAGCTGGAGCTGCCGCGGTCGGGCAGGGACGGGCTGAGAAGAGGCCAAACACAACCAGAACTGGGGCTTCCCCGGGCTCCCGAGAGCCGCCAGCAGCGAATCTGCTCCCAGGGCTGGGACTGCTCCCCCCGGGGACGTGGCAGGTGTAACACGCTGTCACGGCGGTTACGGAAAAAAAAAACGCTTTAAAGAATTCCCATTTTCTAAGCATCATTGTCATTTCCTTTTTTTTTTTTATTATTATTGTTATTTTTTTTAATTTTACTCTGGATGTGTTGTTCATGGCTGGCCCATGGTGTCATGGGTTTTGGGTGGGTTGGTTTGTTTCGGTTTGGTTTTTTTTTTGTCTTTTTGGTGGGGTGGGAGATCAGTATGACAAGGTTCTTCACTACAGTGCCCTAAAAAGAAGGTTTAAAACATTTTGGCCTCTTCCCATGAAGGATTGTGCGGTCAGGGGGGTTGGCTTGGGTGGGGATTTTTTTTTTCTGTTTTGCCTTGTTTTGTGGCACCCAAGCGACCTGGCTGAGGTTTCTGTTCTCTCTCTCCTGAAGTGCCCAGCTCCGCTCCAGGGTGCCGAGGTCCCTGTGCTGCAGCACGGGGCTGAAAAAACGGGGTGTCGGAGGAGAACCCCCCCCCCTTTCCTCTTTCATTCACAGCTTCAGCCCCGGCCCCCCACCCCCCAGGGACCCCCCCGGGCCCGGCCGAGCGCTCGGTGTCACCGGGGGTCCGGGACGGGGGGAACATCTCAGTGCTGGGGTCACCTCTGCCAGCCCCCCCGGCACGTGCGGGGAGAGGGACGGCTCCGCGGGGCCGGCGGTGCTACCTGCTCCCCAGCTTTACCTGTGGTTGTTTTGTTTTGGTTTTTTTTTTAAGAAATGAGGAAATACAGCCCCTGGTGCCAGCCAGCCCCTGCCCCGGGAGGGCACCCGGGCTGCCCGGGGCGGGGGGCTGTGGAGATGCCACCCTCTGCCACCAGCCCCCCCCCCCCCCCAGCATCCTGCCTTTCCCCGGGGTTCTCGGTGCTGCAGCCACGAACCTTCCTCCACCCCTGAACCCCCAGCCGAGCTCACCTGGGCTTTCCCCCCCGCCAGGCCCCGGCTCTTAACTCAACCTCTGCAAAAACGGGATTATTCCCCCTCCTCCATGCAACCCCCCCCCAGCGTTCAACGTTCGCAGCCTCCAGCTCCGTCCCCATCTCGCTGTGTGGGACCCGGGGGGGGGGGGGGGGGGTGGGGGGCTGCAGTGCCCCCCAGACCCCCGTGCTGGGGGACAGGGCTGCCTGCCTTGGTATTTTTAACACATTTTTAAACTCGGATGGGCTCGCGGTATCTGTTCAGTCTGATGTACCGGACAGGTGAGCTGGAACCTTGTCATACGCTCCCTTGATTATATGTATTATAGAGAGATCTGTAAAATATTATTTTAATGATATTGTAATCTGTGCTTCCCTTGACGCTGCGTGGATATAATGATGCCATTAACTAAAAGTAAATATATATATATATGTAGTGAAGTTGTCCCTTGCCTGTGGGATGCCGTACGTGGTCCCCGTGGGGCACCGGGGGTCCGGGTGGGAAGGGGCTCGTGGGACCCGGCTCCCCTCGGGGGTGACGGTTCTGGGGAGGGTCGTGGGCGTTTCCTTTTCCTGCACCCACCCGCGGTGGGGCCACGGGCCCGTGTCTGTCCCTGCCCTCCCCTCGCTGCGTTTGCCAACTCCCTGATCTCGGACCCTCCCCGGGACACGTCCCAGCGCCCTCCCCGCTTCTCCCCAGCAGCCCCCCGGCTCCTCTCGGTCCCCCTCCCTCCTCTCCGGGGAAATCTGCCGCCGGCTTGTTTATCCCAAACCCGACCTTCACCCTGCGAGTTGTTTCCTCTCCCCACGGCGTCCCCCGGCTCTGCCCTCTGTGCCAGCACCAGCCGGTGCTTGGGGGAAGGACTCGCCGGTAAAAAATGACCCGTTCCCCAACCAAAAGGCAGAAATGGGGCTTTACTGGGTTTTGTCTGTGCCACGGCCGGCTCCATCCCGGCGGGGTGGGACAGGACCTGCTCTGCCCCAGCTTCCTCCTCGCTGTCCCAAGGGCTGCCGGGCTCCCACCGAGGCCCCACTCCCCAACCCAGCCCAGGGGTTTCTCGAGGCCGTGGGGCTGCTCCCACCCCACAGCGGGTGCAGGACCCCCAGGACCCCTCACCCAAACCCCCAGCAAGGCGCCGCAGGGACGAGGCCGTGCTCGGGGCTGGCTCCCTCCACCCTTTAATACAAAAACGGGGCCGAGGCGACGGGGCGGCGGCGGGGACGCCGGTGCCACCAGCCAGGCTGGGACCCCGTCCCCTCGCCCCCTCCCCACAAGGGGCCGGGGGAGCCTGGCAGGGACGGCAAGCTGTGTCTGGGGACTGTGCCAGCCTCGGGGTCCCGTCTCCATCCCGGCACAGCTCGGTGGGGGTATCTCCCTTCCCGGGGGTGACGCAGCGCCGGGGGGGGGGGGCGGAGGCGGGGGGGTCCGGGTCCTACCGCAGCACCAGGTCGTACCCCTCGGGGCCGCGCGCTGCCCGGAGACGTGGCTCAGCCGGGGCCATCGCCCCCCTGCCCGCAGCCCCTGGCCACCGCGTTACCTTTGCCGATGGCCACCGCGAAGCACGTCTCGTCCAGGAGGTTCCTGATCATCTGTGGGGTGAGGGGAGGGGCAGGGGGTGAGGAGGAGGCTGCGTGTCCCAGCCCGGACCCCCGTCCCGCTGCAGCGAGGGGGACCCACGGGGGGCTGAGCCTCGCTGGGAGCAGGTTGGGGACCCTGAGGGGCCGGGATGGCTGCGGGGTCCAGCAGCTGGTCCTCACCGCATCGCTGACGAGGATGTGGATGCCGGAGGGTCCCTGCCGGGACAGGCGCAGGATTTGGCCCTCCGGGAGCCGCAGCAGCTCAGACAGCTTCCCGCTGAGCTCGGCCACCGTCAGCTCCTCCAGCTGCACCTCCTGGTACAGCCCTGGGGACGCGATGGGGACAGGGACGGGGCGCTGAGCCTGGACCCTCCGTCCCTGCGCTGCCCCGCGCCCACCCACGTACCTGAGCATCCCTCCTCCGCGCCCTCGGCCCCGCCGGCGCGTTCCCACGACACGTAGAGGGTCAGCAGGGGCCGCGGGGACCTGCGGAGGCAGAAGAGGGATCCCGGGGCGGGGGGGGGTGGGGGGGTGGGGGGGTGCAGGATCCTGTCAGGCATCGCGGGGGCTCCCGGGAGTCCCCCGAAAGGCGTCGGAGCCCACCTGCCCGTCAGCGCGTTGCAGAGGCGGATGCCGTCGGGGGCTCCGCAGATCTGGATCAGGTCCCTGCGGGAGAGCTTCAGCAGGTCGGCGCCTGCGGAAAAGGGGGGGTGGGGGGGGAAGGGGGGGTGTCACAGCCACAGGGGCCGGCTCTGACCCCCCTCCCCGGCCCGACGCTGCCTCACCCGCGAAGTTGGCGAAGACCCGGGCGTAGGCGGAGAAGCGGCGCTTGTGCAGCCACTGCTGCGTCTCCAGGGGGGATGCGCAGGGGCTCAGCGCCTGCGGGCAGCGGGATGGGAGCCTCAGCCGGGGCACGAACCGAGCGGGGACGTTCTCAGCCCAGCCAGCCTCTCTCGGGGGGGTTTGGGGGGGGGGATATAGGGGTGCCCCAGGCTGCGGTGGCACCCTCACCTCGGCAGGACTCCCCACGGGGCTCTCGGCAGCGCAGGCGGGCGACACACACACCCTGCGGGGAGTGGGGCTGGGGCTGAGTGGGGGACCCCAGCAGCAGGCGGGGGGGCAGTGGCCCCCCCCCGCGCCCCCCCCCCCATTTACCTCTCGAGGCTCAGCAGCTTGAAGGGGTGAGGAGACGGCAGCCCCGGGGGGCTGGGGGGGGCACCCAGCGCATCCGGCCATGGGGCACACTGTGGAGGGAGGGAGGGGGTCAGGGGGTCAGGGGCACCCCGGCCCTCAGAGGGGGGGGTGCCAGGGCCGGCTCCCACCTCGGCCAGCACGGTGGTCTCGTAGGCCGGCTGGAATTTCTGCCGCTCCGGCGCCGGCTGCTTCTCCACCTTCTCCCGATCCGTTTTCTGCTTCCTATCGGCCCCTTTGGGCTGCGCCGGGGGCCGTGAGCGCGACTGACGGGGACCCCGGACCCCCGGGGTGCTCAGACACCCCCCGCTCCTCCACACCCCCCCCCTACACCCACCCCTGCACACCCACACGCACCCAGAGCCTGGTCCATCCAGCCCCACACTCAGATTGGGATTTGCCAGGAACTGGGAGGGGGACACAGTGGTCACCCTGGGGTCACTGGTGTGTCTCCCCCCCCCACCCCCCAATACCTTGAACACCTTGACGAGGCAGCTGGCGGAGTGGAGGTGCTTGGGGGGGTCCCCCTTGCCCCCCACCCCGAAGGTGTCGATCTGGATGCGGAAGGGGACACCTTTCTCCCCCCCGTTCTTCCGCAGCGTGAACTCGGTGCTGGTGCAGTGAACCTGCGAGGGGACAGCGGGGTTGGGGGCGGCTGCTGTGACCACCCCCCCCCCCCGAGCCCCCTCCCGAGCCCCCCCGGCCTGGCTCCCACCTGCACAAAGACAGCCGTCCGCCTCGAAGGGTCCCAGAGGAACTCCACCGTGTTGAGCAGCGTGGGGTGGATTTGGGGCTCGAGGATGCCGATGGAAAGCGGGAGGTCTGCAGGAAGGGGGGTGAGCACGGCCACTCCCCCCCCGCCCCCCCCCCCCGGCCCCCCCCAGCCCCCCGCCCGCACTCACCGATGTCGAGGATGCGATCGCCCGGGCGGCTGCACCGCCAGCCCTCCAGCTGCTGCTGCGCCGAGTGCTGCAGCCGCCGGTCGTGGAAGGCCACCCGCACCACGCTCTGCGCCGCAGGATCAGGCCCACGGCCACGGCCCCGAGCCCACCGAGAGACAGGATGGACTGGGCTGAACTGGGGCTGGACCTGGAGCTGAGCTGGGACTGGACCTGGGGCTGGACTGGGGATGGACCTGGGGCTGGACTTGGGGCTGAGCTGGGACTGGACCTGGGGCTGGACCTGAGGCTGAACTGGGACTGAACTGGGGCTGAGCTGGGACTGGACCTGGGGCTGAACTGGGGCTGGACCTGGGGCTGAACTGGGACTGAACTGGGACTGAATTGGGGCTGGACCTGGGGCTGGACCCGGGCTGAACTGGGGCTGAGCTGGGACTGGACCTGGGGCTGAACTGGGGCTGGACCTGGGGCTGAACTGGGACTGAACTGGGGCTGAACTGGGACTGAATTGGGGCTGGACCTGGGGCTGGACCCGGGCTGAACTGGGACTGGACCTGGGGTTGAACTGGGACTGGACCTGGGGCTGAACTGGGGCTGGACCTGGAGCTGAGCTGGGGCTGGACCTGGGGCTGGACTGGGGCTGGACCTGGGGCTGGACTTGCGGCTGAACTGGGGCTGAACTGGGACTGAACTGGGGCTGAACTGGGACTGAATTGGGGCTGGACCTGGGGCTGGACCCGGGCTGAACTGGGACTGGACCTGGGGCTGAACTGGGGCTGAACTGGGACTGAATTGGGGCTGGACCTGGGGCTGGACCCGGGCTGAACTGGGACTGGACCTGGGGTTGAACTGGGACTGGACCTGGGGCTGAACTGGGGCTGGACCTGGAGCTGAGCTGGGGCTGGACCTGGGGCTGGACTGGGGATGGACCTGGGGCTGGACTTGCGGCTGAACTGGGGCTGAACTGGGACTGGACCTGGGGCTGGACCTGAGGCTGAACTGGGACTGAACTGGGGCTGAGCTGGGACTGGACCTGGGGCTGAGCTGGGGCTGGACCTGGGGCTGAACTGGGACTGAACTGGGGCTGAACTGGGACTGAATTGGGGCTGGACCTGGGGCTGGACCCGGGCTGAACTGGGACTGGACCTGGGGTTGAACTGGGACTGGACCTGGGGCTGAACTGGGGCTGGACCTGGAGCTGAGCTGGGGCTGGACCTGGAGCTGAGCTGGGGATGGACCTGGGGCTGGACTTGCGGCTGAACTGGGGCTGAACTGGGACTGGACCTGGGGCTGAACTGGGACTGAACTGGGGCTGAACTGGGACTGAATTGGGGCTGGACCTGGGGCTGGACCCGGGCTGAACTGGGACTGGACCTGGGGTTGAACTGGGACTGGACCTGGGGCTGAACTGGGGCTGGACCTGGAGCTGAGCTGGGGCTGGACCTGGGGCTGGACTGGGGCTGGACCTGGGGCTGGACTTGCGGCTGAACTGGGGCTGAACTGGGACTGAACTGGGGCTGAACTGGGACTGAATTGGGGCTGGACCTGGGGCTGGACCCGGGCTGAACTGGGACTGGACCTGGGGCTGAACTGGGGCTGAACTGGGACTGAATTGGGGCTGGACCTGGGGCTGGACCCGGGCTGAACTGGGACTGGACCTGGGGTTGAACTGGGACTGGACCTGGGGCTGAACTGGGGCTGGACCTGGAGCTGAGCTGGGGCTGGACCTGGGGCTGGACTGGGGATGGACCTGGGGCTGGACTTGCGGCTGAACTGGGGCTGAACTGGGACTGGACCTGGGGCTGGACCTGAGGCTGAACTGGGACTGAACTGGGGCTGAGCTGGGACTGAATTGGGGCTGGACCTGGGGCTGGACCCGGGCTGAACTGGGACTGGACCTGGGGCTGAACTGGGGCTGAACTGGGACTGAATTGGGGCTGGACCTGGGGCTGGACCCGGGCTGAACTGGGACTGGACCTGGGGTTGAACTGGGACTGGACCTGGGGCTGAACTGGGGCTGGACCTGGAGCTGAGCTGGGGCTGGACCTGGGGCTGGACTGGGGATGGACCTGGGGCTGGACTTGCGGCTGAACTGGGGCTGAACTGGGACTGGACCTGGGGCTGGACCTGAGGCTGAACTGGGACTGAACTGGGGCTGAGCTGGGACTGGACCTGGGGCTGAGCTGGGGCTGGACCTGGGGCTGAACTGGGACTGAACTGGGGCTGAACTGGGACTGAATTGGGGCTGGACCTGGGGCTGGACCCGGGCTGAACTGGGACTGGACCTGGGGTTGAACTGGGACTGGACCTGGGGCTGAACTGGGGCTGGACCTGGAGCTGAGCTGGGGCTGGACCTGGAGCTGAGCTGGGGATGGACCTGGGGCTGGACTTGCGGCTGAACTGGGGCTGAACTGGGACTGGACCTGGGGCTGAACTGGGACTGAACTGGGGCTGAACTGGGACTGAATTGGGGCTGGACCTGGGGCTGGACCCGGGCTGAACTGGGACTGGACCTGGGGTTGAACTGGGACTGGACCTGGGGCTGAACTGGGGCTGGACCTGGAGCTGAGCTGGGGCTGGACCTGGGGCTGGACTGGGGCTGGACCTGGGGCTGGACTTGCGGCTGAACTGGGGCTGAACTGGGACTGAACTGGGGCTGAACTGGGACTGAATTGGGGCTGGACCTGGGGCTGGACCCGGGCTGAACTGGGACTGGACCTGGGGCTGAACTGGGGCTGAACTGGGACTGAACTGGGGCTGAACTGGGGCTGAACTGGGGCTGAACTGGGACTTACAGTCAGAGCTTCGCCCCAGGGTGTGCCCCAAGGCCTCACCCCAGGTTTTGAGGGGGGGGGGGGGGGGCTCCCCCATCTCACCTTGAGCATCCTCCATCCCCCCCCGCTGGGGTCGGCCCGGGGGTTCCCCATCATGCGGATCTCATACGACTGCCCTGCTTGGGGGGGGGGGGCAAATGTGGGCGCTGAGACCCCAGCTGGGTCCCACCCCCCCCCCTTGGGGTGCCCCCATCAATCCACCCCCCCTTCCCCCCCCCCCCCCCCAAAACTCACCCTGGTTGAGGTAGGTGAGGGTCTCCTCGTGGTGCCGGACGGCGGGAGAAGTGGGGGCGCAGAGCAGGTACTGGAAAGCCGGGGGGGTGGGCTGCGGGGGCGAGATGCCGCTGGGTTCCTCCTGCTTCAGGTAAGGCAGAACGGGGGGGTCCCTATGGGAAATAACAACACACACACACACACACACACACCCCCCCGAGGGTGGGCGCTCAGTTGTGCCTCAGTTTCCCCAAATGCAAGAGATGTTTTAGGGTTTTGGGGGAGGGGGGGGTGTTTGTACCTGAGCAGCCCAGAGCTGGAAATGGGGTACATCTCCCCAGGACTGGACCAGTGATGGTCCGGTTGGCCATGCCAGAAAAGCAGGGGGGGGGGGGGGGAGTGTGCGTGTCCAAAATGGGGATGGGGGGGGGGTCACGCACAGACACACACAGAGGGTGACAGTAGGGAGGGACAGGTTGGTGCCCCCCCACTTTTATAGGAGAAGGGAGGGGTGGGGAGAGCGGGGTTGGCCCAGTTGGGCCCAGCTGGGTCCAGTTTGGGGGAGGGAGTTGACAGTAAATAGGGGGGGCGGGGGGCGGGGGGGGCACCTTGTGTTATCAATACAAACTGGGGGGGGGGACACACACAGACAGACAGACACGCAGGGCTGCTCCCGGGGGGGCTCCAGCCGGCCGGTTCCCGGGGGGGGGGGGGTGTGGGGGGGTGTGGGGGTGTCCCCAACCATGTCCCCTTGTCCCAGCCCTGCCAAGGACATCTGCCCCCCCCCCCCCGGCCCCCCCCCCCAGTCATCCCAGTCCGCCCTGTCCAGGGCAAGAAGCCAAACCCGCCCTGTGCCAGCCCGCGCGGCCCCCGCTGCATTCTAATTCCTCTAATTTCACGTAGATTTGGCTCAAAAAAAAAGGAGGGGGGGTGTGTGTGTGTGTGTGTTTGGTTGTGTAGAGCACTTAAACACCCCCCCCCCGGGTGTCTGGGGGGAGGTTATGGGGTGTCGGGGGGGGGGTATGAGTGCTGCCCCCCCTCCCCTTGGGTGTCGGGGGAGAAGGGAGTGTCAAGGGGGGATGTTCATAGGTGCTGCCCCCCCCCCCCAGGGTGCAAATGAGGGGGGGGGGGGGCATGAGCGCTGACCCCCACCGGAATATGGGGGGGGGGGGAATGGGTGCTGCCCCCTAAGTGTTAGTGGGGGGGTCCCTGGGTGCTGCCCCCCCCCAAGCTGTCAATGGGGGGGGGGTCCTCCCTTGCCCCCCCATATTCGATGCTTGATGTTTGGGGGGGGGAAGGCCCGCCCCACGGGGTCCGGCAGCCAATGGGCAGCCAAAGATTAGCATATCTCTCCATTACCCCCCCCACACACACACACCCGGAGGGGAGGGGCCGGCGGCAGTTTGAGCGCGGTGTTGTCGCGACCGGGTCGCGGCGCTGTCGCGACAGCGGCGGCCGGAGGAGGGGGGGAGGGAGGAGGAGGAGGAGGAGGAGGAGGAGGAGGAGGAGGAGGAAGGGGGGGGGGGGGCGTGGCGGGTGGATGACGGAGTCGCCCGGGGAGTGCGAGTCGGCGGCCCCCCCCGAGCCCCCCCCCGCCGGCCCCGGGGCCGGGCACGGCAGCAAGGTACGGTGGTACGGCGGGGGGGGGGGGGGGTGAGTGGGCACCGGGGGGCGGGGGGGGGGGGTGCACCGGGAGGGGGGGTGTCAGTGTTCACCGGGGGGGTGACGGGGCACTCCGCCCCGGGCGCTCTCAGCCGCTTTTGGGGTGTTGCTGGCCCAGCCCGGGGGGGTTCAGCCCCTGCCCCCCCCCCCCCCCCCCCGGCTGACCGGTGCTGGTGCAGCGGGGGTGGCAGCGGGGGGGCCCCCTCCCGGGGTCCCCGCCATCCCTGAGAGAGGGGGGGTGGGTGGGTGTGGTGTCTCTACCACCCTTTGGGGGGCCCTCCCGGGGTTATTGTCACCCCTGGGGGGGGGTCCCTGCCACCCCGCGGCGGGGGGGGGGGTGTCCCTCCGGCAGATGCAGCGGTTGAAGCGGTCCCTGTCCCTCCGGACGCTGCTGCGGAGCAAGAGCGTGGAGAACCTCTTCCCGCGGCCGGGCGGGGGGGTGCAGGGCCCCGGGCCCCCCCCGTCCCCCCCCCGGACACACGGCTTCCAGCAGTACGTCTTCAAGAAGCATTGTCCGTGCGAGCTGTGCCGGCAGCTCATCGCAGGTGGGTGCTGGGGGGGGGTGTGTGTGTGTGTGTGTGCTGCAGGGGGGGTGTAGGGTGGTGCAGGGATGGGTTTGGGGGGGCTGCCCTTGGCTGTGACCCCCCCCCCCCCGCTACCTTGCAGGCAACTCGCGGCAGGGCCTGCGGTGCAAGGCGTGCAAGGCCGGCGTGCACCTCTGGTGCTCCGAGGGGATCTCGCACCAGCAGTGCCCTGGCAAGACGGTAAGTGCTTGGGGGGGGGGGGCCACACACACACACACCCCCACCCCACCCCCAGGCCTGCCAGCCTCCCCCCAAACCCCCCTGACACAGCCCTGGCCCCCCCGGAGTGGGGAGGGGGCTGCGGGCAGCGGGGCGCATGGCTGCACACGCGTGTGCGCTGGCGTGCGTGCCCGCGGGCACGTGTGAGCGCAGAGATGGGGGGGGGGGTGTGTGTGTGCAAGCAAACCCCCCCCGCCCCCCCGCTGTGCACAAGGGGCTCCCCAGCCCCGGGGGCACACTCAGTCCCAGCAGCGCCCCAGCTCTGCCCCCTCCCACCCCCCCCCCCCCCCCAGATGTTGGACACCCCCTTTTTCCCAAAACCTCTCTTTTTTCCCCCAGGCCACCTCTTTCCGCCGCAATTTCAGCTCGCCCCTGCTGCTGCCGGAGCAGGGGGGCTCCACACAAAGTGAGCCCCCCCCAGGTGAGTGCCCGGCCCACAGGTCCTGTGGGGTACACCTTCTCCTTGGGGTGCAGGCTGGGCTGGGGGGGCCCTGACACCCCCCCATTGCCCCCCCCCACCCCAGACCCTGTGTACGAGGCGCTGCGGTTCGGCACCTCCCTGGCACACGGCGCCGGCCCCACGGAGCTGCCCCCCAGCACCCAGGTACCCCCCAGAACTGGAGTTGGGGCACTGGGGGGGGTCGGTGTGGGTGTGGGGACCCCCCCCCTCCCCACCCACCCCCCAGCCCTCCCTCTGCTCTAGGGTGACAAAGCGGCAGCTGAGGAGGAGAGCGGGGACCCCCCGAGCAGCTTGGGGAGCCCCAGCACCGGCGGTGAGGGGGTGGCATTGAGGTGGGGGGGGGCCGGGGGGGGGCATAGTGGGGAGCTGACTCTGTCCCCCCGTCTGTCTGTCCGTCTGTCTGTCTCAGCAGTTGTCACCCCAGCAGAGAGGGACGGGGTGGAGGAGAAGAGCCCTGGGCAGCAGGTGGGGGTTGGGGGGGGGGCAGGATGGGGGTGAAGGGTGGGGACTTGGGGGGGCTTGGGTGATGTGTGGGGGGGGGGGGGGTGGGAAGAGGGCTAGGGCTGGGGGGCAGAGGGATGGGGTGTTGGAAGGGGGCTGGGGGGGCAGAGGGATGGTGCTGGGGGGGGGGCTGTGGGGGAGCCATGGGGCTGGGGGGGTGGCCGTGGGGCTGGAGGGGGCTATGGGGCTGGGGGGGGGGGGGGGGCCGTGGGGCAGGGCTGGCTGTGTCCACAGGCTGCCCCAGGGCCGGCGCGGTGGGACGGGGCCCCCATGTTCTCCTACGTGGCTCTCTACAAGTTTGTGCCCCAGGAGCACCAGGACCTGGCACTGCAGTGAGTCGGGGGGCGGGGGACGGGACGGGACCCCACTGGAGACCGTGGGGGGGGGGGGGGAACAGCCCCAGGCTGCTGCCCCACACCTCCCTCCTTCCCCCCCCCCCCCCCCAGGCCAGGGGACAGGGTGACGCTGGTGGACGACTCCAACGAGGACTGGTGGAAGGTCAGAGGGGGCTATTGGGGGGGGGGGGGGGCCCACTCGTGTCGCTGCCGGGACGGTCACTGGTGCAGTGAGCGGGGGGGGGGGGCGGGTCTCAGCCACCCCCCTCGGTCGCCGCAGGGCAAGGTGGGCGACCGGCTGGGCTTCTTCCCGGCCAACTTCGTGCAGCGCGTCCGTCCCGGGGAGAGCGTGTGGAGGAGCCGCCGGGCCGTGCCGGGGGACCGGGGGCAGGGGCGCCTGAGCCTCCGCCAGAACCAGGTACGGGGGGGCTGGGGACACACACCCCCCCCTTGGTGGTGCCAGCAGCCCTGGGGTGCACCGAGCTGAGCCCGGCCTCAGCGAGGTGACGGCCTCAGCGCCGTGCCCCACGGCACCACCCCTCTTGTCCGTCCGTCCGTCTGTCCCAGATCTGCGTCGGCGTGGGCAGGACCCAGGGTCTCGTCCGGGTGACCAGCGGGAGGAAACGGGGGCTGGTCCCCGCCGAGGCGTTGACTGAGATATGAGGAACACACACACACACACCCCCCGTCCCCCCCGAAATCCCAGCGTGTGTGTGGGTGTCCCCCCAAAAATCACCGCACCTCAGGAAACCCCGTCCAGGCGGTACTTAACACCCCCCCCCACTCCTGTCCCCCGTGTCCCCACACTGGCAGGGGCCAGACCCCGAGGGATGGGGACACGGGGGGTGGCCCCCCCAGCCCCACCCGGGTGACACTGCCCACAGACGGGGCACCCCCGCGGCTGCTCCTGACACCCCCCCCCCCCCCCCCCCGCAGCCTGTGTGGACACAGCGTGTGTGCAAACCCCTGTGCGTGGAGCCAGACACGCCTGCATCTGTGCACTAACACACGCGTGTGCAGCCCCACACATGCGTGTGACACCCCCCCCCCCCCCCCAGTTCCGGGGTGCTGCTGCCCCAATTCCTAAATTAAAACGCTCGCGGTGTCGGTGCCACCGGGTCCTTTTTCTGCGTCAGCTGGGTAAAAGGGGGGGGGGGCAGGTGGGGGCGGGGCATGTTGTGTGTGTCCCCACCCCGTCCCCTTGTCTGGGTGCTGTCCCCGTGGGGTGCCATGTGCCACCCACCCGTGGACACTCGTTTCTGGTGGCGTGAGTCACGCCGGTGTGGTGAGTCACCGGCAGTGGAGGGGGCACTGGGGCGGTGGGGGGGGCATGGGGGGGGGTCACACAGTGGGGGACAGCCCCTCCAGCCCTGCGCCCAGGTGGGCTCGTCACCCGTGGGGTGAGGTGGGAGGGTCTCAGCTGTGTTTCCCAGGGGTGGGGACACCCCCTTCCCACCCCATAAAAGACTCAGGGATGGTGCAGTTTTGAGGGGGGGGGAGGGTCCCCAGCATGGGGGTGGGCAGCACCCACAGGGTGGGTTTGGGGAAGAGCTGCCTTGGTGTCCTGGGGGAGCTCCCCCCCTCCCCAAAAGCTTCCCTGCTCAGCTCTGGCCTGAGCTCAGTGCAGGGGGGGGGCATGGGTGCTGTTCCTGGGGGCACCCCCAGTCAGAAGCCCCTCCTGGGGCTGTACCCCCAACTCTGGGCGTCTCAGCACCATTTTCTTGAGGACACCCCCCCCACCCCAAGGCCACCGTCGCCGGGCCTGGCTCAACCCCATCAGGTCACCCCCAGCCTCAGCTGGGAAATTGGGGTGGGGGGTTTGGCCACCAAAGGGAGGCCTAGGGCTCTGTGCCCACCCCCAGCCCGGCTCAGCCACCTCCCCTCCGGGCACGGTGACTTTCTGGGGTGTTTGAGGTCCTGCTAACCTTCCTGGGGGGCGGGGGGGGGGATTCAGGTCCCCCCAAACCCTCCTGCAGTGGGAGCCATCCCCTCCAGCTGCAGACGGTGCTGAGCAGGGACGTGCCCCAGTCCAGCACCTCGCCTGGGACCCCAGCGCCAGAGTGGGGAGGGGCAGCCCCTTCCCAGCAGCGAGCGAGCAGGCGGGGAGACCCTGGGGGGTTTTTTTTTAATTGAACTGGATGGCGAATGCTATGTACACACGAGAGAAGCCCGCCTTTACTTCTTGGTCTCCTCCTCCTTGGAGAGGGTCTTGATGATCTCCTCCTTCTTGGCTTGCAGGCGTTCCTCGCGGCGCTTCCGAGCCTCCTTGGTCTTGGACCGGCGAGCCTCGGCCTGGTCACTGTGAGAGGGGAAAGAGTTTGTGAACGCGGAGGGATCGCCTGGAGGAAGCCTTCATCCCCGGCCTCCTCTTGCTCGCCAGGAGCCACCAAACCAGCTGCGGCAGCGAGTTTTGCTCCAGCGCCCGCAGCTCTCACTGGTTCCCAGCGGTGCTGGGGGGGGGGGGGGGGTCCCAGCTCTGGCCGAGAAGCTGCGACCCCGGTGCCGGGCACTGCCCCGGGTCGCCCACCCTTCCTGGAGCCCGCGGGTGAGGTGGTGGCTCCTTCACCAAGCCAAATCCCTCGGCTCCCCCGCCGTGTCGGCCGTTTACCGACCGGGTTACGGCCGCAGGAGCAGCCATCGCCTCCGGCGCCCGCCGCGCTCTGCCGGGATGACGTTACTCCTCTGCTTCCAGCCAGCTCTACCCAGTTTGGGGTTGATTCCTCACCAGGGCTCCAGATAGAGCCACCAGTGACAGAAGCCACCTGGAATTACCTGCCGGCAGTTGTTTAACAAAAAAAAAAAAAAAAAAAAAAAAAAAAAAGACTCCACAACCCACACGAGTGAAGCTTAAGCTTCGCGGCACTTACGCCAAGAGCTTCTTGCGAGCTTTGTCTGCCTTGAGCTTGTGGATGTGCTCCATCAGGATCCGCTTGTTCTTGAACACGTTACCCTTGACCTTCAGGTACAGGCTGTGATACCTGACGGAGCAGAACGGAACGGACTGTAAACGAGACTGCCTGGGACATCGAAACACTGCACAGCTTCCCGCAGCCCTCCTGGCACAGAGCACCAGGGTCACCCGGAGGCTCTTCCCTCCTCTGAGCAGGCAGAGAACCGCCGGGATTTCTCTGGAGCTGCTCTCCGGTGCTGTGTGTGCTGGAGGGGGGATTGATTTCCATCAATCCGCACACCGAGGAGCTGGCTGCAGGAGCTGCATGCAGCAAGGAAGCGTGTGGGCACGCGACCCAAAGCTGGACGTGGCGCGGCGGGCTTACATGTGGCGGTCGATCTTCTTGGACTCCCTGTATCTGCGGAGCAGGCGCCTCAGAATTCGCATCCTCCTCATCCAGGTCACCTTCTCGGGCATTCGAGCATTGGCCGTACCCTTTCTCTTACCTAGCGAGGGAAAACAGGATGAGAACGAGGCCAAATTTCTGCAAGTTGAGCAACATGCTTTTGCTGGAGTGTTTAATGCTTTACTTCAGGAAGAAAGCTATTAACATACAAACTGTATTTTTTAGGCCCTGCCACGAGACTCTTGGAGGTTGTTGCTCGTTATAAGCTTGTGGGGGAATCACGTGCCATGAAAACAGACGTTTCGGGGAGCCAGCACTTACCGATGCCCATGTGCCGGCCCTTCCGGCGGGCCAAGGTGTTCTTCCTGCATCGGGCACGAGAGTGAACGGTCACGGGTTTGCGGATGATCAGACCATCCTTAATCAACTTCCTGATCTGCTGACCTATGGGAAGAAACACCTCACGGGCAACGAGGGGATGCGCCAAGCGAGTTCAGACTCCCATCCAGCTTGTACAAAAGAGATCCCGCGCAAAGGACAAGGCAGACCTTCCCCCAAAGGCCCCTCGTGTTGCTGCAGTTGCTCTTTTTTTTTTCCCCCCTCCCATCTCTCCCTCACTAGTCGTCTCGAACACCACGTACTAAACCCACTACCACCAACTGGCACCTCGTTTTCCTCAGTGCACCGGGGAGCTTTGTAAACGCTGCCGATGGGCTCGTTTCCGCTCTGAAGCGCAAACCGGTCGCTCAAGCACCAGGATCCTCCCGAAGCCCACCTCCTTGGCAGAAAAAAAAATCCTCTCCCCGCATCCCTGACGCGTCCCTTTTCCGCAGGGCAGCACAAGCCCGGCGCTGACTTACGCGAGTTCGCGTTGGCAATCTCGTTGGTCTCGTTGGGATCCAGCCAGACCTTCTTTTTGCCGCAGCGCAGGACGCTGGAGGCCAGCCTCTTCTGGAGCCGGAGCATACTGCGGACAGCCCCGCACAGCGCTCAGCACCGCGCTCAGCACCGCGCCAGCCCCCCGCGGCCCGGCCGGAGCTGCCGGGGAACGGGGGAGCAGCGATACCCCCCCCCCCCCCCCCCGGGGCTCCCCTCAGCGCGACCCCCGGCCGCCATTTCGCCCCCTCCCCAGCGCGCGGCCCAACCGCCATTTTCCCACACACACGCCACCCCCGCTCCCTCCAAGGCCTGAGGAGGCGGCGATCGCCTCACCGGGCCCGGGGCGCTCCCGGGAAGCCCCCTCACTCTTGGGGGGAAGCCCCCCCATCACCCCCGTTCCCGCCGGGGGGGGGGGGGCGGCGGAGCGCGGCCCCTCACCTCATGGCGGCGGCCGGGCGGAGAGGAAGAGGCGGCGGGCCCGGCCGCGCCCACTGCCAGCGCCGCGGGGAGCGGCACGTACCACCCCGCGCCCGCCCCGCTCCGTCCCTGCGGCCCGAAACGCGGCGAGAGAAACACGCGCGGCGGGACTGCGGGTGGGGAGAGTGGCGTGGGAGCCCGAGCCCCCTCGGGAAGTGGGAAAAGAGACGCGTTTCCCGCCTTTTCCCTCCTTGCCGCCCCCCCCGCTCCTCGCCGCAGGGTGGTACAGCCCGCGCCGGCGCTGCTGGGGGAAGGCCTGGCGGGCTCGGCGCATGCGCGGTGGCGGCTGTGGGCGGTGCGGGGGCGGGAGGTGGACGGGGAGCGCTGTGGGGAGCGCTGTGGGGAGCGCTGTGGGGAGCGCTGTGGGGAGATGTCCCCTCCCTGCCGATGGGGAGCCGGGATCTCGGATCCTGCTTTCTTTCCGCTGTGGATCAAGTCCCGCCTCTTCTGCAGCGGTTGGGTCAGGGTGCTGCTGAGAAGTTGGGGGAAATTCACGTTTTCCCCGGGAATAACCTCGATAGGAGTGCTGACAGGGCCGCAGTGAGGGCTGGCGTTGGCGGAGGGCCTTTTACCTTCCTAGTATTTTGCTGTTGAAGATAAGCCGAGGTCTGGGCGTATCTGCAGCACCGTGTTGCAGCTGGAAAACCGAGGCACAAACAGCCTGAATGATGTTTCGTGCCTCCCCCAGCCAGAAGCGCTTTCCCAGAAAACGCCGTAGCGAGGCTCAAAATGGGCCCAGTGGCAACTGGTGTCCCTCGTGTCAGAGAAATGGCCCAGGAAAGCACTGGGAATACGTTGAGGAGTTCCTAGAAGGGGGATGCTTGTAAAATAGTAACATCTAGATTGTAAGCGGCCTTAGAACACAGGGGTTTCTCCGCGACTGCATTCCTACCTTAAAGCTAACTCGTCCGGCGAAAATGTTGCGTTTTAACCACCCAAATGTTAAATAGTGCCCAAATTCATCGTTTTGCAGCGCTTCTTTTCCTTCCTTCCTTTCAACCGCTGAAGGTTGTGAGTGGCTGGAGAGCGAAAGCCCCCAAAGGCGCCTCGTTAAAACACCCGAGACAAGATGCTAACAGTTCCTTTTGAATCTGGCGGCCGTAGCACAGTCAACATATGGCGTGAGAAGAGGAGCCGATGGCAACAGATTTTTGGTTCATTTTGAGAGAAAAACACAGATAAACACAGGCTTTTGCTGTTTAAAAACTGACTCATCATTTTCATAAAACAAACAGCAAAATCTGGAGGCTCCTGAGGCAGGAGAGTGGTTGGGTTTTAATTACCCGCCCGGGAGGGGCTCTGGGGGTTTTGCTGCTGGAAATTAAAGCTTTAGCCCAGTTGCGTGGGCTGGGGACAGGAGGGTGCGTGTGTCCCGTGGGGGTGTGTGTTGTCGTTCCACACCCCCCCCCCCCCCAGAGCCCTGTGGAAGTGTCACCCTGTGCTTCCCAGGGGGGCAGGGGTGAAGAGACCGACCTGGCCCCAAATTGGAGGGGGGGTTTCAGGCCGGGTGACCCCCCCCCGGGAGGGGCCGTGCTCCTGGCAGCAGCGGGGGGGGGGCTCCGGCAGCTGGAGGGGGGAGATGTCGTGATTGCGTTATGCTCCCACGCAGCTGCCTGGGGGTGATGTGCTCGCCCTCCGCCCCCCCGCTGCCTCCCCAAAACATCCTCGTCACCACCCCCTGCTCCCCCCCACTGACCCCCCCGAGGGGGGTGTGTGTTTCAGCTCCCACCTCCTGGTGAGGTGGGTGAAGCAGGACTCCGGCAGGCTTTGGTGGAGGGGGGTGTCAGTTTTTCTATTTGAATGAACCAAAAATCTGTTGCCGTCGGCTCCTCTTCTCGCACGAGGTGGGCACGGTTGGGGGTCCGGGGTTGTGTCCCAGGGTGGGGTCGGTGGTGCCAGGGTGTGTGACCCCCTCCCAGCCCCCCCCCCCTTCCCTGCTGGTGCCGTCAGAGGCACCTTACGGTGTGGGTGATGGATGGAGGGGGGGGGGGGGGCTGAGAATGGAAAATGTGGCGTCATCTGTCCTGCTTCCCTGGGCACATTGTCGTGCAGCTGCAGGGGCTGGGACTGGAGCAGGAAAAGACCCGCTGGCGTGGGGAAAGGCTGGGGGGGGTCCGGGGGGGGGAGAGAGGGAAAGGAATTTTTAACTTTCCAACAGCCGGTGGCGGCAGCTCCTGCGGTGCTGTTGCTGTGAGATGAGTGCGGGAGGTCTCAGCCGGGTCCTGCCTGGGGAGGGGGCAATGGGGCTCCCTGCGGAGGGGGCAGAGGCACAGCATGTCCACACCCCACACCCCCCCCCCCCAAAACCAGCGCCCGTGCAGGGCTGCCCACAGCCCTCCGACACGCGTGGGCCCCCCCCCCCCCCCAACCCCACCAGCAGGAGAAGGGAGGGACGGTGCTGGGGGGGGGCTGCAGCCACGCTGGGGGGAAATGGGTGCCAAGTGTAGCCCCCTTCCCCACTGCACACGGGGTCTGTCAGCCCCGGGGGGTGGTGGTGTGTGTGTGCGTGTGTCCCCCCCCCCTTGCCACAGGGTCCCCAGGGTGCCCTTTCCCTGGGTGCTTCACGTGCGGATGGCTGTGTCCGGGCGTGGGTGCCCCTGGGGAGCAGAGGGGCTCGGGGGGGGGGGCTCGGGGGGGGGGCATGGATCTCTCTGAGGCTACAGGGATCTCTGCTGGGGAGGGGGGGGGGTGTCTGGGGGGGCAGAAGCTGGAAGTTTAGGGGCAGCCTTGTCCTGAGGGAGCCCGGGGTTCCCCAGGCCGTGGCACATCCTGCTCCAAGCGCTGACATTTGAGGGTGGGGGCACAGCCCTGTATCCCCCCACCCCCATCTCTTTGTGGGGTTCCCCCCCCCGCCCTCCCCACCCCGGCCTAGCAAGCAAGCCTCCTCCAGGCTAAAAGCTGAGCGTGCAAGCTGTGGGGAGCACCACTGTACACCCCCCCACCCCCAATTTGGGGAGGGGAGATCCTCATCACACCCCCCCCTCCTCCCCCCAGGGGATGGAGCCGCTTTGGGGGTACCCTACCTAGGAAGGGGGTGTGGGGGGGGGGCTGCATCCCCTGGGAGCGCGGGGGGAGCGGCTGAGGCGGAGGCAGCCGCCCGCCATCCCTTGTGTGTGAGTCCCCCCCCCTCGCTGCCGCCGTCCCTACTCCTCCTTCCTCCTCCTCCTCCTCCTCCTCCTCCTCTCGCTCGCTGCACGCCGGGGCCGCCTTCACCGCGGGGGCCAGGCCTGGGCTCCATCGTCATCATCTTGTCCCCTGCTCCCTTGTGTGTCTGTGCGTCTGTCTGTGTCGTGTGTCCCCCCCCCCCCTCACCCCCACCCCACCCCAAAACCCGCCGACCCCGGCGAGCTCCATGGTGCGGGAAGGCGGCATGGCCCGTACCCCTTACAGCTCCACGCAGGACATCCAGATGGACGTCTTCGACAACACCGCCCTCCAGGTGACACCCCCGGGAATTTGGGGGGGGGGGCGGAGGGGGGGTCTGCATGGGTACCAGAGCGCCCACAGCCCCAGGGGGCACGGCGCGGGGGGGGGGGTGGTGGGGAGGGTGAACCCCATCCATTCCCCCCCCCCCCCCATCCCAACCCCTACACCCTATAACAAGGGGTTGATTTCACCCCCCTCAGCACGCAAAGCGGGGTGCCCCCCACCCAAAACCAAACTGCCCCGGGGAGGCACCTCGAATGCAGTCACACACACACCCCCCCCCCAACATTAAGCATCCCAGGGAAGGGGGTGTCCAACTCCGAGGTTTGGGGAGTGCGTGGCAGAGTGTGTGTGTGTGGGGGGGCTCTGTGCTGCTTGCTGTGTCACTGCTCCCCACCCCACCCCCTGGGATTTGCCCACCCGCAGCACCCTGGGGTGGGGGGTGGGGGTGCTGTGCGTACTGGGAAACTTTTAGGAATTGGGAAAACTCTGCTGGGGTGGTCCCCCCCCTTAAAAACACCCCCCCCACCCCCCACTGTGTCCCCTTCAGCCGGGGTGGGGGGGGGGAGAGAAGGGATGTGTCTCCAGCTGGTTCCAATGGGGTGGGGGGCACCGCGGACTGGTGGTGGTCTGTTTGGGTGCTGTGTGTGTGTGTCCCCCCCCGCCCACCCCCATGGGGACAGAGCCCCCTTGCCCACCCCGTGACGGCCCGGGGAGCGTCAACCAGTTGGGGTGACAGTTTGAGGGGGACACACACACAGCGGGGTTGGGGGGGGCGGGGGGGAGGCACAGGCCCTGGGTGCATCCAGCCCCCCCTGGTGCTGGCAGAGTCGGGTGTCTCCCTGGGGTGCGTGTGGGGGGTGTGTGGGGTGCAGCGAACCCCACACCGGCAGCGGAGCCACCGTCCCCACCCTGGGGACCTCCACCGCCGCCCCCCCCAGCCACACGCATCCCCTGCTGGGAGTGGCAGATTGAGGGGGGGGGGGGGGAGGAGGGGGGGCCGGGGGCAAAGGACCTAAAAATACCCAGCGTGGGGACCCCCTGTCCCCTGGCTGGGTGGCAGCTGGGCCCAGCTGTCCCTCTGAGACACCGGGGAGGTGACAACCCTCATGTGTGTCCCCCCCACCTTGCCGAGGGCAACCCCCCCCCCACCAGTATGCTCTGGCAACCCCCCCCCCCCCCTTCCTTGAGGAGGTGCTGCAGGGGGGGGCGCTGGGGCACCCCCATCTCCTCCAGTCCATCCCAGCAGGAGATACTGGAGGAAGTGGGGTCCTGTTGGGGTGCGGGGGTGCGGGGGGGGTGGGTGTTCCAGTTCGTGTGGGTGGGCACAGGGGGTGCACGGGTGAGGGGACGGTGCCCACGCTGCGGGGGGGGGGGTGGGGGGGGTGTGTGTGCACACACGTGTGTGGTTTTCGGGTGCCGGGGTGGGGGGGGGCATGTGGGGTGCGCCCATAGCAGCCGCCTCCTCAGGGTGCTGGTTGGGCTCTGGTTTCACTGGGTGTGTGGGGGGGTGGGTCACAGCATTTGGGGGCTACTGTGAGAAGCTGGGGGTCCCCCAAACCCCTTGAGCCCCCCAGCTCCCTCTCTGGGTGGGTGGGGGGCAACCCCATCCCTTCCCTGCCTCAGTTTCCCTGGGAAGCAGCTGGGCTTGCCTTGCAGGGTGGGAGCAAAGGGAGACGGAGCAGCTCTGGCAGCTGGAGCTGGGGTGGGGGGGGGGCAGAGCTGCCCTTCCCCCCCCCAACTCCCCCCTCCTCTTGCCCCCCCCCCCCCCTAGAGCAAGTACAGCAAGCGCAAGAGCCGCTTCAAGCGCTCGGACGGCAGCACCTCGTCCGACACCACCTCCAACAGCTTCGTCCGGCAGGTGAGTGAGGGGGGGGGCTGGGGGGGTGGTTGTCCCGGGGGAGGGTGTGCGTGTGTATGTCCCCCCCCCCACCCCCCCGAGGGACTGAGGTGGGGGTTCAGGTTTGCAACCACGCCTGGCCTGGTGCGGGGTGCGCAGGTATTGCAGTGGCTCAGCCAGACCCGGCTGTGCCCCCCCCATCTCCTCTCTGCCTTGTGGTGGGTGCTTAGGGGGGGGTTGTGTGTGTGTGTGTCCTCCCCCCATATCGGGAACGTTCTGGGTCCTGTGTGTCCCCCCCCCCCCGCCCCCTCCCAGGCATTCCTTGCCCCTCCTGGGGTGCCAGGCAGCCTGGCATCACCCAGCTGGCACCAAAGCCGCCCTGCCCACCCAGCAAAGCTCCTGCCTTGGCAGCAGCCCCTGCGGGCCCCCCCCCTTGGCCCCCCACCCCCTGCCCGGCCACCAGGCTAAATATACCCGGGGCGGCTGGGAACGTCCCAGGGCTGAAACCTGACCCACGGGTGCCCCAGCCCAGCGCCCGCCCGCCCCACTCGCCCCCGGCCCTGCCACCATGGAGATAGCCGGCAAAGACCACCCTGCCGCCCCGGTGAGCGTGGGTGTGGGTGTGGGTGTGTGGGTGTGGGTGTGTGTGTCCCAAATTTCACAACACCCCCCCCCCCCCCCAGCACCCCAACACCCTCCCGTCCTGGTTTTTGCTGGCTCTGCCCTCGGTGCGGGGTCCCCCTCATCTCCGTGGGGGTTGGAGCGGGTGGGTCCCGGGAGCTGGTGGGACCCGTGGGGTGTGTGGGGTGAGGGTGTCATGCGTGGACCCTGGGTGACACCACTCCCCGCCCCCCCCCCCCAAAAAGCCCCTCCAGTCTCACTATGGGGTTGAGGGGGCTCAGGAAGGGCCAGACCCCCAGCAGCAGCAGGAAGAGATGAGGCAGCTGGTCTCTACCCCATGGATTTTGGGGAGGGGGTCCCCTGGGGGGGCTGCTGCCCCATGGCCAGGGGTAGGGGCCTGTGTGAAGGAGAGTGGTCCCCCACCTCCCTGGTGTTTGAAAAGGATGGGGCAAATTGGGGATGGGGGCTCCCGCGACCCTGGGTGGGGGCTCTGGGGATTATAGAGGGTCTGGGGCGGGGGGGTGGTGTGGTTGGTGCCTTTGCTGTCCCCCACTGCACCCGCTGCCCCGGGGCTGGGGGATCCCATGGGTCTCCCCCCTGCCCCACCCCCCATGCTCTGGCCCCAGGGGCTGGGGGGGGGGGGGGGCGAGCAGGGGGTCTCCGACCCCACCCCAACTCCAGCCTTGTCCTGGGGTGACCCCGAGTCACCCCTACAGCACCCTTCCCCCATTGCCACGGGACCCCTTGGAGACGGGGGGGTGGGCTGGGACAGCGCTGGCCCCACTGGCCTTCCCAGGGGTGGGGGGCAGCTGGGGGGGGGTGATGGGCAGGCATGGAGCCGGGGGGGGGGGTCCCCAGCTCTGACAAGAGCCCCGGGGAGGCCGGCAGCCACGGGACGGGAGCAGGAGCCGGCTCGGTATCACGTTCCACACCGGAGCGGTGGGAACAGCTGCGCCGGCCCTCGGCCCGCCGTAACCCCGCCGGGATTTGGATCCTGGGGAAGGGGAGCGGGGTGGGGGGATGGCTGTGGGGGGCGAGTTCCTCGTTTTGGAGGGTTGGGGTGGGGTGGGGGGGGGGAGGTCGGTGTGGTTTGACCCCCACCCCCCTGCTCTCCCAGGGCTCGGCGGAGTCGTACACCAGCCGCCCCTCGGACTCGGACGTGTCGCTGGAGGAGGACCGGGAGGCGCTGCGCAAGGAGGCCGAGCGCCAGGCCATGGCGCAGCTGGAGAAAGCCAAGGTGGGACGGTTGTGTTCGAGACAACCCCCCCCCCCCCTTCCACCTGCAGATACCCCCCATCACCCACCCGGGAGCACAGGGAACCCCCACCACGCTGCCCTTGCTCTCCATCCCCGGGGCATCCCATCCCTGGAAGCAGTGGCCCCAGGATCACTGGGAAGACTGGGTAGAACTGGGAGCCCGGACTCCTGGGTTCTCGCTTTGGCTGAGCACCCATTGCAGGCCCGGGGTAATTAGCTAATGAGCCCCTCGTTAGCTCCCAGGGCATCCCTGGCCACGGCATCCCCAGCCCACGCTCCGGTGAGCACCGTAGGAGCCCAAGGGGGGACCAGCTCTCGCTGGGTGTGTGTGTGTGGGGGGGGTGTCTCCGCGGTTTGGGGTGGGGGGCAGATGCTGAGCCCTCTCCTGTCGGCAGACGAAACCGGTGGCGTTTGCCGTGCGGACAAACGTCGGCTACAACCCGTCGGCTGGCGACGACATGCCGGTGCAGGGCATGGCCATCTGCTTCGAGCCCAAAGACTTCCTGCACATCAAGGAGGTGGGGACCGGTTTTGGGGAGAGAGGGAGGGAGAGGGGTTGGGGGGGGGTGGGTCTGGGGGTCCCTCTGGGGGGTGGCAGCCCTTGGACACACACACACACACACACACACACACACACATATTTGGGGGGTTTCAGGTGGTTATTTTTTTTTTTTTTTAATTTTTTTTTTTTCCTCCCCGGCGCAGAAGTACAACAACGACTGGTGGATCGGGCGGCTGGTGAAGGAGGGCTGCGAGGTGGGCTTCATCCCCAGCCCCGTCAAGCTGGAGAACATGCGGCTGCTGCAGGAGCAGAAGATGAGGCAGAATCGCCTGAGCTCGAGGTGGGGCTCATCCCTGACCCCCCCCGCCCCGGCTCTCCCACAGCCCCCCGCCCCCAGTTCCACCCTCACCTCCCGCCCCTTTCTCTGCGCTTCTCCCATCCAGCAAATCGGGGGACAACTCCAGCTCCAGCCTGGGTGATGTGGTGACGGGGACCCGCCGGCCCACCCCCCCGGCCAGCGGTAAGAGTGTCCCGGGGCCCCGCAGGGCAGATCCAGCCTCGGCGGGGGGGGATGGGGTGGGGGGGTCCTTCGTTCCCCCTTGGCTGCAGCTCCAGCCCCTCTGTCCCGGGTGCAGGCAGGCGGGTGCACCCCCCTTCCCCTGGGGACCCCTTCTCCCCTGCTTCTCCTCCCTCCCATCCCCACCACTCTCCCGCTTTCCCCAGCCCCCCGCCCACACCCCCCGTCTCCATTTTTCCCTTCTTCCATCGCCATTATCGCTCTTCTTTTTTCCCTCCCCTCTCCCCGGCTCCGGCTGCCCCCCCCGTCCCCAGGTGCCCTGGACATGCCTAGCTTTGCCTTTGACCCCGATGAGTTAGAGGAGGAGGAGGCCATGGAGACCCACCGCTCCCCTAAGAGTAGCGTGAGCAGTGTCACCACCCCCCCCGCCCACACCAAGCGCATCCCCTTCTTTAGGAAGGTAACGGCCCCCACTGACCCCCCCCCCCCCCCCCCCCCCCCCCGCTCGCCTGCTGCACCCTGCCTGCCCTAACACTGCCTGGGAGGGCTGGCGGGGGGCTGCGGGGGCACCCGATGGGTGCTGGGGGCCATGTGCTGCCCAAGCACCCTGCCTGCGTCGCCACGGCGTGTCCCCCCCCGTGCCGCAGCGTGGGCATGAGGGTCTGCGGGGGGATGGGGCGGCGGGGGTGTCCCCCATGACCATGGGGTGGGTCAGTCCGTGGCTGCCTCCCCCCATGACCATGGGATGGGTCAGTCCGTGGCTGCCTCCCCCCATGACCATGGGATGGGTCAGTCCATGGCTGCCTCCCCCCATGACCGTGGGATGGATCAGTCCGTGGCTGCTTCCCCCCACGATCCATGGAATGGGTCAGTCCATGGCTGCCTCCCCCCATGACCGTGGGATGGATCAGTCCGTGGCTGCTTCCCCCCATGATCTATGGAATGGGTCAGTCCATGGCTGTCTGACCCCGTGGGTCATGGGATGGGTCAGTCCATGGATGTGTGTCCCCCCATGGGCCACGGGATGGATCAGTCTGTGACTGATCCTCCCCTCATGATCCATGGGATGGATCAATCCATGGCTGCCTCCCCCTGTGACCCATGGGGTGGATCAGTCCGTGGCTGCCTCCCCCCATGATCTATGAGATGGGTCAGTCCGTGGCTGCCTCCCCCCATGATCTATGGTATGGATCAGTCCGTGGCTGTATTCCCCCATGGGTCATGAGATGGATCAGCCCATGACTGATCCTCCCCCCATGATCTGTGGGATGGGTCGGTCCGTGGCTGCCTGCTCCCTTGACTATGGGATGGATCAGTCTGTGGCTGCCTCCCCCCATGACCATGGGTTGGATCAGTCCATGGCTGCTTCCCCCCATGATCCATGGAATGGGTCAGTCCATGGCTGTCTCCCCCCGTGGGTCATGAGATGGATTAGTCCATGACTGATCCTCCTCCCATGATACATGGGATGGATCAGTCCGTGGCTGCCTCCCCCTATGACCATGGGGTGGATCAGTCCGTGCCCCCCACCTCGTTGCCTGGCCCCCCCCCCAAGTGTGCGCATGGTGTGTGCCAGCACGGCCAGTGTCTCGTCTCCCCCCGCGAATGGGAATGGACCGTTCCTCCCCCCCCAAACTGGGCAGAAGCTGGGGGGGATTCGGGCGCAACCACAGCCCGGGGCGGGGGGGGGGGTCTACAACTGCTTGTGGGGGTGAGCAGGCCTGGGGGGGGGGGGAGGGGCTGAGCCGCCCCCCCCAAAACCCACTCTCCAGTCCCCCGCTTGCACCCCAAATCTAAGAGCAGGGCGATGCTTCACGGGAAACACGCTGATGGAGCAGCCCCCCGGGGGGGGGACACACACACACATCCCCTGGGGCAGCCCCCGGGGCGGGGGGGTAACGTGCACCCCCAGGCCCACCTCCCCCCCCCCCCCAGCCCAGCTCGGTGCCCCCACGCCCGCGGATAACACGCATGCCTTGTTTGTCTTCTCTCGCCCCCCCACCCCTCGCCCCCCCCCCGGCCCCCCGTGGCCTCTCGGGACGTAGCGAAGCAGAAGCAGAAATCGGTGAGTAGCGTCAGGGACCCCCCCGCCCCCCCCCCCCAAGGGAGGACCCCCGTGGGGAGGGGATGGGGTGCCCCCCGCTTGCAGCCCCCCCCCCCTCCCTTTCCATCCCCCAGAGCTGCCCTTGCAGGGCGAAGCTGAGAGTCCCCCCCCGGTGACCTGTCCCGACCCCCCACCCCCCCCAGACCCATTAACACCCCACTTTGCCCCCCCCCCCAGGCCGAGCATGTACCCCCATACGACGTGGTGCCCTCCATGCGGCCCATCATCCTGGTGGGGCCGTCGCTGAAGGGCTATGAGGTGAGGAGTTGGGGGGGTGAGGAAGGGGGGTGGGGGTGGGGGGTGGGGATATGGGAGGGGGGGCGTCAGAGACCCCAACCCCCGTGATCTCCCTCCCCCAGGTCACGGACATGATGCAGAAAGCGCTCTTCGACTTCTTGAAGCATCGCTTCGACGGCAGGTGGGACAGGCGGCTGCGTGGCAGGGGGACCCCTAACACTGCAGGGGTCCCTTCACCCCATAGAGGGACCCATAATCCTATGGGGTCCCCTAAAACCACAGGGGGACCCTTCACCCCATAGAGGGATCCCTAATCCCACGGGGGGACCCCTAACACCACAGGGGTCCCTTCACCCCACAGAGGGACCCCTAATCCCACGGGGAGACCCCTAACACCACAGGGGTCCCTTCACCCCACAGAGGGACCCCTAATCCCACAGGGGGACCCCTAACACCACAGGGGTCCCTTCACCCCATAGAGGGACCCCTAATCCCACAGGGGGACCTCTAACCCTGTGGGGGGGACCCTTAACCCCGTGGAGGGCTGCTAATTCCATGGGGGGACCCTTAATACCATGGGAGGACCTGTAGCCCCATGGGGGACCCCTAACATTACCATGGGGGGACACCTAACCCCATGGAGGACCCCTAACACCACAGTGGGTCCCTTCACCCCATAGAGGGACCCCTTAATCCCACGGGGGGACCCCTAATGCCACGGAGGGACCCCTAATGCCACAGGGGGACCCCTAATCCCATGGGGGGACCTGTAACCCCGCGGAGGACTCCGAATCTCACTGGGGCACCCCTTACACCTCAGGGGGGTGTCTCTAACCATGTAGAGGACCCTTAACCCCATGGAAGGAACCCCTAACCCCCTGGGGGGGGGACCCCTAACCCTGTGGGGGGGACGCTCAGCCCTGTGGTTCTTGCTGGGGGGGGGGGGGGATGTCTCCCTCGAGGAGCAGGACTCCCGTGGGCGCAGCTCCAGGCAGCCCCTGTACACGGGGCGGGAGGAAAGGGGTGGCAGGAAGGTCCCCACGAGGGTGGGGATGTATTTTTTTTTTGGGGGGGGGGTGGGGTGGGGTGGTGGGGTGGTGGTGTTGCACCCGCTGTCATTCGCCCAGCCCCCTCGTGCCCTCTCCGTCCCGCAGGATCTCCATCACGCGCGTGACGGCCGACATCTCCCTGGCCAAGCGCTCGGTCCTGAACAACCCCAGCAAGCACACCATCATCGAGCGCTCCAGCACCCGCTCCAGCCTGGGTAAGGCTGCGCCCCCCCCCAGGCCCACACCCCCCCCCCCCCCGTGCCCTGCAACTCCCAAGCTTCCATCTGTATCAGCCCAGCAGCCTCCTGCCCCCCAACCTGCCCGTCCTGGGGTGCTCATCCCGTGGGGGTGAGGTGTGGGGGTCCTGCGCTCCCCCCAGCCGGTTTGACTCGGTCTCTGTCCCCCCTCCTCCCCTTTTATCTTCTCTCTGCTGTGTTTTTCTTTCCTTTTTCTCCTTTCCTTTGGGTTTCCTCCCCTCCACGCTGCTTCCTTCCTCCCCTGCTCCTGATACAGATGTCTTGGGTACGTAGCTTGGACCCACCGGGACCCCTGGCAGCCCCCTGCCCGGCGGGGGGGGGGCGTTTGGAGGTTGGGGGGGTGGCAGGAGGGGACATGTCCCCTTGGATCCCCATCCTCCCTGCCTGGCTGTGACCAGGCTCTGGGACGTGGCGGGGTCCGGCCACCTGGTCAGAGCCTGAGGGTTGGGGACACCCTGGTCACACAGCCCCGTCCAACCCCCCCACCCCAAGTGTTTTGGCGGGGGGGGGTTTGCTCCTTCTTCACCCAGGAGCCCACTGCCACCTCCCTCCGGCGGTGAGCCCACCCTGTCCCTGGGGCTGAGGGCGACAGCAGAGTGGCCGAGCCCCAGTGCCAGCCCCCTCCTGGCCCTGTCCCCGTCCCGTTCCCTTTGTCACATCTCCCAGCGGTTGTCCCCAAACACACCCCCACCCCCCCGCCCCCCCCGCTGTCCCCCTGACCCTCGCTGTTTCCCTGCAGCCGAGGTCCAGAGCGAGACCGAGCGCATCTTCGAGCTGGCCCGGACGCTGCAACTGGTGGCTTTGGACGCCGACACCATCAACCACCCGGCCCAGCTGGCCAAGACGTCCCTGGCCCCCATCATCGTCTACATCAAAATCACCTCCCCCAAGGTGGGTGCGGGCCCCGGGGTGGGTGGGGGGGCAGCCCTAGACACCCCTGCCACGCCCTCCCCCCCGCCACACTGGGGGGGGCCGGGTCCCTGCGGCCACCCCGGGGCTGCCCTCTCCTGCCCCAGGTGCTGCAGCGGCTGGTGAAGTCCCGGGGCAAGTCGCAGGCGAAGCACCTCAACGTGCAGATGGTGGCATCCGACAAGCTGGCGCAGTGCCCGCCCGTGAGTACGGCCACGCCCTGCCACGCCCTGCCACGCCCTGCCACGCCCCGCCACGCCCCACCCTCTGCCGCTGCCCTGCGGCCATTGGTTCCACCCCCGCAGGGCAGAAGCTCCTCCCACCACCTCATTCTGGTATAGGGCCCCACCCCTTTGTGGAGCAGCAGCTCCGCCCCTCGATGCCACAGTCTCCACCCACCACCCCACTGATGTCAGAGGCTCCGCCTCCAAGGCCAGATGCTCCGCCCACCACCTCTGCTTGGACCACAGGCCCCACCCTGGGTCCAGAAGCTCCGCCCTTTCCTGTGGGCCCTCCCCTTTCCCATTGGCCCTGCCCTTTCCCGTTGGCCCCGCCCCAGCCCATAGGCTCCACCCCAGATCCACAAGCCCCTCCCCATCCGATTGGCCCCTCCTTCTCCCATTGGCCCCACCCTGGTCCATAGTCTCTAACCTGGGTCCCGGAGCCCTGCCCCGCCCTGCCCCGCCCTGCCCCGCCCCACATCCTCCTCCCACCCCCCCCCACCCCCCCCCAGGAGATGTTTGACATCGTGCTGGACGAGAACCAGCTGGAGGAAGCCTGCGAGCACCTGGCCGAGTACCTGGAGGCTTACTGGAAGGCGACGCACCCCCCCAGCAGCAACCCCCCCAACCCGCTGCTGAACCGCACCATGGCCACGGCCGCCCTGGCCGCCAGCCCCGCGCCCGTCTCCAACCTCCAGGTACAGGTGCTCACCTCCCTGCGCAGGAACCTGGGCTTCTGGGGGCGCGGGGGCACCGAGACCACCCCCAGCCCCCCCACGCCCCTCGAGGAGCACGCGCTGTGAGACGGCACTTGGGGACATCGCCCCCCCCCGCCCCCCCCCCCCCCCCCCCCCCCCCCCCCCCGCGCCCTTTGGGGACACCCCTGCGACCGGGGCCGCCCCAGGGAAGTGTAGCCCTCCAGGAGTGGGAATATCCTTAGGGTGGCCCCCATGGGGGACTTGGGGCCCCCCCATGGGTACTGCAGCCCCCCCCCCCCCCCCCCCAGGGGTGGGACCATCCCTGGGATTCTCCCCCCTGCCTTCCCTCGGTTTGGGGCCACCTCTGGGATTGGGGTCACCCTGGGGAGCTGCAGCCCCCCGGGATGGGACCATCCCTGGGATCGCCCCCATTCCCTGCCCCCCCCCCTCTCCGGGGACCTGTTCTCCACCCCAGGTTTGGGGGTCACCCCTGGGATCGGGGCCACCCCTGGGGACCTGCTCCCTGCCTGGGACTGGTGCCAACCCCAGAGTCGGGGTCCCTGTGGGATCTGTGTCCCCTCCAAAGCCTGAGACCCCCTTAGGGATTGGCCCCCCCCCCCAGGAATCTGCCCCCTCCAAGACCCCTTGGGAATTCGGGTCCCCTCTGTGCCTGTTGGGGTGCCAGAGCCCCCGCTCCCACACCTCTCCAAGAGCTCGGGGAGGGGGGGGCCGTGCTGGTGGGTGAGGGTTTGCGGGGTGTCCTAGTGTGGGTGAGGGCCAGCTGGGGGGGGTGCAGAGCCCCATCCCCCCGGGGGGATTCACAGTGCTGAGGCCGGGCCGGGGGTGGGTGGGCGGGGGGGTCCGCAGCACCCACCTGGGGCAGGAGGCAGCGGAGGGGACGTCTGTCCTGTGTTGTCTGTCGGTAATTCTTCCAGCGAGCGGGACGCTGCTGGCACACCAGCCCCCCCACCCCCTATTCCCCGCAGCCCTCCCCACGCTGCTTTTTCCCACTACACCCCCCACCCTGCCGCCCCCCAACCCCATCGCCCCCCTTCCCACCCCCCACCCCTACACCCCCCCCCCAGTGCCGTTTAGCAGCGGGCTGAGACCTGCCGCCGTCGTGTCCCGAGTGAGCGGTGCGGTGCGGGCAGGCCAGGCTGGGCAGGAGCGCATGTGCCCCCCAGCTAACACCCCCCCCCCCCCCTTCACTAACCCCCCCCCATCCCTCTGTCTGTCTGTCCGTCCCTCCTTGCATGGTGTGGTTGCTTCTCCTAACCAGGGTCCGTACCTAGTGCCCGGGGAGCCGCCGCGCGAGGGGGAGCCCGGCCGCCTGCGGCAGGGCCCCGGCGAAGCGGGGGGCCGCGGGCAGGGCCGACCCCCCCCCCCCGCCGCCTGCCCGCCCGGCCCCCCGCAGCCTGTCCCGCCAGGACACCTTCGACTCGGAGACCCCGGGCAGCCGGGATTCGGGCGGCACGGAACCCGGCGATTCCTGCTGCATGGACATCGAGACGGATCCCGGCGAGGAGGAGCCGCCGGGCCCCCCCGGTGCCGGACCCCGGGCCCCCCCCGGCCACCAACACCCCGGTGCCTGGGACGAGGACGAGCCCGGGCGTGAGAGCCAGGGGCTACGGGGCCGAGCCAAGGGCCAGGACCGCTACTGCCCCGACCCCTCCTTGGACCAGAGCGACGCGGAGGGCTGGGGCCAGGACGTTTACATCCGTTAGGGTGAGGGGGTGCAGGCGGGGGACGGACCCCCCCCCCTTTCCTAGCGCTGGGTTTGGGGTGGAGGGAGACCCACCCACCCCACCCCACCCCGCCCTGGTTGCCTTTGTGCCCCCCCAGAGCCCAGCCAGCTGTGCCATGGGGAGCCCCTGCTTTGTCCCGGGGGCTCCCCCTGCCCCACTCTTTGGGGTGTGTGGGTGTGGGGGGGTCTCCCCTCATCCACCCCCCCGACTTCCCACTGCAGCCCCCCCCCCCTCCCCCCCCCCAGCATCTCATGGTGCCTCGGGCCCTCCCCACCCCGCAGGGAGGGCAGGTGACCAAAGGGGACCCAGGGGGCTCTGGCGTGTCCCTTGTCCCCCCCCAGGGTGGGGGGGCTGTGCTCCCCACCTTTGCCTGCTGGCTGCCCCCCCCCCCCGGTGCCCGGGTGTCCCCGCTTCTCCATGGTGCTGTTTGCCACCCGGCTGTGGGGGGGACCCCTGAGCTGGCTGTGGCGGGGGGGGGTCCCTGCCAGCTGCCCCCCATTCCGCCCCCGCCCCAGCCAGTGCCTGCAGCCTGGCACTGCACCCCCACAGGGCTGTGACCCACCCCCCCACCCCAGCAACTCGGGGTATGGAAGGGGGGGGGGTGTCTGCATGTGTGTGTGGTGTGTGCGGGGCTTTGGGGGGCTCCAGCGGTGGAGGGGTCCCCGCTGGCCCCCTGGGGTGCTGCCTGCCTGGGGGGGGGGGGCGCAGTTTGCATGTGTTTGCCTTGGAGGGGCTCTGCCTGAATTGGGGGGGGGTGTGTGTGCAAATCTGAGCCAGTTTGGGGGGGTCTAACCCGTGCTAACAGCTGCCCAGCCCTGGCCTGCCGTGGCAGCACCCAGAGGGTCCCCCCTGCCCCAGGGGGGGCCCCCGTGCTGCCCCCCCTTCACCTGGCACCTCTGGGGTGTACCAGGCAGTGCCAGCCCCCCCCCCCCCCAAAACCCCTCCTGTGCCAACCCCCCCGCCGTGCCTGTCCGCTCTTGCCCCATCCAACTGTGTCTGTCCATCCGTCTGTCTGTGAGCCTGTCTGTCTGCCGTGTCCCCCTGAACCAGGGGGGGGGCTGCCTCCCCCCCACCCCCCCGGGGCGCTGCCTTCTCCTGCACCCGCCCTGGGGTGTCCCTCGCCCCCCCTGCCTCTGTGGGGGTGACCACACCAGGGTGGAGTGGGGGGTACCCCACATCCAGCCCTCACTGTGGGGCTGGGTTTGCCCCACTTATGGGGCAGCCCCTTGACGACTTCCCCCCCCCCCCCCCCCTCCAGGGGGCAATGCTGGGGGTCCCCGGGGTCGCTGCCTTACCCACACCACCAGCCTTGCCAGCCCAGGCCGGGGGGGCTCAGGGGTACCCAGCCACTGCCAAGCCGCCTCTGCCCATCGTGTGCCTCAGTTTCCCCTTTTTTTTGGGGGGGGGGGGGGGGAACAACAACACACAGATGGGACAGGACGGGACTCGGTGTCACTGCCTGCCAAGTGCTTTGAGACCCCCCTGCCCCAGCGCTTGCCCCCCACAGCGGCCAGGGTCCGGGCAGTGGGCCCCCCCCCCCCCCCCACCCCGCCGCAGGCAGAGGGATGTCCCGTATTTATGTCGCTCCACAAATTTTATTTAAAGACCCGACAAAGTGTATTTTATTTATTTATTCTCGTTGGTGTGTGGGGGGACTCGCCCCGCTCGCTTGGTTCTTTGTAATAAACATTTCGGTGAGACCTGCCCCGCGGCCGTGCCTGGTGGGGGTCTGCGGGGGTGGGGGGACACGCAGCCACGGGGGGGGGGGGGGGGGGGGGGGGGCCAGTGCTGAGACCGGACACAACTCAGCTCTGCAGTGACACCCCCCCCCTCCCCCAACATCTCTCCCTGGGGTGGGCCTTCAGCGGGTGCCTGGGGAGGGGGCACTGCTGGGGTTGGAGCTGGGACCTGCCCGGCTCCTGGGAAGGGGCGACGACCCCCCAAAAGCAGGGGTTAGTGGGGCTCCCAGCCGCCCCGCTGCCAGGGTGATGGGCGCCAGCAGCAGCCGGGCTCGGCGCGGCGCTCGGCTGAGTTTCCCGGCGCTCGGCCGGTTCGGGACGCGTTATTTACAGGGAATAAATACAGCGCTGCCAGCTCAGGGCTGCCGGCACCTCCACTCGCTCTTCTCCGGCCAGTACTCGAACGCTTTCCTGCCGAGAGGACGCGGGGACGTCAGTGCCGCCTCGCTCCCTGCCCCACTGCCATCCCCACCCAGGGCAGGACCTGGGTGTCCCCCCCATCCCCTCGGGGTGGGGGGGGGGGGTGTCCCCCCCATACTCACTCTCTCCCGGGCGCTGTGGCCCTGCAGACCAGTCCGGCCTGGCAGGGACAGATCTGGTTGATGCTGAAGGCCAGACCCCCGGGGGGGACGTGGCAGCTCTGGGCCAGCTCCAGCCGCCGCTGGCAGACCCGCTCGCCGTGCCGCCGCGCGCAGCAGCCGGCCGCGCCGCAGTCCTCGTCCCGCTGGCACCGGGAGCCTGGTGGGGTTGGGAAGCGGGGTTAGGGGATCCCCCCCCCCCCCCCCATCTCAACCCTGTACCCCAGGCTGGGGGGGTAGAGCTGGAGGCACAGGGAGCGATGGGGATGGGTGCCCCCCTGCACCCTTTGGCTTGGCGCCGTCGGGGGCGATGCTGGAGGTTGGCGCCCACCCCGTCAGCACCCCCAGGGGCCGGGGGGGTGGGTGGGGGGTTTTCCCCTTGTACCCCTCCACCCCCCCCCCAATCCCACTCACCCTCCTGCCCGTGGGGCACGGGCTGCTGGCACTTCCCGAACATGCAGACGAGACCGTGGGCGCAGTGGGTGTCCCGGCGGCAGTACTGCCCCGCGGGACGCGTGGGCAGGCACAGCCCGAAGTGCTCGTCGCAGAAGTGCCCGTGGGCGCAGGGGGCGGCCGGGCTGCACGCTGTCACCTGCGGGGGGGGGGGGGGGGGGGAGAACGGGGACACGTCACGTCAGGGCACCGGGCACAGCCCCGAGCTCAGGGCGGGACAGAAACAGCATCACGGAGCAAAAACTGTTCACACCTTACAAAGCGGAGCAGGGCCGGGAGGATTTTTTTGGAAGGGGGGGGGGGAAGGCTGGGAGCAGCTCCGCAGCGCTCAGCCAGGTTGGGGCGGCTCATCCCCGTGGGAAACCCCCCCTCCCGCAGTGGCTCCAGGTCTGTTTTGTTTTTTTTTTCTCGGGAAAAGAAAACCCGGCGTGGGAAGGGGGGGGCGTGGGTGTCGCGATGCGTGGAGGGGGGAGTGAGGCGCGGCTGCCGGAGCGCCGTAAAAGTCCTGCTCCAGGTGAGGCTCGAACTCACAACCTCGGCATTGCTCCGCGTACTGCCCTATAAGTACCGCGCGCTGACCGATTGCGCCACTGGAGCGCCCGGCGCCGCCCGCCGCGCCCGCGCCCCCTCCCGGCCCCGCAGCGGCATTGCCACGCCCCTTGCCACGCCCCCTGCCACGCCCCCTGCCACGCCCACACACCCGCCCTTACACCCACCCCTGGCTGCAGACCCTGCACCCACACCGATCCCCACTCTGGCTGCAACCCCAACTGCAAACTCTGCACCCACCCCCGCTGCAAACTCCACACGCAACCCTGCACCCACCCCACCCTGGCTGTAAACCCAGCCTCGGCTGCAAACTCTGCACCCACCCCGGCTGCAAACTACACCCACTCCTGCTCCCACGCCAGCTGGAAACTCTGCACCCACCCCGGCTGCAAACTACACCCACTCCTGCTCCCACGCCAGCTGGAAACTCTACACCCACCCCGGCTGCAAACTACACCCACTCCTGCTCCCACGCCAGCTGCAAACTCTACACCCACCCCGGCTGCAAACTACACCCACTCCTGCTCCCACGCCAGCTGCAAACTCTGCACCCACCCCGGCAGCAAACTACACCCACTCCTGCTCCCACGCCGGCTGCAGACCCTGCTCCCACCCTGGCTGCAGACCCGGCTGTCAATTCTACACCCGCCCGGGCTGTTGGACCCAGCTCCCACCGCAGCTGCAAATTCTGCTCCCAGCCTGGCTGCAAGCGCAGCTCCCCGCATCTATTCCCACTCCGGTTGCTGCAACGCCGGCTGCAAATTCCGCAGCCGCCCCTGCGCCCACCCTGGCTGTTCAGACCCAGCTCCCACCCCAGCTGCAAATTCTACACGCACCCCTGCACCCACCCCAGCTCCCACCTCGGCTGCAAACCCTGCACCCACCCTGGCTGCAAGCCGGGCTTCAATTTCTACACCCACTCCGGCTGCAAACACGGCTCCCACACCAGCTGCCAATTCTACGCCCACCCGTGCGCCCACCCTGCTGCAGCTGCACCCCTTCCTCCTCATCCCCAGGAACCCCACGCCTTGGGGGGGCGGGGGGTGCACCCACCACCACTCACCTCCTCCAGGTTGTCCCCAGGGCCGGCGCTTCTGCCCAGCGCGGCTTCTTCGGGCAGGTGCTGGGGCAAGGAGTACATCCAGGCCCAGAGGGAGCCCGAGGCAGCGGGCAGGAGCGAGGCGACGAGGCAGAGGATGGCTGGGTACATCGGCATGGTGCTGCTGGGTGCCACTGGGGTGCTCGGACCCGGGGGCGCCGGGTTTATGTAGCCCACGGCCTATCTTGGCCCCCCCCCCCCCCGCTGCTAAAACTGTTTGCCCACCTAATGGGGAAGGAGGAGGCAATCAGGGGTTAAGGGATTAACATAATTGCCAGCCTTCCCCTGGCTGGGGGCAACAGCCCCAAAGTAAACAGCCCCCTCGGCGCAGTCTGGCTCCAGTCGGCTCCAGCTCCAACCTGGGGTGCAGCCCCAGGGGGGTGCCCTGGGTCCCCCACCAGCTCCATGGGGTCCCCCCCACAGCTGGGGGTGACGGTGGGTGCCAGCACCCTGCCAGGCACCAAGCGGCTCCGTGCAGCAGCGGGCTTCGGTCCTGGGGTTTGTCCCCCCCCCCTCTTTAGGTGGGGCGGTGGGACGCGGGGTGACACCCACTAATGCAGCGGGCTCCAGGGGTTGTGTGTGTGTCCCCCTTTTTGTGGGACGCAGGGGACAGCGGGGACAAGGGAGAGGTGGAAGGAGAGAGCGGGGGGTAAATGCTGTGACCCCTCCGGAAGGGCAGCAGCGGGCACATGGATGGCATCAGGCCTGTGTTTTGTGTCTTGTGTCGTTCCCCCCCCCCCCCGTCCCCTGCCCCACTGCATGTCCCCCCCATCTGCCTCCCCCCACCCCCCCCGTGCACAGTCTCCTGCGGGTGACGGGCTTTGCACCTTCCCTAACGGGCTTTGCAAACGAGGTGTTTGCGTGTCCTGGCCCTTATCTCCCCGGGGCTGGCACCGGCGCTGGGCAAACACGCGAATGGTCCCCCCTGAGCGGATCCCCCAGACAATGCCACCGCCGTGTCCCCAAACACACCGGGCCGGGGGGGGGGGGGCTCAGCCAGGGCCACCCCGCACTCCCCACAACCCCTCCAATACACTTCGCAGCGGGGAAAAAAACGCCCCAGGACTGGTTCCCAGTTGCCGGACTGTGGCACTGGGGGGCTGTGGCTACGCTCCGGGTGGGTTTTGTCCCCAGGGGCAGCCAGGGCAGGACGGGGGCTGGTGGCTCACTGGGAGTGGGGTTCAGTGGGGTCTCCCCTCCTTTGGGCTCCAGGGACTTGTCCTTGGGCGGGGATCACCCTCCCTTGGGGTTTCCCTCACAGAGACCCCGCTGCCCTGGGAGATTCCCCCTGCCTCCGTGCCTCAGTTTCCCCGTCTGTACGAAGGAAGGCGGTGAGGCCGATGGGTGACACCGGGGAAGGTGACACCGCTCAGCGAGGGGACACCCCGGACCGGTGGCTTGAAAAAACACCGTGGCTGCTTACTCCTGGGTGACCCCAAACCTCTTTCCTCCCCGTGGGCCCAGTGGTGCCAGTGCCCAGGGTGGGTTGCGGACCAGGATTGCCCGGATTTGGCCCCACACGCTGCCCCCCCCCACACCCCCACCTCCACATTTGCACAGCAGCTTAGGGAGCAAATATTGACCTCGCTCCACGGGGGCAATCGCGCCTGCTCCCCCCATCCGTCTCCCACTGGGCGCTCGCCCCGACGCTCCTGTCTCCGGCTAATCCTCCCCAGCGCCACGGAGACCCCACAGAGCAGCTCTGCTCCCCCAAACCCCCGGGGGCTTCCCCCCGAGCCCCAGCAGCTCGGGGGGGGGGGTTGGGGGGCGTGGGGTGGGGGAGGAATGCACACACACACACACACACACCCCCCCAGCCCTCCAAGCGCTGCGGTGGGCCGCACCGCCTGGGCTTGCTTGGCGAAAAAAACCCGGGTTTGGCTCCGACCCCCCTCTTCGCAGGTGGGGTTTTGGGGTTCACGGGGCCGTGTGTCCATTCCCCACCCCCCCCTCCACACACACGCCGTGACCGTGGAAGATCTGGGATGGGTGCGGGGGCCGGATCCTGCTTTTGCCCCCCACGCAGGCGCGGGGGGGGGGGGGAGAGGGGGGGGGTTCACGCCGTGCGTGTGCAGGGGTGTGCGTGGGCGCACACGGGTGTGCGTGGGGGGGGGGGTTGCACGGGTGGGGGTGCAGTACTGCCACAGCCACCACAGCGCGGGGGTATAGCTCAGTGGTAGAGCATTTGACTGCAGATCAAGAGGTCCCCGGTTCAAATCCGGGTGCCCCCTCTTTTATTTTTAAATTTTCCGGGCGGGGGGAGCGTGACCCCTTTTTTCCCCCACCCCTTTTATCCGCTCCACAGCCCCCGCGGCTGCGAGAGGAGGTCGCATCCTGCTCCCCGTCGTTTTTCTCTTGCAGAAGGACGGAGCCAACTCTCCGGCAGGGACCCCCCCCAAACCGTCGCCCCCCCGCTCTCTTCTCCCCACCCCACCCCACCCCCCCCTCTTCCTCAATTCGGAGCCGCCGCAGGGCCCCCTCTTACACCCACACCCCCCGGGTTTGGCCAGGGGGGACCAGAATCTCTCCCCAGGCCCCCAGCACCACGGGACGCATCTCTGCGGGTGTTTGCACCCTTCTCCTGCCCCGGCACCCAGGGCTGAGCCACCCTCCCGGGCACCAGGGACTGGGGTGCAACCTGATACAACCCCCCCCCCCCCCCCCCAAAAAAAAAAAAACAAAAAAACAAAACCAACAAACCGCTGCCCAAATCATGGTGGGGGCAGAAGGCAGCTCGGCTGACCCTGGAGCTGGGGCTGCTCCCGGGGCTCTGCGGTGCCCGCTGGACCCCCACCCCGTGACCCCCCCCCACTTTGTGACACCCCCCCTCCCCACACACACACCCCGTGACCCTCACCCCAAACCCCCCAAAGCCCCCAGTAACCAGCTCTCCTGCTGCAAAAGGGGAAAAACTGGGGGACAAACACTCGTGCTGCGGTGACGCGTCCCCTGCGGGTTTGCCGATGGGGGGGAGGAACCCAAGGGGGGGCGGGGAACGGGGTGCTGGACCCCCCCCCCCCCCCCCCCAAAACACGGTGCCTGCAATTGCGTGCGGCTGCTCCGGCCGCTTGTCACCGGGGGGGCAGGCGGCAGCACGGGCTGGCTTGGGGGGGTCACGTACCCCTCAAAACGGGACTGGGGGTCTCAGCCGAGCAAACCCCCCCCCACCCCCCCGCAGCCCGGTGAGGGGTCACCGGCCCACCCCCCGCTGCCCGCAATGGGGACAGGGTGCTGCGACCCCCCCCACGTCACCCTATCGTGGTGGGGGGGGGGTGGGGGTGTCAGCACATGGAGACCCATTTCCCTTGGTGGGGGGGGGGGCGCTTGGCGGGGGGGGGCAGAGCAGGCTCGGGGGACACTGCCCGAACCTCACGGGTGCGGGGGGTCCCGGCCCCGGCTCCAGCCCCACCCCCCCCGGCCCCACCCCCGGCCCCACCCCCGGCCCCACCCCCGGCTCCGGTTCTCGCTCCCGCTCCGGCTCCGTGCGCGGCTCCCCGGGGGTGCCGGCCCATGGCGGGGCGCTGAGCAACCCCCCCCCCCCCCCCAAGCCCCCCCAAAACAGAGCCGGGGCCGAGTGGTGCCCCCCCACCCCCACCATGCGCTGGGGGGGCCTGATCCTGTTCTGCCTGCTGCGCGGGGCGCTGGGCCCAGGTAGGGGGGCTGAGGCGGGGGGGGGGCGGCGGGCGAGCTCCGGGGAGGGGGGGGTGGGGATCCAGGGGGATGCTCCGGGAGGGTGCTGCGCCCGCCGTCCCGCGTGGCCGTGGGCAGCGGGAGGTGCCCCGCTGCTGCCCGGAGCGGGCTGCGCTTTGGGGGTGTCTTTGTGCCCCACTGGGCACGCGGGTGCGTGTCACGCTGCACCCCACAGCAGGCTGCACCCACAGCAGCCACCCGCGGCGTGGGACCTGCCTTGGGGGTCCCCCTCCTTGCCCCACGCCACCCCACCCCCCCCCCCCCATGTGAAGGCAATAGCACCGGCTGTTTGGCCCCACTGCCGGGGTGCCCCCACCCAGGGTTCCCCCACCCGTGGCACCCCATGGCACGCCTGGTGCTGGCCTCGCTGTGGGTGCAGCCGTCCGGTGAGATTTCAGGTGGGACGCCGGAGCCTCCGTGCGGGGCACCTCGGGCCCCCCAGCTCCCCCAGGGAAGGCAAGTGTGACCCCCCCCCAACCACAGACCCCCTTTCCCCATATATCGGCAGTGGCGTGTGTCCCGCCAGCTGCCAGCTCAGCCCTGCTCCCCCCCTGCCTCAGTTTCCCCTCCCGGAGATGCTGGGAACAGACACCAGCCCCACCGGGCAGCTCAGGAGGGGACCAGGAGCTCGTTAGGCACTAATTAGCTCCCTCTCCCCAGGGAGAAGGTGGGAGCCCTCTCCCAAGGGTGAGGGGAGCAGCCTGCGGCCCCCGCCGGGTGTTTTTGCTGTCCCGCTCACTGGGGACAGACGTCCGGGCTCTGTCCCTGCCCGTGGGCGAGCATGTGCCGTCTGCGCCGCCTCCGCCCCTGCCGAGCTGCCAGGAAATCTCATGAATCTCTGCAGATTTGGTCCCGAACGGCTTTTTCATCCCCCCCCCCCCCCCCCCCCCCCCCCCCCACTGCACCGTGTTTCTGGCCTCCGCTCCCTCCCCAGGGCTTGGAACCGGGTGCGGGGAGACGCAGCAGGAGGGGGACAGGGGACAGGTTTCTTTGGGAGATGGGTGCTTGGGGGTCTGCCCCGGCCCCCGGCCCCCCCGTACCTGCCCCGGAGGAGGGGACATCGAGGACACGGCCGCGCTGGTGCCCCAGGTCTGAAGCCGCACAGTCCCCATCCCCAGGGCCTCGTGCTCCTCCCCGTGTGGGGTGTGAGCTGAGCTGGGGAGGGGGGGGTTGCAGGTGTTTTGCCTCTGTTCACCCCTCCGTCGCGGCTCCGCTCCCCCAGCCGTGGGTGTTTGTCACCCATCCCTGCACCCCGTAGCCACCCCTGACCCGAGAAGCCCTTCCCTGCCTCGCCGATGTTGCAGTGATGCTGCTTATCAGGGATGAGACGACCCCCCCCCCTCCGCCCCCCAAAAACTCGTGTCACCTAAGCCGAAGCTGCCTTGCAGAGCGGGGGGAAAGGGCTGACCCCAGCCCGCAGGCCTCCTGGTGTGGGACCCCGCTGAGCCATCCCTGTGCCCCCCTCCCTCAGGACACCCCCCCGGCAGCCCGGCGGTGGGCGAAGGGCGGCGGAGAGCTCGGGACACCTCACCGGGGAGCGAGGGGACCCGCATCAGCCAGGACCTGGTGGGGGGCAGCCTGGCCATCGACACGCTGCCGGCCAACGAGACGCGGATCGTGGTGAGTTGGGACCCACCCCCCCCCCCCCCCAGCCCCACGGCAGGATCCGGCCAGCGCCTGACCACCGAAGGGCTATTTCCAGGCTGGGCAGGGACGCTGGCTCTCGTTTAATTTGTGGGGCCGGATCCTGGCAGCCCGGAGGGTAATTACAGCCCAGCGCCGGGGTGACCGTGCCCTGGGGTTTGCTCCGAGCCCTGCGGCTGTCCCTGCCAGGTCCCGGGGCCAACCTTGGTCTGAAAATCTGGGGATGCTTCGCTTGCTGTGATGCCACGTGCGCAGCGGGGATGATGCTGCCGAGATGATCGAGGCCGTGCCGGGGCAAGGGGGCTGTGCGGGTAGAGGGATATGGGGGGGGGGGGATCCCTGCCTGGGGAAGGCAGCAGCCTGCGCCGCTGCTAACGGACTCGTGGAGCAGCACCGTCGCCTCCTGGGACCTCTCGCTTGGTTCTCACATCCCGGCCGTGCCTAATTACCCGCCCTCAATTAGCTCCCGGTTATTTGTGGCGGGGCTGTGTGTCCCTCGGCAAGTCAGGGGGGTTTGCCCAGCTCTGAGGTCTCTGGGAGTGGGGGGGCTGCATGGCTGAGGGAGGTTTCTGGGGAAGGATGCACCGGCCGTGGTGACTTGTCCTGGAGTTTTTTGCCGGTAGCTGGTTGTGGTTTCAGTGGAATTGGTGCCCCCCGTGGCACGGCGAGCAGGGGAGAAGCAGCTGTGGCTGTTTCTGCTCCTCTCGAGCTCCAGCTTGGCCTCACTCATTCACTGTCAGGGTCGGAGAGGGGCCAGAAGCCAGAAAAGTCCCTGATGTGGAAGTGTTTTAAAAAAAAACCCACCCCAAACCAGCCCAAAACCACCAATGCCCCCATTTGGAGATGCTGGGGAACCACAGGAAGGGTGTGATGGTGCTTGTGGTTCCCAGGAGGAAAAGGCAGTAATTTCCTGGGGCTCGATGCTGTCGGGGGTTGAGGAGTATCTGCCTTGAGAGCGGGGCCACGTTCAAGGTCAGGGATTCTCTTCCTCCACGCGTCGCTGCGTCTCTCCCTGTCCGACCGGCAGAAGGTGTGATCCTACCTCCGGAGATGCCAGCCTGGAGTCTGGAGGGGTTTCCCCACTCTCCCCCCAAAATATTGCAAGTTTGGGGTGCAGAGGGGCAGCTCTGGACCCAAAGGATGAAGAGGGGTGTGATGCCGGGCATCACTGCCATCCCTCCTCGCCCTCTGCCCCACGGCGGCTGCGCTCCCCGCTTATTTGTATGCCCAGACCCTCCCCTCTCTTAATTCCTGCCATAACCAGAGCAAGGTGACAGAGCAGGACACCCTAATGAGTCATCGATGAGGTCAGGAGCTCGGCAGCCAGCTCCTCCGGGCTCCCGGCCCTGCTTGGAACACACTGGGAAGGCACTGGGGGGGACACACACACACACACACAAAGGCATGGGAGGTTTTGTCATTTGTCACCCAGCGATAGCCTGTCCCTGCATCCCAGGGGGTTTTCAAAGCCTTTGGGCGGGGAGGGGTGGGCTGGGATGCAGCAGGTACTGGCACAGCCTTCCCCGTGCCTCAGTTTCCCCATCCACAGGGAAAAGAGGACTCTGGGCTGCATCAGTCCCTCGGGGCGAGAAGGGGCTATAACTGCTGTAGGGAAGAGCCAGGAAAGCTTTTCCTGGAGTCGGGGCTTCCACAGGAGGCAGAGGAGCGTAACAGCTCTCCTTGAACTTTGCCGAAGCCAAAAAAAATTCCATGTTGCAGGATTTCTCTACTAGCGTTTTATTCCTTTGACTCCCACAGAGCTGCAGTAGCTCTCTGGGGAATAACACGGGGTGGGGGGGTGGGGGGGCGAGAAGGGGGGGCCGGGGGTCAGAGCAGCAGAAACGCAGCAGATGGGGCCGGGCGGCGAGCGCGGCGGCACGCCAGGCGCTGGCACGGGGCAGCGCTTTCCCGAGGAAAATTAAGATGTGTCCCATCCGTGGGTGTGTGCCCCCCCCCCACCAACTCCTCCGCGGCGTGAACCAGCCTGCCCCGAGAGGTGACGGCTCCCAGCGGTGTGCCCAGCCGGCCGCACGCCGAAGCCCACCGGGGAGGGATGGGGCGGGGGGGGGGGGGGTGCTGGCACGGCCGGGACACGGGGTGCGCAGGGCTGGCTGCGCCCCGGGAAATCGCCCGCCCCGCCGGTGTCCCCGAGGAGCTGCGTGGGCAGGTCCCCGTCGGGGATTTGTGTCCTTTGTCGGGTCCCCGGTGGGTTTGGGATGGCTCTTGGCAGAGCTGCTGCGTGGTCCGTGCTCCGGGCGGCTGGGGAGGGGGGGGGGCACGGGGAGCCTGGGGGTGCCGCTGGATGCTGCGGCGGGGTGGGGGTGCCTGGGGGTCCCTCTCCTTGCTCCGTGTGAAAATAGCAAGGGGGGGGATCTGATGGCTCACACAGAGCCGCACTCCATCCCGCGCTCCGGGGGTGTCACCCAGGAGGGCAGCCCGAGCCCCTCCCGCCGTGCCCCCCCATCCTCAGCCCCTCGGCTGGCGGCGGTGGCTCGGCCGCTTTCCCCGAGCTGCCCGTTTCCGAGGTTAATCATTTCCTCTGGGCTTCCACCTCTTCAGTTGTTTGCTTCGTTTCTAGTGGTCACTTTGGCTGTAACTTCCAGCCCCTGGCTCTAGAGCAGGATATTTTCTTGCCGGGAAGGTTGCATCTGCTTCGCTCAAGTCTCTCGTGAGTCACGTCTCTCTCCCTTGCCAGCCCGCCCGTCCTCTCTGCACTCAAATCGGTCTCGTGGGTCTTCTCTGCACCTTCTCCAGCTGCTCAGCACCCTTTGCTGGCTTCGCCCCGGGGTTTTTTTGGTGCTGGTTTTGTTGCTGCTTTGCGCTGAGATCGGGCCCGAGGGTTTGCATCTCCACGGAGCAAGCTGGGTGACCCTGTCCCCTGTCACCCCGTCCCTCCCCGGCTGCAGGAGGACAACCACAGCTACTACGTGTCGCGGACCTACGGGCCGGGGGACGCCCGTCGGAGGGGGCTGTGGGTCGACATGACGGCGGCCAACAGGAGCCAAGTGAAGATCCACGGGATCCTCTCCAACACGCACCGGCAGGCCTCGGTGAGCCCACGGGGCTGTTCTGCAGCCGGGGGGGGCGGGGGGGTGTGGGGGGGTGTGTGTGTCCCCACATCTCCTCTCCCAGCAGGGATTTTTCCCGGCGGTGGCACCTCGCCCAGGGCACCTGCATCCCCTCTGCGGCCCCCAGGATGGTCTGGTAGAGATCAAGGCTTGGGAAGCATTTGGTGTCCCCCAGCCCCAGTCCAGGGCTGAAGGGGATGAGCCGTGGGGATACAGACCCACAGGACCCCCACTTCCATCCCTCTCCCACCCCTCCAGGCACCGGCCCCGGGAGTTTGCTCCAAGCCAGGGCAGAGCCGGTGCCGGTGGGCACAGACCCGTCCCCCCACGCCCCCCGCGGGCATTTTCCCAAGAGCTGAGCGTGTTCCTCACCCCGTCTCCCTCCCGCAGAGAATCATCCTCTCCTTTGACTTCCCCTTCTACGGCCACCTCCTGCGACAGGTCACGATCGCGACGGGTGGTGAGTCGGGACGGGGTGCCCGCGCTCGGCTGGCGTTCCCGCGGTGGGAGGGCTGGGCACGGCTCCGGTGTTGGCTCTGACCTCACCCCACGTCCCTGAGCCCCAGGGAGCTCCAACAGAGAAGGGGCTGCAGCCCTTCTAGCTTGCTCCCTGCACCCCAGCTGTAAGCCCTGCCCTGCTGCTGGTGCTCAGGGAGTCGGGTGCTGCTGGTGCCTGGGTTTCTGCAGCCGTTGAGGGGATGCGAGGGGTGGGGTCACACCGGTTTGGCGAAAGTCTGGGAGGGGATGCTGAGGGTCAAATTAAGGATGGGGTGAGCAGAAAGAGGGAGGGAGCACCCCGGGGCGGTGGAGGGGAGCGTGGGCTGCTTCACCCTCCTCTGCTCGCTCAGGTTTTATCTTCATGGGGGACGTCATCCACCGGATGCTCACGGCCACGCAGTACGTCGCGCCCCTCATGGCCAACTTCAACCCCAGCTACTCCCGCAACTCCACCGTCCAGTACCTGGACAACGGTGAGCCCTGCTCCAGCCCCCCCCCCCCCCCAAAAGGGCAAGCCGCGGCGGCTGCCGTACCCGCAGAGCAGCAGGCAGCCTGCCTGCCCGCTCCTCCCCCGTAAAACGGGGTAAAACTCAGCTCTCCGGAGCAAATAGAGGGGCTGGAGCCGGAGCGGGGGGTGTGGGGTGTGGGGAAGGGGAGCCCAGGGAAGCAGGAGCTGTTTGGGGGAGGCGGGGGTTGGGTAGGGGCAGCAGGGATGTTTGGCAGGGGCTGCTTGATGGGGCTGCTCAGAGCGAAGTGCTGGAGGTTGGGGGATGAGGTGACTTGGAGCTTCACCAACAGAAGATGCCGGTCAGGCTGGTGAGATGCAGAGCAAGGAGAGGTGAGAGGACTGATCCGCTCTGGTCTCTCCCCCCAGGGACGGTTTTTGTGGTGCAGTGGGACAAGGTCTATCTTCAGGGGAAGGAGGACATGGGCAGCTTCACCTTCCAAGCCGCCCTGCACAGCACTGGGAGAATTGTCTTTGGGTACAAGGAGGTGAGAGATGTTTCTGCTGGGGAGGGCGCGGCAGGAAGGTCCCTGTGGGTCTGGGAGGAGATTTAATGTTGTAAGTGTTCACACGTCGGGTTCTGAGCATTCCCAGTGCCACCAAAGCACTGGAGAGCTCTGCAGCAGCCCGGGGCAGGGCTGGGGTCCATCACCCCGTCTCTCCCCGGCTGCAGATCCCCGTGCCAGTCCTACAGATCAGTGCCACCCAGCACCCCGTGAAAGCCGGCCTCTCCGACGCCTTCATGATCCTCAACCCATCTCCCGACGTGCCCGGTGAGTCGCTGCGCTCGAGGGGCTGGGGAGGCGGCTGCTGGGGCAGGGACGGAGCTGGGGGCTCCCCCAGCATCGCAGCTGGGAGAGGGGGGCACGCGGGGATGGAGGGGTGGGGTGTCCTCGTCTTCGGGACACGAGGCTGCGGTGCCTGGATTCCCGAGCGGGGAGCACGGGCGCGTGAGGAGGCGCGTGGGGCTCGGCTGCACGGATGTCCCTCGTGTCCCACGTTCCGGGGTGCATCTCTTTTGGGGCGCATCCCGCCACGGCCAAGTCCGTCGCGCAGCCCTGTGCTCCGGGCGGCCCCAGCCCGAGGCGCTGCAGGCCGAAGGGCTTCGTGCTTCTCGCCCGGCGTATTCAGAATCGCTGTGAGCGGCCAAGCCACCGCTTCGCTGGTTTTTCCAGCCGATGAGGAGGAGGGGAAGAACATTCCCAAACGCGACTGCAGATGGACGAGAGGCTGGGGGGATGCTCGGTGCCCCTGTTCCGATGGGCACGGGGGTGGAGGGGAGCCTACAAGCCGCGCCGCTGCTCTGCTCTGGGCTGTCCTTGACTGCGTGTCGCGGCACGGGTGCTGCCGGGCTGGGATCTGCACCTGTGTCGGCGGGACGTGGGGCTGGCTACACGCGTGGCCGCGTGCTCATTCCACATGTGCCGTGAGCCGCAGGCACGGGGTGAGCCCCCCCGAAAGGGCTCTTCCAGCCTCTCCTGTCCCCTCTTGTCATGAGGAGCCCAACCTCGCTCCTGCCTCCCCGTGCTGCGCCCGGCGCCGTTGCTTTTCTTTGTTATTTATGGAGCCTGCCATCTGGCCCTCATTTATTACCCGTTTAACAACAGTTTGTGTAAAAACCTCGGCCGGGCTGGATGGTGCCTTCCCTCCCCACCTCGCCGGGCTGCTCCCCTCTGTCCCCATGGGCTTGCCAGCCCCTGCCTGTACCTCCTGCCTGCCCCGGGGGTGTCAGGGGAAGCGGGGGGGAGAAGAAATGCAAGAACTGGGCACGAAAAAACATAATGAGGTGAAGAAACAAGGCTTGAAGGGAAGGAGAGGAGGGGGTAGGAGGGGAGAGCGCTCCGTCCTGCTCATCTGCTGGTCTCCAAGTGTGGAGCAGAGCTGCGAGGAGCCGCGGCCATGCTGGAAGGATGGGTTTGATCCTCCTCGCAGATAAGCATGATGCCAGAGAAGCATCTTGGCCGGTGTCGCCACACGAATTAGTGGCAGATGCTGGGAGAAAATTTGGGAGAAGCCCGAATCCAGGATAGACCCCTCTGGCCCCCAGGATGAAGGGGAAAGAGGAGGAAAGGGGGGGCAAGGCGTGAGGGAGCTGGGAGAAGGGGGAGGCTTTGGGGAGCTCGGGGAGCGGAGCGGAGCTCCGGGCGAGCGCTGCGCACGGGGGAGGCGCGCAGCCCCGTGAGTCACTGACGAGCAATGTGTTGTGCAGCTTCGTGTTTGTTTAGAGCGATGCAGGACTGGACCACGTCCACCTCGGGAGCCTCTGGTCGGGGAGAGGGGGACAGAGAGCTCCAAGCTCCTCCTAGCAGAACAGGGAAGAGGAGATGTGTGCCTTGACATCCCTCCTCCCCCCCCAGCACCCCCCGCGTTGCTTCTCCTGGGGCCTGAAAGCCCCCGTGTGCCGTCCGTCTCCCACAGGAACGACCCCAAAACCTGGGGCCGCCTTTGCCTTTCAGCCGGGAGGCGGCAGCAGCCCCACGGGCTTGCCCCACGCCCGCCGGGATCCACGCGTGGGGTGAAACCCCTTCGCAAGGACAGGGGAGGGCGTGCAGGGGGGGTTTGTGCCCAGCCTAAAGCCCAGGCTCCCCGTTTCAGAGTCCCGCCGTCGGACCATCTACGAATATCATCGCGTGGAGCTGGACACCAGCAAGATCACCAGCATGTCAGCCGTGGAGTTCACGCCGCTGCCCAGTAAGTCGGACAGACTGGCGTGGTGCCCCCGGAGCGGATTTCCCTCCCGTGGTTTCGCCCAGCAAGTACAACAGCCTCCCGTTTACAGCCAGGGCTGGAGGAGGCAGGTTCAGTGGGTGCTGGGGGGGGTGGGGGGGTGCGTGGCTGCCACCCATCACCCGGCGGTTGGGATCCTCCCGTGCGCTGGAGCCGTGGGGGTGGGGGTGCTGTCGGCCCTGCGCTGGGGTCCCCCCAGCTTTTGTGAGAAGGTCTGTGCGTGGCTGTCGCCGAACGTCCCGTACGAACAGCCCTGGCTGGATTTATCAGCTCGGAGCCACCTCGGCCAACAGCAAATCCCACGTGCGTGCCAGCCGGGCTGCGCCGGAGCGGAGACGGGAGCGGGGCTGCAGCAAAGCTCAGCTGGCGCGGGGGGAGCTGATAAAGGGAGGGACCTGCAGGCAGTTACACTTCGCCCGCTTTGCTCAGCGCTTCCCAATTAAGTGAGAAGAGCAGTGGGGGCAGCCACGATGTCCCTGGGAGCGATGGGCCCCATGCTGCTCCGCCAGCGCCCTTCCTCGTCCGCCGGTGGCTCCGCTTTCTCACCAGTAGATCCCCCCTCGCTCCAGCACTTTAATTCCTTTTTTCCTGCACTGACAGCTCTTCCCACCCCTCCAGTCGCTGAAACCCCATCTCTTTGCTCCATAAGCTGCAGCTAATTTCGCTGGACACTGGTTCACGTCAGGTCTGTCTACAAGACATTTTCTACGCCTCCACGCTGAGATGAAATTTCTTAAGGATCCTGTTAAATAGATACATTTTTAGTGTTCGGATCCAAGGACACATGCGCACGAGGGAAAGTCGTCATGCAGTCCATAAATACAGAGCGGAGAGTAAATCTGTCATGAAGATACCAAGGTTAGGCGTTTTAAACGGTCTCCCCAGGGTATTTTATGACAATTTTAACAGCAGGCAGGGTTACTGCAAAGCAGATCATAAATAAGCATTCTGCAATAATTCTATTTTTTTCTCCGTAAGACTTGCTGTTTTGTTTCTCCCAAGAAGCTACGGTAGCTGAGAGCAACATCTTCAGAGGAGACGCAGAGCTAGAGAGAATGCTTTTTCTTCTGGGGGGTTTAATTTTTAGCCTTATTCGGGTCAGAAGTGGATGAACTGGGTTAGCCTCCGCCGCTCCTCCGGAGGCCCTTGCTTGCCGGCTGCCTCCACGCCGCAGTCTGCTCGGGAGCAGTCGGACGGGTGGGGGAGATGGGGACTGGAGGGACTGCGGCGGCGGCGGCGAGCTGGCGGGGACGGGACGGGCAGGCTGCTGCCTGCAGGAGCCGGAGCACCGGCGCAGGATGGGCACCGCTGCTCTTCTGCCCCCGTCACCCCGTGTTTCACGGCACTGGGTCAGCTCTTGCCTGCCAGGGGCATGTTAAAACTGCCGGTTTCCTTGACTTTTTTTTTTTGCAGATGAGCCCTCTTGGGCCTCTTTTCTAGACATCGAATGACGGTGCTCTCCAAGCACCTAATCCCCTCCAGCGTGGAGATATTCTTGCAGAGCTACTTAGTACGAACATAGCAACAGAGGGTTAAACTGTTGTTATTGCTTCCTTCCTTCCGTAGGACCCTCTGTACAATAACACAAACACTCTCTGTACAATAAGAAGTGGCATAAGTCTCAGGTGCCTTGTCATTCCCAGCTGAAGAGAATGGGAAGGTGTTTACAGACGGCCTGTGAGTCCACTCCTGCTAGGAGGGTGCTGCCTTGCCCTGCAGGTCCACTGCAGAGAGAGGTTGGGTTGGAGCCTCCTCTGCTGATGCTCGGGTCCTACCCGTGCCACCAGCTTTCAGCAGATGCCCCCCTGTGCCCGCGCGGATGCTGGCGCATCGCTGGTACGTCTCTCCTCTCTCTTTTACAGCTTGTCTCCAGCATCAGAGCTGTGAAATGTGTGTGACCTCGGAGCTGACCTTCAACTGCAGCTGGTGTCATGTCCTGCAGAGGTAGCTGGGATGAGTTTCCTTCCCACCTCTTCTCTTGCTAATGTTTCTATAGCTGGGAGAGCAAGTGCAACTCCAGGCCTGATGCCTGTATCAGTGTTGTTGGGGTTTATTACTATTTTCCTTTTTTTTTTCTGTTGTTTTTTTTCGTTGCTTTTTGGCTTAGTTAGGTTGCTGCTTGCAGTCTCATAGCGAGGGTTAGGTGGTGATCCGATCTCCAAGCCATTGAAAGACAAAATTTCCCGAGGCTAGGGTTTTAGGTCCTCATGTTTTGATGCAGCAGCTGGGACAAGTTGAGACCAGAAGCAAGACTCACGTTTTTGTCAGTGAGCTTAAATATGGGGGAAATTTGTCCTGACTTAGGCTGTGATTGCAGACAGAAGTGCGGGGCAGGCAGGCTGGGACGGGCTCAGCGCTGAAGGACGCCGGGTAGGTCTGAGAGCTGGGGATGCTCATCGGCCCCTCAGCTGCGGCAGGGGGGGGGGGGGGGGGGGGCAGGCCCCCTTTGTCGGGGATGAGACACAGCAAGGGTGGGGGGAACTTGCTGCTTTTTTGGGGGTAAACGGAGGATCAGGGGGGCCGGGGCTGGCCCCGCCGCAGTCCCAGCCGTGCAGCAGCCCTGCTCCGTGCTCTCCTTCAGCTCAGGCGGCGCGCTACGGAGCATGAGAGAGTCTAATGAGATTGTGCTGAAATATTTATTTAGAGCTAGCGGCAGGGGAGAGGACCCAATAACACAGATCCTCACAGGCGGCATGGGGACAGCCGTGCTCGGGAAATGCCCGGCTCTCCCGGGAAGGCACGCTGCCTGGCCCCTTCTCCAGCCGCCTCCTGCAAGAGCTCGCCCCGGCATCGCTCGCAGGGCACCTTCGTTCCTCCTTTCTGTGGCCCTTCCCTCGCTCCGCTCGAGACTTGCACCCTCCTTCCCTCACGCGCAGCGATTTCAGCAAGGTACGAGCAGGGCAGCTGGGACGAGGGAAGATCCCGAGACATCGGCAGAGAGACCCCATAAATCAGTGTTGATTCACTGCCTTTCAGTGGGCTGGAGCACAACCCGAGCCAGGGGAACATCATTTTTCAATGACAGTTGCTCAGCGGTGGCTTCGGATCAGAGAATATTATGTTCTTGCAGCTGAGAGAGATGTGTGAAACCAGATGTGGCTTTGGTAGCAAAACCGAGCCTGAGATACAGTGGCTTAGTCTGGATCTTGTTTGGGCCGAAACCCCAGGGCTCAAGGACTTCATTGTTCTGCTTATTCCAAATTCACGGCGTTTGCAAACTCGATCTTCCAAAATCCAAGTTGCTGTTGCTGGTGTTTCCTCTTATCACTTACAGTACGGTGACTTCTTGATGTGTTGGCTAAAAGCCATGCTTCCTGCAGCCATAACTGCAGATCCACAGCTTAGGTTACAAACGGAAAATACAAATGGCAAGCGTGGCGGAAACTGCAGGCTGGACCCAGCCTACCGCTATCTTGTTGGCTTTCAACCACGTTGGTTTCGCAAAGCCAACATCATCTTTTCCAAGGAAGTTTGTAGGGTGGCTCCCAGGGTTTGAACTTATATCCTGAGTGTCCCGCTCAGTGATTTAACCCCAGAGTCCTCTTAGCTCTCTTCTGGACAGTGGAGTTGGTATTTTTGCTTTTGCCGAGCCCGCAATCGTTACAGGAACTGTACTTTAAGCAAAGATCTCAGTGACTCAGCAGGACCTGAAGTTCTTTGTGGCTTCTCCTCTTTTACTGGTTGGCAAATTAGTGCTTGTAGGAGCTGAACCCCTGATTCATATTTTGGTATCCCCAGAGACCTCCCAAAAGCCAGAGTGCTATTTCATTCTCTCTGTTTCTGTAGAGATTTCTCTAGCTGGTGTTTTCCTGATGCCGTTTTTAATTTCTTGAATGTGTTTTTCCTGTGCAGATGTTGCTGGAAAAAAAAAAACACCCATGTGGAGATCATGGCCTTGCCCTGAGTCCAGGGAATGGAAATTCAAACTCAGTCTATATATTTTTCCTACTTCTCTGCTTCTCCATTTCCCTTGGAGAAGCAGGGTTGACCCTTTTCCTTCGCTGTGAAGAGGAACGTTTGGGCCCTTCCAGCACAGCTGTACTGGAAACCCCAGGTCTTTGGAGACCAGCTTGTATATAATCTTTCCAGTCCTCAGATATTTGTTTGTCCAAGTAATCTGTACACGGCGCCTAGCGGGGCAGCGTTTGGGACACTTAGGCAGCTTAGAAATCACTAGCAATGCCTCCTGCGTTGTTATTGCCGTGTCTCTCAGGATTTCACCTGCCACAGGTTAATACAGCTTTTCCCTGCAGGTGTTCCAGCGGCTTTGACCGATACCGTGAGGAGTGGCTGTCCTACGGCTGCGGCCAGAAGGTGAGGCTGGGAGAGGAACCGCTTCTGCGAGATCCTCTGCTAGGAATGACACTGAGCTGCAGAAAAACCAACAGCCATATCCCAGCTCAAAACAGTCACGCTCAGCTCCACTTGACCCGTGCTGTTCTGGAACAGACTGGGTATCCCTTTGGATGTCCCCATTTACAGCAGGACCACCGATCCCCTTAACAGAGGATGTCTGTATTGGAATGGTTAAAAAATGATCCACCTAACCCAGCATTTGCCTTGCTGGTGTCTTGTCTCTGTGTTGGTCGGTGCTGGATATTCAGGAAAGATGCAGAGACCTCCATAAATTACCAAATGGTGCAATTTGAGTAGACTGGGATATTTTTTTCTTCACCTTCTGAAGCATGACTCTTACTCACTCTCAAGCATGAAGAAATTAGCCCTTGTGATTTTTTTTTGTCCTTGTTAGCACAATTATCTCCACACTGGATGAACTAGTTTCTTTGTCTCAGAAAGATCAGCTCTGACAAAACATCTGTTTCTGCTTTGGGTTTGTTTTTTTTTTTTTTTTTTTATTTTATTTTTTTGTTTTGTTTTGTTTTGTTTTATTTTTTTCCCCACTAAAAACTCAGCTTTGTTCCCTGCTAACCAAGAGGGCTGAGTGAGGAAAAAGAAGGTCACAGGACCTATGTAAGGTCATCCAGTGATGCAAGAAGGTCAGACTGTAGGACCTTGCCAGATCATTGTTATTTGTCCTTAAGTGGTTCCCAAACTTTTCCTCCTCCAATCTCCAGGTTACACACACGCACCCCCCCTTACTTCTGGCACTTCTGGACCACGTCCCCTGCTTCCACTCCAGTGTTTGAACCCCAAGGGCTTGGTAGCCCTAAGCCTGGGAAGCAGAGTCCCTCACCACTGGCACTCTTGCTGGAAGGAGAGCTAAGGAAAGTAGCCGTTCTCCATTTTCTTTCCAGCCAGAGGAGAAGACCTGCGAGGATCTAGCAGAAGGCGACCACTATTCAGCACCTCCCGACAGCTCTTTCTCGCCGCTGGACGAGGATGTCACCACCTCCACGTCCTCGCTCTTCATCGACAGCCTCACTACAGAAGGTAAGGGCAGGTGGGGTGAGCAGCTCTGGCGGGGACACCCCATCCTCGACGCTTGTCCCTGGAGAGACCTGTCGCTCCCACGCCTCGTGAAGCCAGCTCGTGTCCAAATCACTACAATAGCAAACCCGTCTTTGAAGCACGGGGCGCGGGTGGGAACAGGAGGCAGGGGAAGGGGGGAGGAGGAGCAGCCCAGGAGGTGACACTCGGAGAGATGTGGCAAGGGGGGAGATGGAACCCTCCGGTGGGAAGAGTTTTGCAGTTGCATCGCAGCCTTTTTATGTATTTGTGAAGGTCAACAAGCAACTAGTCCCTGGCGGACAGACACCCCAGCACTGTAACAGGTTAATGCTGTGTACGGGGCTCATGCTTTAAATGTACTTGGTCCTCAGGGCTTCCTGTGCTCTCAGGCTGGCAATAATGCAGCACAGGCTTGTGATTGCCCTCTGCTTGGGAACGGTGTTCGTTCCAGCATAGGAGAGCTCCACATAAGGACCCGAGTTTCCCTCGAGACACCCATGTTCTAAAGCTTGATAATCCTATTAAGACAGGGCTGGCTCCTCCGATCCTAGCGGCAGGTATCACTTCAATTTTGCTGCTTAATAGTCCCTAACGCAAACTGCTAATTAGAATAAATAGAAAGGAACATTAGTAATTGTCCTTCAGCAATGGGAAGGAGTTGGGGGGGGGAACAGAGCGCCTGGCTGCCAGAGTTGACTTTGAAAGGAGCAATTAAAGGAAGGGGGGAGTGTAACACCACCACTGAGATTATTTTCCAACTCATCGCCAATTCTTGGAAAAAGAACAAGAGGCTTTCTGTGACATAGTCAAGCATGAAGTTAATTTGTAATCTTGGAAGGAAACAAACAGCCAGCTGCATCAGGCAGCGAACTTTATCTGGAGGGGCGCAGCAAAGGAAGGAGCCGGGCGAAGGAGGGGAGCCGCCCCTCTGCATCCTCCCCGGCCAGCCCGGCTCGCTGGCTCTGCTCACGGAGACGTTCGTGAACGCGTCCGACTCGCTGGTCGTGTGTCAGCGCTGCGCAGGAGGGAGCCAGGCCGTAGAGACTTCTGGATCAGGATTGCAGCTGATTTTCAGCAAGCGTGGAGGGCACCAAGGCACAAAGCCCCGTGCTAGGTGTCCTGGTTCTTCCAGAGGGAGGTGAAGAGTGGAATCGGAATTTGGGCCCCCCCGTGCAAACACCTGCCGTGCGACAGCCCGTTGATTATTCGGGATGTATTAGCAGCATATTGCTGCAAATGCCATAGTCTGAACGGACACCCACAAGGGCTGGGGCCCCATCCAGCATTCATTTATTGTTCTGCTTCGCACACCGAGAGCTTTTAGGCTTCCTCAGATGTTTGTGCTCCGGGTGCCACCTTTGTGAAGGAAGACGATAAACCACGAGCCACGTGCTTCCACCAAACTTGGAGGTTTAAAGTTGTCACTGGCCACATAAATGCTGTGCAAGAGGTGTGTTCTGTCAGTGGCCCCGTTACAGAGGGATGAAATCGGGTGGGAAGCATGCAGAATATCACAGAAGGCTCTTAACTTCATGCTTTTTGCCTTTGTTTTCTTCTTTTAGACGATACAAAGCTCAATCAGTATGCAGGAAGCGAAGGTAAGCCCTTAATCTCCTCTCTGCCTGCTCACACTCGTTCCAAGTGAAAACATGTTACACTGAAATCAAACGCACCAGGGAGTTGCGATCAGTCAGCGGGGTGGACAGGTGAAACTGAGATTGGAGGGATGCAATCAAGATAAGACTCCTATTGTCCTTACCCCGATTAATACCATTTCAGATAGTGAAAAGTGAGAGTCGGGACTAATCTGTTTTACCCTGATGCTGTTTGTCTGCTTCTCCCACTTAGTCCTGCTGTGCAAACTAAGATGATGAGTTTTCTCTTCACACGTAATTCCCTTTCTTTGCAGTTTTTGCATAGACACAAAGTCCTTTTTCCTCTTGAATTTCCCTACCTGTGCCAAAGAGCACAGTAAAATCCAAATATAAAAAGAGTCCTTAGCCCAGCTTTGCCTTTTTCATCTCTGTTCCTGTGAATCCCCTCTCAGGCCGAGTCTGTTCATCAGCCCCAAGGGCAGGGAACCAAACTGCCCTTAATAATTCCAGAGTATGGGAAGGATCCGAGCCCTCTTTGCCTGCAAGAAATACGGTCGTGCACAAACCACGAGCCCACCCCTCTTACCTGAAAGCAGCTCGTGGAAGTTAACCTGGCTAAACTGGGTGCAGGATCAGTTCCTTTGCAGGCATGGGGCCTCTGAAATGCATGAGCTTCCCAGTCTCAGCCAAATTGCTCCCCAACTGGCTGGTAATGTCACTGTTAATATATGCCACGCAGCCCCTCTGTAGCTCTGTGCAATTGCATATTCACAGCCGAGGACTGAGGGCAGGCTGGAGGGCTGGGGGTAAAACACACTGAGGACCCCACTCGGCATATGGCTAATGGCTTTCTATCGGAGTGAGCAGCCAATATATAAAGAGTATGGATTGAGGGGGGAGGGGGGGGTTACTGCATGGTGGTGGTTTAATCTTCTTTCAAACCAGCTACAGCGATCATCTGAAAGGGATGCTGGAGCTCAGGCAGCTCTCTGGTGCAGCTTCCCCTCTCGTTGAGCCAGACAGCAGCAGGCTGAGTTGCTCGGTCGTACGCGCAGGGCGCTGAAAGGGCTTGCCTTGCTTTTCTTTCCTGTCCTTTTTTTTTTACTGAGGTCTCAACACAGTTCAAGACTCAACTGACTCCTTTTTTTGCAGGTGTGGGAAGCAGCCTTCCTTCCAAGAAAGCAGGCGCCCCGATTCACACAGGTACGATCGTGGGGATCGTTCTGGCGGTGTTGCTCATTGCAGCTATCATCCTGGCTGGGATTTACATCAACAGCCACCCCACCTCCAACGCGGCCCTGTTCTTCATTGAGGTGAGTGGACAACCTTATCCCTGGCTGGTTTTCTCCTCCTCCACTATCAGCACAAATCCCAACCTTCTGGAGGAGAGCAGGGAGCAAAGAGAAGAGGGGAGAGGAACTTTGACAGAGTTCATATCTGAGTTTCTTGTCATGGTCCTACAGTCACAGCTAATCTCCCAACCTCCAGTTGATGATGTTTTAAACTTAGGCTCTCTCCCTCCCACACTGTTTTATTTTGCTCCCTTTCACACATTGCCTTTTTTTCCCCCATGCGACGTTAGGCTTTTCCACCTGCTTGCATGAGCAGTCAGCACGCAGCCTGGTTGGAGGGCCCAGTTGGAGCTATGACATAATTGAGATCGCTGCCTTTTGAATTGCCCAGCTGGATTTTGTTGACTAAAATTGTCAGACTTTACTGATAGATGTCATGCCATCAGCTACTGTGTAACTGGTGGTGTGAACGCTCCAAATGGAAGATTTTAATTCTCAGAAAGATAGGGGGTCCAACGATCTCCATCTGCTGTTAAAAGCCAGAAGACCGCTTGGTGTAGGATCCCGAGGCAGTCAGAAGTGGGCTGAATCCTGGCATAGGAGCTGCTGCGGAGGGAGTGAGCAACACTTAGCCCTCAGCCTCTCCTTATCACTTGCTGACTTTTTCCTGGAGCACTTGTCTTCCCTCCATCTGTCCTGTTTGCAGAGACAGGCTTCAGCAAACGCAGTTCCCTGCACCCGGCTGAGAAGGGGCAATGAGGTTGTCCCTGATAGAGGGGGGACACAGAGGAGACCCGGAGCTGACACCCGCGCGGTCGGACGGGAAGCCCGTGGCTGGCTGCGGCTGCACAGGCCGCCCTTGTCCTGAGGCTGATGCAAGATTTCACTTAAAATTTCCATTTCCTCCCCGTCCCCCATTTCAACCTTATCAGTGGGCCAGCTCAGTCGTATCGATGCATTGCAACAAACCCTTTTAAGCATGAAGCGATTTCTTAAAAACTTATTTTTATTAATAAAAAGTCAAACTTTCACAGAGGCAGCACTGGTTTTGTTGCAGGGTTTCCAATTTCCCCCCAGTCTTAGCGCGAAAGGCTCTGTCACAGCTTCTGATGGGTCTTTGTTTCTGTCCACAGCGAAGGCCACATCACTGGCCTGCCATGAAATTCCGAAATCACACCAACCATGCAACGTACTCAGAGGTGGAGCCGGCCAGCCAGGAGAAGGAGGGCTTTGTCGAAGCAGAACAGTGCTGAGCGCTTCTCCCCCTGCGTCTCGAACCTCCCATGTCTCAAGTGTTGGAGTCTTCTGTTATTCTATTGCAAAGTCTTTCCCCTCTTGGAAAAGAAACAGCAAGTAGAGGAAAAAGACCCAGTGGAGCATTTGAAAAGGATGAGTCAGGGCGATGCGAGGCTGGACTTGCCCGGATTCCTCCTGGGACAGCCGAGCCTGCAGCCCGGCACCGAAGCCCTGGATGCGGCGGTAGAAAAAAGTGCAGTCGGAGTTTTGGTTTGGCGTGGGTTTTCTGTTTTGGGGTTGGGTTTTTTTTTCCCTGCTGCGTGCGGCTGACCTCTTCCCTCCTCCGCCAGGACTCTTAACAGGGGCAGCAAAGCGGGGGACAAATCTCGGTACGGGCAAAATACGCGGCTGCTTCAAGCAGCAGGCTCTCGGGGACAGCAAGGCGGTTGATTTTTGCTGCGCGCTGGCTCTGCCTGCACTCAGGGAAGTTGGGCTCGTTGCCTCTTCCCCCCTCCAAGGAGAGGCTGGGGGGGTTGGTGGCCCAGGAGAGGTAAGGTTGGCTCTCCAGGGCTCACCTCCCCTCTCCCATCCCCTCTCCCCCAGCTCCGGCCCTTTCTCCACTCTCTTCCCTTTGCCCTCTTTTGGGGTGGGCGACTTTTAATTTTGGCTTCGTGGCCGAGAAGCCTTGAGCCCTTGTCTTTTCATCCTGCAGTTGGTCTTCCACCACCACGGCTTCAACTCCCTGCCCTCCTCTCCCTTCAAAGCAACAGCTTCCCCCCCCCCCCCGCCCCGCTCCAGAGAAAGGGAAACCTGATCTATTTTAAGGGCAAAACCCTGCAGGAGGATTCACCTTTGGGATGTTTGTGAGCCAATGGCTCTGATGCACTTTTTGGCATCTAACTAGTCTGCTAAATGACTATGACCCTACCCCAAAGGAGAGAGAGTGTGAAAAAAAAAATCTTAGATTCCTTCAAAATAGGTCGTCGTGGTGTGGCCGCTAATCCAGCAGGAACAGAGTAGGGTCTGATGGAAGAGGATGGCAACTGCTGAAAGTTGTGTCCTCCCACAGGCTAAATCCTGAAGTAAATTCAAGCTCATTCATGGGCATTTCACATAAATAAGGAGTGAAGGCATACGTGCCTTGACACCACTGAAAATCACCTTGTTAACATCATAGTTTTTAGAGTCTACTCAAGTCAGTGGAATTTTTTCTATTTTTTTTTATTTTATGATGTCTGTGATAGGCCCTGGTCTGGATTTGTACGTATATCATGATTCCAGAATCTGACCCTAACTAAGGGCTTTGACACTAGACCTCTCAGGGTTTTCTATTCCTTCTGTGCAATCAGAATTCAAGACTAATCTGCAGAAATACTCTACCCTACTTCCACAGACACCAGCCAGAGGATTGGGCCCTAAACTGAGGAAAGCTTTTATAAAAAAAGAGAGAGACTGAAGTCCAGTGTAAGGTAGAGTTGTCTTTCCCCCACAAAAAAAAAGGTGTTGGTTGTATGGGGCTTCTTTTTCTTTTTTTTCTTTTTTTTTTTTTAATTTTCCCTTGATCCTCAGTTATTTATTCTGATAATCATGTTTGGTGCATATTTTATCCACTGGCTGGTTCAGCTGTCACTGGTGGTGATTACTGCCAAAGGCAGGGTCTGTCTAATTAATGTTTTCCTTCTCATCTGCTGAATTTATATAGCCATTAAAGATAAATATGGATGCTTTGTGGCATTTAGACCCCAGATTATACTTTTTCATACATAGCCACTAGGGAGACTTTTGCTGCATCTTATTATGGCGTAAAGGCACCAAAACGCTTAAACAGGGTAAGTCAGACCGAGTCGTGCCAAGATGTTATGGCTCAGACAGTCTCTCTTTAGACATATTTTGAAGATAAACTTTATTCCCAAATAAAGCTTTCAACTGGAAGGTTGGGTTTTTTTTTTTTTCCAGTTTCCCCGTAGTAGAAAGAATTCAAAGGGATGCTGTCATCTAGTTTTTGCCCAGGATCTGATCTCCTTTGAAATGGTTATGAGCTGGTAAGGATTTTTCTCTGGATTTAACTCTTTTCAAGTAATGGCCTTGTTTTTAGTGTTCTTCTGAACATGCATGCATGGTAGCAGCAAGATTTTGGGTACTCCTCTTCCCCTATAACTGCTAGAAATGCTAGGTAGCATCTAAGAGTTCTGAAATGCTGTGGGGGAAAAAAAAAAAAAAGAAAATGGACTTTAAATAGCGTGCAATTGAGCTGTATAAATCACTGGTGCATTACTACAGCAAGGATCTTAGAAGGATTCAGAAGAGGATCAGATACTCAGGTGGAGAATAATAACATCCAAGTGCCACAGCACAGAAATGGCTGAGATATGTAAAACATCTATACTTCAGGGGAGATGCCAAGTTCTGAGTGCCTGGAGTAAAAAAGGATTTTTTTATTTATTTTTTTTTTTTTAATCCCTTTAAGGAAAGAAACAGAACAAACCAGGCTATTCTGTAGCTGTGCACCAGAGGTTTGGTCTACCTTCTACTGAGGAATATGGTTTGGGGTGTTGTCAGGTAGCGCATTAATGGCTCCCATTCATCATCTCTAAGACCTTGTGGTAGAGTAGATGGAAAATTTACTGCCCGTAGCCATGCGCGTGCTCCAAGCTGAACATCTGGATCCACCCAGCACCTCCCACCACTGCCCAGCCTGGAGAAGCAAGGCACTTACATGCTGTGTCTCAAGGAGGAAAAAAAAAAAAAAAAATATTCTGTCCTACCTTTTGACATGAGGTCTAGCTCTGGGCTCTTGAAGTACACATCTGGGGAGGTCGCGAGTCAGCAGGGAGCAATCTTTTCTGAATATTCTTTGCACGTGGCTTTGTAGTGGAAGAGAAGAGTTGTCTATTAAATTCTGGAAAACCCAATGGTAATGTAGCTGATGCCCGGAAGAAAGAGGAAAAATGTCTTTACCATTAACAAGTACTGCACTAATGTTGAAGAGGAGAGTCTGGGTGCAGGTGTAACGCTGGCTGCACCAAGTCAAAAACCTCAGGACCAACCCTCCTTTCCTAGCGTGGAACTCCGACTTCAAGATGCCGGTTAATCTTGCTAGTCTCGAGTGCCGAAGCAAGAACGTGTGACGGTGTGGCGACTATGACATAAAAATAGTTTGATTTTGCTTTTAATCGTGTGGCTTCTCTAGCCACATCCTGAGTTTTTCCTCTGGATTCTGATGAACCCAGCACTTGGGCTTGCTTCAGAGCAGACTGCCTAATGCACATGTGTATACTGACCTGTATATTTTATAGCTATAAAATGGGCTGGGGCTGTTAGCTGTGCTCAGTCCCTTGCTCAGCTGGTTTAAAAGAAGATGCAAAACCCAATCAACCGCTCCGGCCCCTCGTTTGTCTTTCCAAGCGCCGTGCTCGGGCAGTTTTGGGGCGCACGGCAGGAGACGCCGGCCCGTGTCCGCGCCTTCGGGAGTCGGGAAAGCGCAGCGCGGGGTTTGTCAGAGACCAGCCAGAGCTTCTGCTCCTAGGGAAGTTGGGGGCTAGCCCCCCCCCGTTTTTGCTATCAATGGGAGCAGGACCCAGATCAAAAAATATTCTCTTAATAACTAAAGGCCTACTTTCCACATACTTGAATTTACAGCACAGTTGGACTATTTTGAGAGACTAAAGGCACTTTAACTGTCTTTTAATGCAATGTATTTACTATGGATTATCTGCATGGAACACAGTCTTAATATTAAAAAAGAAAATCTTCCTTTTGGACTGCTTTGTTTTCAAAATAAAACATGCAAAGGATTATTGGTCATGTTATGTGAACTTCTAAGCAGGATGGGAATTATTTTCATCTTGTATTCTTCCAGTTGACACTGTAACAATGCAAGGATTATTTTTTTTTTTAAAGACATCCTTTTCTGCCTTAGTAATAACACATCATTATCAGGAGGTGTTCCCAGGACATATCTAGGATAAAAACTAATGTAATTGAGGTTTGATTCAAGACTATAATTTTCTTCTCATTTTATTCTGTTCAGCTTATTTAGGTTTTGGGTTTTTTTGTTTTTTTTTTTTTTTTTTTGTTAGGCTTCTCAGCTTGAACAATGAAGTTTACTTGGCCCATTTGACTTTTTGACGGTAGTCAGGTTGAGTGTTTTGATCTCTGCACTAGCACCAAATCATTTCAAAAAATGCAAACCACTTTAAAGGTCATTCTCTGAGACCTCCGGGTAGCACCTCCATGTTTCGCCTTCCTTCGCTCTTGTGCATCACAAGCATGAACAAACCGGCGTCACGCCGTAACTGAAAGGAGATGATGAGCTGCAGGAAAAGGCCCATCTTGCAATTAAGCGCGGGTATCAGCGTATCGCTTCCCAGGGGAGCGCTGACAGCACGGCTTCCACCAGCGCTGCGCCTCGAGCAGCTGGTAAGGGCAGAGCCAGGACAAGGACTCGCCCGTAGCCCTTCCCGTGCGCTTCCCTTGCAAACGGCTCTCCCACCTAGAAGTGGCCAAGGTGGCACAACCCCCCGGTCCTGCCCGGCCCCGGGGCCCCGGCGCGGGCAGGGGCCGGCCGGAGCTGGCACTCAGGCGCTGGGTTGTGGTCTGGGGGGACGCAAGTGTCCGACAGCAAAAGGATCTCCCGGTAGCTGCTCGGCTGCAAGACACCGACACCGACACCGACACCGTTTTTTGCCTGTGGCTGTTTAAATTGTAAATGCCCCAGCCCGGGGCTGTTCCCTAGCACGTGCGTGCTCTGTCCTTGGCCTTGATTCTGCTCGAGGAGCTAAATGCATCGTTTTCTTAAGCATAACTTTGTCCCTGCTCCCCTTCTGGAGTGAACGTCAGCGGTTTTTGTACCTCCTTTCAAAGGCTATGAGCATGGTAGAATATGGGAAAAAGAAGTAATACAGCAGCATCTTCTCATTTTCCCTTCCACCTTCTCAAGCCCTTCGCAGCCTGTCCCTCCCCTCTTCCCCAGGAGTCCTTTCCAGGTTGGGAGAAACTGCTAACACACTACAAGCAGCTCTAAGTTAATTTAAACATGATAAAGAATTCTACTCTCCCAATGCCTTGTTCTATTTTTCTAAGCAGAGATGCAGCAGATATATAATTATAATATATCTATTCTATTTTTATACACATACACACACACACAAAAGCAAATACTTTACAATATATAAATATGCAAAAATGTCAGCTCTCCTGAACAAATCGTTTCCATACTAAACAACATCCCAGAAATGGGGAAAAATACTTTAACTAGCATGCAAATAAACAAGGGTTTATATCCTGGAAACGCAACTGCAACCTCAGGTACAACAGCATGCTGAACCATAATTAATAGCATTGAAAGCAAGTAGGGAGCAGATTGCTACAAAAGGGCCTGTGGGTGGTGGAATAAAATCTCAAATAGATGCACAGCTCTGAATCTGCATTTTACAAGTGCTGTGGAATTAAGCTTTGGTTACAACTGGGAGCAGGGAATTAGGGCTCCTGAAGTCCTTGTCTGGTTGTATATTAAATGTCATTATGCCTTGGATTGCCTCACCTAGAAAGGAAGGATGGGAATCATTTCCTTTCTCACAAACAAATTGTAAATTTGCTAATATTTGTAAGATACTGCCAGATGCTCAGGGGGAAAAATGTTTTCAAGGCAGCACAGAATTATTTGCTAAGGTGATTGCAAGCATCATGCCCGTGTCATCTCAGAAGCTGTTTTTTTCATCTCTTACACTTGCTAAAAAAATTCAGAAATCTTCTCAAGTCGGCTTTGGAGGTGAGGAGCGGGTGCTGCTGTAGTCAACCTGTCTGACTAGAACCCATGAAGCTGACGCTCGCCACGGCCGGGGTGGGGGGGGTCAGCCCAAAGTGGGGCTCGTACAAATCCTGGAGCAGGTTTGAGGGAAGCCATGAAGCTGATTATCATGCTGGGTTTGTTATTCTCTTTGTGCGACAATTTTATTAGCTTGCATAAAATACATTCCTGGCCCACGGAGGCGAGAAAGAGTTTGGTTTTTTTTGTTTTTTTTTTTTTTTTTCGTTGCTGTTGCGTTCAGCAAAGGGAACTGTATTTTCACTGACACGAGCACCCCCTTCTCTGACACGCCAGCTCTTGGCCTTAGTGGCTGCACAGCCGCCTCTCCCGGGGGGCTGCCTCTGCCTCCCCAGCTCCACGAAGAGCCAACCGCTGCCTCCAGCACCCGTACGCCCCGCGGCTGGACCTGCTGGGCGCTTGCCAGGACAAAAATTCAGCAGGGGCCTGCAGGGCTCGTGGAATTTCAGGCAGGCAGTCCCATAGAAAACTCACAGCGCAATTCTTTTCATCCCTTAATCAGACCGAATTACAGAATTACCGATCCAACGGCGATGCTAAAGTCGTGGGCAGTTGCCTGCCTCCCTCCCCAGCCCCTGCAGATGTATTTTCCGCCCCGTGCGCCGGCACGCTTCTGCCAGCCGGGTTTCAAATGGCTCAAGCAAATGTTTCTGCCACCACAAATTACTATCTTAAGCTCCGCGCTACTCTCCCAAATGGCAGATAGGGAAAGATTAGCGGGTGGCATCCCGTGGTGTGATAATTATCAGCACAGCTCCCAAAAAAAGGCTCGACGAACAGGCTGGATGTAAGGAAGCAGAAAACACCTGCACATTTCCATTCGGTTATCACGAGAGGATCTCTGCAATAACCTTCATCTTCTCCCACAACTTTCTCATTACAAAAGGATGAGGAAGAACTTGTGAACTCAATTCACATACTGCAAATTTTCCAGAGGCTGGGGTTTATTTTTCTTTTCTTTTCCTTTTTGCACAACAAATCCTGATTGTTCAGCAGCTATGTCAGAGCAGGCAGCAATTTTCATTTTTGCAGGAAAATTGAGTTAAATTTTGTTGGTCCTCTCCTCAATTGGAACATAAAGTTATAAACATTGACGGGTGGTTTTGTTACATTTTTTAAAACCTGACAAAATCTTCAGCATGTGCTGGCAGAATGCATGTAAAGCCCTTTTCCTCTGCACAAAATACATAACTAATAAAATTTCAGGATTGACATAATAAAGAAAAAATAGAGCCTTTTATATTTGTTTTCTGGGTTTCTTTTAAGTACTGGAAAGAGCTGGTTTGCTATTCTTTTAAGAATAATAGTGGGTTTCATGCTCTGTGACAACCTGCATGCAAGTACCTGCTGGCTTCCCAGTGCCTGCTCTTGAGAGTTATTTCCATGACTCTGCTTCGCTGCAGAAGGATTTTTAACTCTGCCAGCCTCCAGACCTACAGCATAAGAAAACCCACGATGAGAATTTCTTAACTCCTTCACCCTTTGTTATTGTGCTCTCTTGATATTCCTGTGCCTCTGTTGCAGGCCAGATTATTTTCCCTCCCCAGACAGGACAGCCGCCTGGGCTTCTGTGGAGTTGCTCTGCAACTCTTAAAAGAATTTGCATCCCTACTGAAACAAGGTTTTTCTTGGTGTTTCTTCCAAGGAATAATAGGGCCTACCAATATGCTCAGCCTGAGAAAACTGGTAAGATCATAAACCAGAGTGGTATTGGCTGCAATAACTTCCTATCTGTTATGAAGCTTCCCATGGCTCAAATGGGTAATTATCTCCATGTTGTGCTGACAGGTTCCCATCTGCTTAGGGCTGAACATTGCATCTTAAAAAGAAGCAGAAAGGAAGAGTACCAGTTACACTCTGACAGGTTTGCTCAGCTCTTCAGAAAACCAGAGGAACTTGATTTGAGATGCTAATGAATTCTTAGTAATCCACTTCTTTTTTTTTTTTTTTTTTTTTTTTTTTTTGTGCTGGTCTCTATTTTTCTGCAAAACTGGAAGAGGGAGAAAAGCTGAAGACAGGAAAAATATATGGAATGTTCATAAGGAAGGAGCAGACTGGAAAACCTAGAGGCTAAACCCTCAGCTAGGATTTGGCAACTGCTGAGGAACAACTCTGATGCGAGGTAAACCTTTAATATCTGATGAAGGACGAACATACACAGGGCACAAACCTGTACCACCTTTGCGTCCACCTCACCTACCCACTGCCCTGCCTCGCCTCTTTCAGTCTCACATTTTCTCCATTCAAATATTTAGTGCCATTGAGGCAGGAAGCAAGAGCTAGGACTCTGGCTGCTGCCTCCAGTATCTTCCAAACAACCTTGAAGAAGTCCCTCGTCTCCTCCTGCTTCAGCGTATTTAGATAAGGGTTACCTCCTCCACAGGGCACGTTACACAGCTTTGTAATTTAATGCACTCAAAGTGGTTTAAGATCCTTGGTTGACAGGCACGGTAGAAGGACAAAGCGTTGTTAATTTATCTCAGCCATCACCACTGTCCAAAACGAGGTGGAAGAGGCAAAGATAAAATGGCAAGTCCTGGCATTAAGTCTGCTCCTGCCCCACATGCCCCAAACCAAGACACTTACGATCCTAAGAGGAACGAGGACAACTGGAAATTCTGTGTATTAGTGAAGATCCTGCCATGGTTTTCTGCAGTCCTAGGTTTCAACAGGATGACACTTTGTTTTGATAATGCAGTGAGGACATGGATGATGCAGCATCACAGAACTGCAGTGAGGATCACAGCAGCCAGGCCAGGTATTAACCTCAGTCCTCCAAGTGCACGGAATGTATTAAAAAATTACCTCTTAATTTTTTGCCTTGTTTACTTATTTTTTTGTTAAACTTTCCATTATCTTTTTTTTTTTTTTCCTTTTAATTCCTCCAGCTGTGTCTCATCCATATCGCTGCACAGTTCCGCAAGCAAAATAACAATAAAATTGGGCTTTGCATTATCAAAATTCTGAT